TTGGGGCGTTTAGGAGCTGGTGTTTTAATAGGGTCCTTTTGAGAATTTTGTTGAACGCCGAGATGGGCGGGGCCGTATGAGCGCAAGTCGGTCGAAGTGGTGCGCTCGTCGCAGTCCGTCAGAGCTCCGATTTGTGCGTGTCGAGATGGGGTGGTCGGTCGCCCTGACCACTACCACAGCACCCATGTGATTTGCTGCAGGGGAAATATGGCGAGAGGACGTGTATGTCTCGGAATTGGGTGCTCTGTGGCTGCTGTAAATGATGTGGTCGCAGACTGATGTAAATGGTGTACGGAATAGTTGAATTGAAAGCGGTGATGGATGACGATGGTAGAGGTGAAGTTGAATGCGTCTTGAAGAATGGAAGGAGCAGACTGTGGTTGGAATCACGAGCTTCCCTTACCGGAGACTTGGGGTACGTATCCGCCGACGTGCTTCTTCCTGCTGCGGCGGTGGGCTGGAGACCTTGACTGACGCACGTCGACGGCCGCGTACCTACGGCAAACTGAGCCTCCCTCCTTCCGCCCCTCGCCCCGGCCGCCCCAGGCCTCTGGACAAAGTTGAGGTGCATCTGATTTGTTCCCGAAAGAGAAGCTTGTGCCTGCGCTGCGTGCCATTTGCTGCTGGTCGCAACCCCAAATCCACTTCATCTGCCTGACCCCGGCCACTTTTCACCCCTAATAGAAAAAAAGGATTAAAAAAAAGAAGAGAGTGGGAGACCTGGACGGGAGCCAACGGCACGGCCTGCCTTATGATGCGAACTCAATAGGTGCGCACACCTTCGATCCCAAGTCCAAAGTCTTTCCTCGCTGCACTTGCACTGCACGTCAACTTGCAGTGGAAGCCGAGCATCCTCTTGTGCCTTCTCCATTTACCTTTGGCCCTCTTCTTAATACCTCCTCCATCCCCTCCTTTCCCCACGGCCGCTGTTACATCCCACTCTCTTGCCTCTGGCACTTCACAACCTTCCCCCTCCATCTCTTTCCCCCCCGCCGCACCCTGAGATTCCAGAACCATTTTGTGTCTCTGACGCAATTCCTCACAGCCATGGGCGCCGCAACTTCAGACAGTAAGCACGAACCTCTTCCCCAATGACACACCTCCTCAAGTGCTAGGGCACCTGGATGGCCTCGGCGTCGCCTGCGAAGTGCGCGCATGCAAGTGATGGCGAGAGAGCTTGTCAAGGAGCTATGGTGGGACCTCAGACATGGGCAACAGCTAATAATCCATCCTACAGGGACGGCCGCTGCCGAATGCATCTCGGACGATGCCCTCATCCACCTCAAGTCCTACAAGTACTCGGCCGTCGACAAGTCGCCCATCTCCAACTACATCCTCCGACCCTACGTGCGTAGCCCTTCCGACCACCTCCCCCTCCTACCCGCCGCTGCCCCGCGCCGTCCGAGCGGCCTCGACCTCAGCATTTCCCCAACGCCTTGCTAACCAAGCCTCATTGTAGTGGAATGCTGCCGTTGAGCTGCTGCCGCTATGGCTGGCACCGAACATGGTCACCCTGCTGGGCTTCTTCATGATCCTTGGAAACATTGGCCTCCTGGTTGTTTTCATGCCTGACTTGGTTGGACCGGTAAGTCAAGATAGTTCCAGGGCAGATATGCGACACTCGGCTAATACACGTGTCAACAGGGCCCGTCATGGCTATACTACAGCTTCGCTTTCGGTCTCTTCATGTACCAGACGATGGACAACCTCGACGGCAAGCAAGCGCGACGCACCGGAACCTCGAGCGGACTCGGAGAGCTCTTCGACCACGGCATTGACTCTCTGAACTGCACCCTGGCCAGTCTTCTCGAGACTGCTGCCATGGGCCTCGGTACTTCCAAGTCTGGCGTCTTCACGGCTCTCGTTCCGTGCCTGCCCATGTTCTTCTCGACTTGGGAGACATACCACACCCACACTTTGTACCTGGGCAGGATCAACGGCCCGACCGAGGGTATCCTGATCGCCTGCAGCGTCATGGTCGTCTCTGGAATCTACGGCCCTGGCATCTGGACCGAGCCCATCATCAACATCCTCGGCGACAAGGCCGAGCAGCACCTCTATGGCTTCCACTACCTGCTGGGAGACTACTCGATTCGGGACATCTGGATTGCAATGATCGTCTTCTCGCTCTTTGCAACCCACATTCCTTTCTGCGTTCTCCACGTTATTCAGGCCCGTCGCTCGCGCGGTGAGCCCGTAGCCCCTGTTTTCCTCGAGTGGACGCCCATGACAGTGTACACCCTCGCTATTGGCGCCTGGGTCTACTCACCGTACTCGGCCATTCGCAGCGACAATCACCTTGTCCTCTTTTGCGTCACCATGGCCTTCGTGTTCGGTCGCTTGACTACCAAGATGATTCTCGCTCACCTCACGAAGCAGCCTTTCCCTTACTGGACCGTCATGCTCGTGCCCCTTGTTGGTGGTGCCGCGCTCGCCAACCTTCCGCGTCTGGGCCTCCCGGGCATCAGTGCTCAGACTGAGCTGTACTACCTGTACGGCTACTTTGTCTTCTCGGCCGTCGTCTACTTCCGCTGGGCATACCTGGTCATCACGAGCATTTGCAATTTCCTCGGCATCAATGCTCTGACTATTCCGAAGGAGAAGCAGCTCGCAAACAAGCAGGCGATTGCTGCCGCCAAGGCACCACCTCTGACCAATGGTCTGATGAACGGCATGAAGAAGGATTAGATCGGAGCAGCTTGAGGTAGCGGGTCATCCGCCCAAGACTTTCAACACCACAACAAAGCAAAGATGTCAAGAGGGCGATGGGTCATAGTCGCGACGTTGCGATGGAGTGAAATGACGGATTTCGAGTAAATGAATTACAGCAAGCCTGATTGCGGCTTTGATGGAAAGGCGCGCTTTTTTTGCATGGATGTCGGCGTTGCTAGAGGCTGATCCACTTTCAACATGGCATGCACTCATTACTGGCGCTTTTTGGGTGAGCAAAGCCATGGAAATCGGCCCGGCTCGATTGAGCCATAGGAACTTTTCTAGTCCAAGGACGTAAGCAGTCCGTTGCATAATATCAACTTCAACTTCATCAGTACGTGCTGATTAGCTTTTCATTGGGTAAAAGGTGACCGTGGAGAGTCGCACCTTGGACCTATTTCTGTCATAAGAACGGACAGTATTGAACATCTTTCGCTGGTCACTTGTCTTCGTTCTGATTATGACCATATCACTTGTGATCAAATAGACAATGCGGTTGAACTCATCCCTAGTCTATTTGTGATCTCAATAGGGTTCGATTCTTGGAGTCCCATCTAGACTTGGACCTCAGTCAATGGAGCTGAATTTAGGAGGTATCTGATGGAATGGTGATTGCTCTACTCTCTGCCCTTCATATAAAATTGGCGTCTTGAAAGATGGTTCTTTGTTCAATGTGCTTGTTCCATGCGGGATCGCCCGATTGTCTGCCTATGAAGCACCCGATGAGCACATGAAGGGTGATCCAAGGATCATGCTAATGTGAGACTTTCAGGACATGGCTCAAGAGGCATGCTTGCCATGGGGGTAACTCGGCCACAGCTTTCATATCGGTCAAGCTTTTATACCGGTCACGCTTTCATATCGGTTACGCTTTCTCAGCGATACCGTATTTCACTGCGAATACGTCCGTCACAACGAACAATGAGGCCCGTTACCAAGCGTATTTTGCCTCACTTCCTCTTTGTTATAGTTTTTGCTTTGGAGAGAACCTGGGACTACCCGACGAAGTGAGTTGGCAGACACAGCCCCACCTTCACTCCAGACTCTCGACTACATTCTACCGCTGACGTCTGGTAGGCATCCACGGCCATCGCCGTCATTTGTCGAAGGGGACTTTGGGTTGGCGCTTGAGAGGCTTTTTATAAGGAATGTTGAAATGACTGGTAGTGCCTAGACTGCTGACGTAATTGTGTACGTTCTGAGGCGGGAAGGGGATCAATGCCCCCATGACTGCTTATGTAAAAAGGCGGTTCATGAGCGTTATCTTGGCACATCAGAGCTGTGGTATATTATATTCGGTATCTGATGCCAATACTGATGCGCGGTGACGGTTTTGATTAAGCCAAAGTTAGACTAGGATCTCTCATGCTTAGTAGTGAACTTCAAGATAATCATATCGTCAATCATTACACTCCATGGGTGGTGCCGTATTAAACTGCGAATACGTTCGTGATGCGAAGTCGTTAGTGTAGATAGCGGACTTGAAAGGGGCTGATTGTTCTGTCGAAATTGCCTGAGGGTATCGGAGTAGCAAAGGGGCTTCACTTGCTCAAGGTTCAGCTCGCATGGGCACAGTTAGCATAACTAAGAGAATGACTCACGAGAAACTTGGCCGTGATATTGTGCTAGAAGAAACGTGAGGCTTGGGAGTGCTTTATACTCTTTGGTGGTTACTGTTGGTTCCACGGGGTCGTATACGACAAATAGTGGTAGCAATTAGCACTCGTCTGTTGGTGATCCTATTGCTTGTTCTTGTTTTTTCTATCTTACATTATAGGCAGGAGTCGGTCGAAGTAGGTAGTGACGGCCTGGGTGGTTGCCCCACCTTTATCCGGCCGTGATGACTAAGCCAGTTGTCCCACTTCGCCCAGGGCAGGTGCCAGCCAGCCCATGGTACCTGCCTATTACTCCTTATCAGCCTTTGCTGTTCCAACAGTTACCTTTACAGGGCGTCTGCGAACCAGATCGCCCTAGCAATGTTTAGGCTGCAGGATCAATTGTTACTTACTTAGCTGAAGTACTTAGCTGAGGTACTTGTATCTAAGTACACTTCAGCTCTCCCTCTCCCTAATTATTTTACTCGGGGCTGAACTTGAGGCAGGCTGTGCCTTGCTGTCAGCTGCTAGCAACGCGCTAGGTAGTTACCTATTAGAGGAGGGTTGCCTCCGATCACCGACCTCACTTGCATCTTCTGTTTTCTGTACACTCCATTGCTGCTTGCTCTTCTAAGGCTCTTAAGACATTGTTTCCATAACACTCAGCTCCTTTCATTGAAACGTACCTGAAAAATGGAAAAGGTTTGGTTCAAGCTCCGTCAGACAGACTACCCGCCTCCAGAAATAAAGTCGATGGGTACGGGGAGTGAGACGGCCCCGCTGTGCCTGGGTCACTTTGTTCCCAACCTGCGCCGCCTCGACTTCCCCATCAACCGCCACGACATCGAACCGTTTCCCCGGAGCATGCCCGTCTATTCCACAAACGCTCTGACATTTTCGTGGAAAGACGGTCGGGCTGTTGAGTACGGTGGTGTGCTCGGCGGGGGCGCCCCCGTCTTGGCTGCTGCGGGGGTACCGGTCACGGCCAAGGCCGATGTGAAGGCCATCTTCAAGGATTCTGTCTCCAACTGCGAGAAGTATGAGAGGCTGGATACGTATTTGATTCAGGTTACCAAGGCGTATATTGCAGATTGCTTGGAGAGAGACACGGTAGCAAAGTATGTGGAGGATAGTTCGACGTTGGGGGCATGGTCCGCATTTGTCATAACTGGGCTGAAGATTGCGCGGGCGGGCTCAAGGTCGACTTCTTCGTCTCATGGGATTGAATATGGTTTTGGTGTTGAAGCGTAAGTTATCCCCGTTCACATGTGCTATCGGAACGAGACAGAGTAGCTAATGTGGACTGCAGGGAACTACCCGCGATTGCATCCATCCGGGCCGAACCCAACGTAGCACGCAGCAAGGATATGACCACGGCGGCCGAAAAGCAGTCTGACTTTGTCTGGGCTATACGACTTGCCAAGGTCCGTAAGGGAATCCTGATGAAGGACTGGTCAGTTGGCCCGTACACGAACAAAGCGACGTTCAACGACCGCGAAGATGAGGTTGATGTTGAGCAAATCGTCTCAGCTGAGGGTGTAACGCCTACACGTGTACTAGAGGACGCCGTGCATGATGAGGCATTCGTTATACTGCCAGAACAGGACCAGTCATAAGAGAGCAATGGCGAGGACTGTGTGTTGGAATGCATTTGTCACGTAATTTAATAAACAAGAACAAAGAAAATTATCCGAATCAACTACATCCCCCCTAAACAGTCCCTCTAACCACTGCCCTTGACCATTGTTTCTGTCGATGACCAGAATCGGAACTCATGTACCCTAGCCATCTTCATTCTACGCGTGCAAGTGCGTCATAGAGGAAACGCCGAACATGAGTCCTACTATCTGCCAGGTCTGGCAAATCAGGGCCTGGAGGCAGCAAGAGTCTCGGCTGCACACAGTCGTATCCCGTACTCTTCCTGACCAGACTCCTGAAGATAGCCGTCATTCCTGCCTTTGACTGAACCATCCATGCTCCCTCGATCTCAGATTTTCTCTCTGTGTGCCGCACAAAGTCGAGTATTCGTGCCGCCATCCCTGCTGCAAGCGCAGTTGCAGCGGATGTTCCGCTCAGGGGCTCAGGATGGGGAGGTAGGTTGATATGTTGTCCAAGTAAGGCAAAGTTGTCGGCTGCCCGGCGTGGCTCAGGGTTGATCTCCGGGACAATCTTCAGAGCACCAGTTGTAGCAAACATGCAAAACACGTGATCCTTGATGCGAGCTGGAAAGGCGACTGAGTTTGTGTTGCCCCAGTTGGAAGCTGCAGCGAATATGAGTATGTTGGCGGCATGTGCGGCGTGGACGGCGGTTCTAAGGGGCTTCGGGCAGGTAGCGAAGCCGGCGGAGATACTGATGATTTCGACTTTCTCTTTGATGGCCCACTCGATAGCCTAGAGTAATGTGAGCATGATACATCGAGAAAAATAGGTAGGAATTCACCTCGGCCATCAAGTACGGCTCCCTCTTCTCATCCGCCTGGTCGTTCTCAAACACCCTTGCGACCACTATCTCGGCCTTGTCGTACATCTTGTAGATGAGATCCACAGACTGCGTTCCATGTTGTGACGTCTCTGGATTGATGCGCTGGTCGGAGTTGTGCTTGCCCGTTTGGACAAAGTCTTTGCAAACTAGGTTCCGACTTGGATCAACAGCGGTGTCTATTACGGCTATACGGATAGGCTTGTACTGGTTATTGTTCTTGGACAAGCTCTTTGGTGTCCGTAGGACAACTTCGACGTCTTCCCAGTCTCGAAACCACCTTGACGAAGACGTGAGACCCTCCCTATAGATCTCATATCTATATTAGCCATTTCGTACCGCGATGGACTATTCGGAATAGAATATTCGCGCATTGAGCGGGAGAGGGCGAGAGAGAGAGAGGTATGGAGTGCAAGAGGGAGGGAGCGGGAGAGTGAGAGAGACAGGCAGGGACCGAGGGAGGGAGGGAAAGGGCGGGGGGGCTTACCTTGCGGCGGCTGTTCCTGCTTGCATGTGGTCTGAGGCAGTCAATAGAGTCCGCGATGTTTGCTTCTCCTTGTTGAAATCTAATAGATCGTTCCACTTCTTGCGCATCATCAGGGAACGGCCTATATCATCATATTGTAAATGCCAGAATGTTTGCTGTGGAATGCCATAGGGTGGTCCCTGTCCTAGAACTTCCAGGAATGACAAGGGCACTACCGGTTGTCAGATTGAGATGCAATCGATCGCATCCGAAGACATCGGGTGGAAGCACGTACCTGAAAGAGAGAGAAAACTGCTACGGGATCGTCTGCGAGATAATAAGATGCGGAGTCCGGTAGTTGTGTTCATCTGCACCGGCGTCTGCACAAGGACCATCCGTAGCCTTGACTGCGGAGGAGTCTCTGAGAGCTGACATTCTCTAGTAGAGAACGACTTCAGTAGCCCTTGAACGGGTGTTTGGAACACAATGTTCTCGCCAGAAACCGGGCCTTGAATGCTCTGTTCAAGCAACATCTCCTTCATACGTTCGATGCATTCGATAAACTCAATCGCTGCTGGTCACAGTGTCAAATTCAAGAGTGTGAGATATCGCAGCGGGTTCACCTACCCTCTTTCTGCCTGAACCTAAACATCACCTCTGTGCACTGAGTCGCCTTCTGTGAACCGTCCTCGGAACATTCCACATCTTCGAGTGTGACTTGAAGGCCGTTCTCTGGAGGTTTGACTACTGTATCCCTGTAGACTTCATCCGATGTCAACGTTAGCTGTGTACGTTGCTCCATCAGATTGACTCACCTTTGACTGTGTAGCTCTGTGAGGCTGAATTGATCCGGTCAAAGAATGCTAGGCTGTCACTGACGAAAACGAGGAAATAGCTCTCTCTAGTGAACGATGAGTGACAAATAGAGCCACAGCCTGCGTCAATTGACTTCTTGTAGGCGTTGGAGCAATAGTGTAGAAGCTGTAGATATACCGGCTTCCACGGAAGATCGAATGACCTCGTTCCCAACGTAAACTTAACGCTGGAAAGGCTCTGTATATATCTGTTGGCATACCTGAGGTATTATTCTGGTATCAGCCTCGACACATCCTCAGGCTGGCAAGCCGATGTCGGCAAATGTCGGATGAAGCGTGGAAACTTACGCTCGTGTACTTAGAACAGATATGCTGTCGGGAGAAGCTCGAAAATATCCAGCAGCAGTGGAGGCCCGTTCCATGTTGTTACCTATTCCAAGAAAAGCACGAGCCAGTCGACTCCACAGCTCGTGAACCGCGGCGTAGTCTTTGCGACGTTGGGCACACAAGTAAGTTTCTAAAATTGCCTGGAGTAGATCGAGATATAATAATGAATACATACCTTGGTACCTCTTCTGGTCGAGACTGAGGCGGACTGATACGAAGTGATTGCGGGAATCCATCGCAATCATGTGCCAAACCCCGTACCGGCCTTTTCTGACCTCTTGAATTGGAAGACCTCGGGGGGAACGCACTTGGTAATACCGTTAGTTGGCCTTGCAGGAACTTGTATCAATACTGGAGTTGAACTTACGTTTAAACTTCAACGATTGAGTGTGGTCGGCATTCTCGCAATGACATTTAAATTCCACATCGAAGACATGTTCAGTCATAATTTCTGGTATGACTTCCGCTCTCCAGCAGATGATGTCATGAGGGAATATGTCCTCATTCATCGGACTGCTCCTTGTAGGGAATGCCAGGTCATGCATGCTCACCTGACACAACCCAGCGATCCTCTCGAGCCTTGGATGTGACAAGGAGGAGGAACCAACCTTGCCATACCTTGGATCTCTTTCGAGGTTCTCAGTAGAAGTGAAGTCGGGAAGAATCTCTTGGTCCAACAACCAAATGCCGAAGGCTTCCATCCTTCTTGACATAGATGTAACATCCTCAAGCTCGATATGCCTTGAAGGCACCCAGCACTCGTCAACGATTTTCTTTCATGCAGCGATATAAAGCCATTAACTTACAACTTAGACTCTAGAGATTGCGCTAAGAGAGCGACCTTGTTTGTGTCGACAGAAAGCTCAAAGAGCGCATTGTCGATGAACTCGATGAGCAGAGCTTCCTTCGATTCAGGTTGCGTTGCAGCTTGGACTCGATCGAATTTGGGACGAAAGACCTCATCAACAGAATCCTGTATTTTGGAAAGAGACTGGAGGCATTGCGAAAGAATCTGGCCAACTGATTCCAAGCTGCCAGAGAAGCCTTCGCGAATGTCCGGGAACGCCCACGTTGCACTCAAGTCCAGCGAGCCGATACGGCGCGATGCATCGTCAAGACGATACAGATCCTGCTCAAAGCTGTACGTATCGGTGCCTGTGAATCTTCTCAGCCGTTTCAAGTTCAACAGCAAAGCTTGAGACTTGGAGGTCAACTCGAGAAGACTGTTGGAAGGACCCTCGAGGTCTATGTCGCTCATGTCTCTGGGCCTACAGTTTCGCTCCCACAATGACTAGGCTCAGTGCTGTCTGCAGGGTTCCGGGCGATTTGATGTGTGTGAAGTTATGTGGCGAAATATCTGTTCAGTACATGCTCAGACACGGCTATCCTGCCAACAGTTCGTCTTCAGGCTACGGCTTAGGTACATGAATTCGACCATGAGAAATTGGGGCTGAACACCATGTCACCTTGTTCAGCTGAGCTTACTGCATCAGCCACCACCAATTGCAGGGCTTGGTATGTTTAGCTTGCTTCTCAGAGCGTCGGAGCCCAATCGTTACCTGCGGGGTTGGATGGCAGATAGATTTGATGCCTTTTGTATCAGCATGCTTCGGTTGCCTTATCTGGGCATGATTCGATGCCATGGCTAATGTGTCACAGTGTCTCTGAGCACCTTCTACATTGATGCTGACATTTATCCCTCTTCTTCCTCCTTCAACACCTTCTCATCCAAAATATCTCATGATATCGAGACTATTCCGTTGTTGCCGCCATGCCTCGATTCCACATCGAAAGAATACCGTCTGGCATCCACTATACAAGGGATTCAACCTCTCAATTCCACTCCGAGGAAACAACGTCCCATGTTCCTCCACAGACTCTGATCTTCACACCGTCAGCCGGAGTAGACCGGCGTCTGAGGGACGGTGGAAAATCGGCGACTAGTCTTCCTGCGCCCCCAATATTCGAAACCGCGTCGAATCACGAACGGAGTGCGTTTCCTGCTTCTCACACACATGTTTTCAACCTGGCAAGCGCGCCAACTGGTTTGCCGCCCGTCGCGAAGCATCAACCATCTCATGAGACCGTTGGTAATGGCCTATCCCATCAACCGCTAGATGGCGTCAATACAAATGTACGTACTTTTGCGTGGGGTAGCAACGAATTATATATTGACCCGACTCTATTTCCCTCTTATCCGTCTATGAATAATCTCAAAGTGAAGCAGAAATGGAGAAAGGCTGGAGACAGATGTACTGACGCCATTAGCAGTTGGTGGGAGATTGCTCTGGAGCGTTTCATCAACCGCAAATACCACCAGAGCCTGCTTTGTATGCAGAATCTGATACGCCGAATGATTGTCTTCCTCTCCTCAATGTAGACATCCAGGTCGCTGTTGACGGTACTGTCGCACGAACAAAGCTGTTTCAACGGTTTAGCAACCCGTCGAAGCAACAAATACCGGAGGCGCGATACACTTTTCCTCTGTATGATGGCTCCGCAGTCATAGCCTTTTCCTGCACTATCGGCGACGAAAGGGAACTGATAGGCACAGTACAGGAGAAGACAAAGGCTGCCAAGGAGTTCAAGAAGGCTGTAGAGAAGCAGCAAACGGCGGCTTTGCTCGAGGAGCACACGCCTGAGATCTTCGAGACGATCATTGGCAACGTTCCTGCCGAAACGGATGTTGTAATCCAGATTGAGTATGTTTGCGAGACCACAGCAATCGTCCTCGACGATGGCAAAGATGTTTTGGAAGTCATCATTCCAATGTCAATTGCGCCACGATATGGAGACATGGATTATCATGGACTACAGAAAAAACCCGACTCGGACGGTCTTCTGATTGAGGTCAGGATTGAAGACGGAGGTAGGATCAAGCAGGTGCATTGCAACCATCGAGCCGACGTTGTGAAGGATGCTCCGATGGACGTTGTCAAAGTCACCAGTCTTTCTGACCTTGACAACAACGTTGGGGAGGTCCGTGCAACTGCCTCACCAGTTCCAACTTATACCGTAGTGAAATACTCCACAGAAACAGCAATCATGGACGAAGATTTCATCGTGTCCATCGAAAGCAGTCTGGAATATCCTATTCGTTCTCGGGCCACCTTATCACCGCCCAATGAGGACGGCCTAGCAGCCCTCATGATCAATCTGAAGCCGGCAGAAATGTTCGAGGATGCGGGTCGTTTGGAAAGCTTTGATGGAGAGATCATCTTCCTCCTGGACCGCAGTGATTCAATGCACTGTTATACAACCAGAAACAAGAGAACCAAGATGTCGACTCTAAGAGAGTCGATGCCACTCTCTCTCGCTAGCTTACCAACGACATGCCATTTCAACATTGTGTCGTTCGGACATAACGCCGAGTTCCTGTGGGAAAGATCGCAGCCGTACAACCAAAACACCCTTGACGACGCCAGGAGTTATGTCCGTGGCCTGGAAGCGAACTTGGGCGGCACAGAATTGCTCCATGCATTGAGAAAAGTGGTCGAATCGAGAAGGCACACAGAGTCATCAACACAGATCGTCATTGTAACTGACGGAGAGGTCGCACCGGAGGAGGTCCTCACATTTGTCTGGGAAACTCGCCAAAAGCTGGGGGACAGTATCAGATTCTTCGCCCTGGGTATTGGCGAGAGAGTTCCTCACCGCATCATCAACAGAATTGGCGAGTTTGGAGGAGGCTATGGAGAGGTCATTGACATTGATGCCAACCCCGAGTGGACCGACAGGCTCAGTCTCATGCTTACATACGGACTCATGCCCAAGACATGGACCTGTAAGGTCGATCTAGGCCCTGGTTTTGCCAGACAGGACCTTTACACCGATGCATTCATGGATAAGCACATTGAAACGGAAATCAGAGACAGTCGGGCTGCTTCTTTTGTTCAAGCTCCTTTTCCAACGCCATGCTTGCACCCTTTTGCATTCTTATCAGTCTTCCTCTTGCTGGATCTACGCTCAAGGGCCGCCCCTACTAAGGTCACATTGAGGGCAGCCTCTCATGGCGGAGACATTGAGTTAAAGCATGAGCTCAACATCGACACAACGTCAAATGACACATCTACGGTCCAGCATCTTGCAGTCCGGGCAAGTCTACTTGATTTGGAAGCTCAGCTGAGCCGCCGAGTCGCAAGCCGAATTCAAGAAGACACTGCCAAAATGAACGCTGTATTACTTGGAAACAAGTTCAAAGTCACGAGCCGATGGACAAGCTTCGTTGCTCTTCAGGGCTCAGATAATGTGGTCGATGAGATAGAGCTATACAAAGCGGAGTTTGTTCAGGGAGCGGCGAAAGAGTTTTTGGGCTCTATGAGCTCTGCCAAGCATCAACCAACAGGAAACATGCCGACGTGACCATGTGATCCTTTTGAACCACGAACCTACGTGGAATCTCTTGGCATCATTTTACGAGCAGCTTACGCTCAAGGGCTGCCTGGCCGAGTAGGTCTCGCTTACCATGACCCTCCACCTAAAAATGTGGTTGGGCCGCCCTTCTGTGAAAAGCTGATGGTCCCGCATAAGTCAGCACACAACTCATCAATCAGAGCGGAAGTTCTTACTCCGATGCCAGATGGTGGTGACCACTCTTCACCATGGCTACACAATGCTTGCCGGGAAGCAGCTGATCTGCAAAGAGCCGATGGCCTCTTCATCCTTGACGACATCTTCAGGCAGAAAATGAGCGACTACTTCAGCAAGGACACGACTGCCTCGATCGAGCGTATCGTGGCAAGTACACCACCCGATACTCCGTACGGGTCCATCAAAATGTTTTGGTCGATCACGAGGATTGCCGAAACACTCATGGTCATCTACCTTTTGCGTACATACGTGGCGCAGAGGCGTGAGGTTTGGAGAATGATGGTCTACAAAGCCATATCAGCGGTACCAGCGACACTAAGGTCAATGAATGAAGACGATGTGAAGAAGCCGAGGTCGCTGAAAAAGTTCCTGGTCGCTTCTTCCATGCATTCGTATTATGGGAAGTGCGCGGAGTTCAAGAAGATGACGAGTGGTTTGCAGGTCTGTCCCTTTTGGCTAGCAGAAGAGCGTTCTACGAAGTGCCCTTACTGTCGTAAGAGAGGTCATTCCGAGGGTACAGGCTATGGAACGAGCAGTGATGGGACTGATGGAGCCAGTACACGCCTTTGTTGTGCCAAGGTTGGTTGTAGCTTCATGGTCGAAGGGTTAGAAAATTTTGGTCAGTTATGGACGCACAAGGTTGATGAAGAGCATCTGGATGGGACACCCACCTTTGCGGCATAATAGAGTCCTGGAGATGTAGTTTTCTCTCGTACTCTCCAAGGACAATCAGTTAATCAATTACGATCGACTGCGTCGTGCGCAGTTATTTAAAGTACCTTACGAGAAACTCGATATGCGTGCCTGAAATTGATCCATATTCAATGAGCCATCGATGCGTACAAAAGGATTTCTGTACAAATTTGAAACTCAATTCCATTCCCTCAATTGTGGAAATAACCCCAACATGAGACAAAGCGCATACGGTGAGTTCGACATCGCAGTCCCCGATCCCACCAGCCTCACGTCGCAGCTTATTTCGCGTTCCGAACAGCCAGCTGCCACTTGTTTCCATGACTTCAAAGCCTCCCTACTCAATGTAAGCTGTCATGTCGCTATCACGGTAAGCAACGGCGAGTCTTTCCGAACGTGATATCTGAGTATGAATCCCTCACCGGCGCCTGGGGCCCATATCTCCATCATCCTAAGTAATGGTATGCGCAACGCTGCCCGGCTCGCCTGAAGAAGCAGGCGTTCCAGCGCTGACGGGCTGGATACCAGGTCTCCAATACATGTCGTCAGGGCTAGGTACCTAAGGGCTGGCCAGGTACGAAGACTCTCTGAATGCTCAAAAGTATTCTCCGGTATATCCCTTGATGAATGCTGAAAAAAGTCTCTAGCATCAACTGCGTGACAGAGAGTCAAATACCGAAGACGATAGCTTGCATGGACCGCTGAAGAGACAAGGTCGTCATTGCAAACCCTAAGAAAACGTGGATTTCCATTCAGTGGAGACTGCGCTTCCCAAATATGGACTGATTTCATCGTGACAATTTCGCTTGCACGGTCGAGTAGCATAACCATCGCCTTATCGCGGGGCGGGGGGCTGTTTAGTTTGAGTAATCGCGTGCCATGGCTCGTAGCTGATGGTCTTGAGGCGGTAAAGGCTACGGAGACATTTCGCAATTAATGCCTTTGACAGAGTTCTGTAGCAATGTTGATTTACGAAAAGCCTCCTGACGACGGGCACCTGAGCAAGCTTAAGCGAGCCAGAGCTGATGCCCAGCAAGTTGCCAAGAAGACGCCGTTTCGAGTTTGAGGAATATATACGGCTCCGATCATGTTGACTTGCGTTGATGCGATGGTTCCAAGGGTGGTCTGAATCGCTCGGAGAGCTGGCGCTCAACCTTAATTTAACGCCATTTTTAGGCGTAGACCATGTTGAAAGAGAAATGAATAAACTTTTCAGCGCCTGGCTGAATATCTTGTTGTTTGTTTGAATCGTGTCTTGGGTTTCTCGTTCGTCAAACTTGTTGACATGATCGTATTCTTGAATGCTGATGTGAAGTGAGATCTCCTTGACGAGATCTCTTCGAGGACCGTAAAGAAAAGAGGTTAAACTGTCAATGTCGGAACCAGGGAACTGGAGCTTCAGGTGTTGAAAAATTGGCAAGTCGAAGAAGGCCTGCCATTCCCTTGAGACGCTTGCTCAGTTCGACAAATCATGCCCCTTTTTTTTCTATCTCAGCTTGTTCCAAAACCATCAGTCGAATCTCCGCAGGCAAGGCTGCCCAGCGAGGACGGCGGTTGTTAACGTCGTCAGACGAGTACGTGATTCCTGAGCGTAGCTTCATTTTACAGCTGGTTTGCTTAAAGACAGTCCGGGTTGTTGAGCTCTGGGATGCTGAAAGTGACAAGAAGAAGTGATAATGGGCTCATGTGTGGCGGGTAGCCTGGCATTATGTTATAGTTGGACATGAACTCTTTCTCCGAAATGCAAATGCGGAGACGCAAACTTAGTTGCCAGGGTTGCACGTTACCAGCGAGAGTTTCTCATTTCTTGAAAATCATTCAGAAGAGACGTGATTCGAAGTCGTGAGACTGCTGAGGCATTCAGGCTCATTCTCATGTTCACTCAACGGCCTCTTGCCCAAGGTATGGGCCTATGAAATCGACTTTGCTCCTGGAAACACAAGACGAGAGTTCGAGTCCTTCATCTTTGGAAGTACTTACTAGTTCAAAACCCCACCCCAGCAACCTTTGTCTAGCAGTTCTTTTGTTACACAAGACAGCTGTTAGTTTTACTATATTTCTTTGAAGAGGTTATGAATATATCTTGCTGGGACACATGAATCCAAACTGGTCTTTAGGTTTCTAGTGCACTGTCACAAAGAGCCGTTCCAATCATTCGTGTAGACAGACAGTTCTCTGACAGGTTCAACCGCTGGACATCAAATCTTACGAGATGCCGAGGCCTGTCGATGGATTCAAAGATGGATGGCGATGAGGCCGAATGTTTCGTCGGGTCAAGAAATCAAATATGAACAGTTTGGGAGGTTGCAGAGAATCAGTGATAGTGGCGTGTTACGACAAAACCTTCTCAAGTTGAAGCTTTGTTCAATGGTTGATTGACGTCGAAAATAATGCCTCATCAGAAGTTTACTTATTGAGACAATTCCAGTGTATTGTTGAGACGCAGTTTGGAATGACTTAACGGCCAAAGAGTTAACCAGCAGTTGCGGATTAGAGGCTGCGAAGTAATTGTTGGGTCCTTCATCGGGATGACGACTCGAAACAGTGGACAGGTTAAACGAAATTCTGTGTTAATTATGTACCTCTGCCAGGCCAACTGACCTCTGTAGGCTAGATCAAGTGCTTTGTACGATTTCCTATTTGAATTGAAACAAGCACATCTAAAGTAAACGAAAAAGTAATCGGAATGTTTACTGCAATTGCACGCCGTCCAACCTTCTTTTCGCTGATAAGCAATATGGACTCTTGAGAGATCAAGCTAATGTCAGAAGTCGTTTAATAAGATTCGGAATAAATACCGCGAAGAACGCGACTTTCTCATGTAAGGTATGATGTAATCGCGACGCGTTTGCTTGACATTAGGAAAGAATGCGTACACTGAATAACATGCTGTTGCCGGTGGTCTGGTAGATAGACTAGTGGCACCTGGCTTATCAATTATTGGATTTCTTTCACTCCAATGCATTGACATCTACGGCAAGGGGAGTCAGGGGTGACTTCTGGCAGGTGGAAAGTGGGAAAAGAGTCAAGGAGTTGGCTGATGTCAGGATCTCTGTTGCCTCCAAATGCGGGAGGGACGGTACATTTGTCTCGCCCAAAAGTTGGCCGACTTTAGATGTACCTCCACCAACGACTCCCGACTCCCCTCCTTCGGAACCGCCGATAGGGAGCCCACCCACAGCGGCCACAGCGGCTGCCCACTGCTTTCAGCAGAGGCAGGCATTCCCGTGGTGTACGCAAACACTGGGCAGGCACTTGCCAGCGTGAGATTCGCCCAGTAAAGGACAGTGCAGAAGGAGGCGACCAGACAGCCCAAGGAAAGCACCTTTGGAGCAAACCACCCGTGCCACACCCCCCTAAATCTAGGCCAGAAGACCACTGCCTGCCTGCCTGCCCTTCCCGCATCGCAATCGACGACGACGACACCCGACCGTGACTCTGCGACCGAGAGAGACCAAGCGGGAAAAAAATTCATCAATCGTCACCATCAATCGCCCTCGCGACGAATCGACCGGAGAACAATGAATGGCTATTCAATCGTCGCCAATGGCCTCCGTTACGCGCTCCACCCGGAGGACCGATACTGAAGGCCTCGTCCAGCAGCAGCTTCACCCCCATCCCCTTCACCATCCCGTCCAGGCCTTCGCCGCTGCCAACACGAACACTGTGACGCGCGCCGCTGCCACCCCCCAAAACATCTCCAGCTACCAGCACACGCTGTCCGGTCGCACCAAGCGGCAGCTCGACCAGACCGATCATATCGTCGATTTCGAACACCAGAAACCCAAGCGACCGCGGACGAGCATCGAAATCCTCATTCGCCCTGCCCTGTTACCGAACAAGCCTGCCGTCGCCAACGCGACACCCACGGCAAACGTCACCCCGACTCCGCATCCGACTACGACCGCGGCCACGAAGCCTCAGGCGGCCGCACCCCTAGCAAAACCCACGCCGAAACCCGCACCGCAACACGTCGCGACGGTGCATCCTCCGAATCCAGCCGCTGCTGCTGCGAATAACAATGCTGCCCAGTTGACCAAACACCAGGAAAAGGTCATTAATGGGATTAAACACGAGCTGGATCGCCTGCAGCCCCGCGAGGCCGATACCCACACAAAGGAGGGGGGCCGCAAACTGCGCTCTCAAGAGGCCACTCGTTTCAGGAGCGAGCTGTCTGCGTATTTTCCCGAGTATGACGAGGTCATTGGAAATGAACCCAAAGAACAGCGTACGCCTCCAATATGTTTTCTGCCCTAGGTTGAGCCAAACACATTGTTGTACACTTACTGACGACTGCCCTTTCAGAGCTTTTCACCCTCGATACCCCGATAGTCATTTTTGACTCGAACCCCACACGCCACCATCCAGTCCCGTGGCACCGAAGTCTAGGCGCGACGCCAGATCCCAGTGTAGTACTCGATGGCTCAGCAAACTCGCATGCCAGGCACAAGGTTCCCGTGCGTGGCTACGGCGATGCTCTATTTGACGAGCTTGTCGATGCCCAGCGGATAGACTTTGATTTCTTGGGCATTTCGCACAAGCGCGAGCCTGTAGAAGATCCTCTTCCCGACGTATCCTTTATATCGTCCCACAAGAGGGCGGAAAGGCTGGAAAAGTCCATCCGTAATACCGAACGGGGACGGGCCCAGCATGAAAAAGACCAGATTGCACGCCTCCTGGACGGTCTCCAGGGTCACGACTGGCTGCGAGTCATGGGTGTTAGTGGTATAACAGAGACAAGAAAAAAGCAGTTCGAGCCAGCGCGGCAGCACTTTGTCAAAGGCTGCCAAGCCATCCTCGACAAGTTCCGCCAGTGGAGCTTGGAGGAAAAGCGTCGCAAGGCTGAGAAGGACCGCGCTCTCGCCGAGAAGGCAGAAGCAGAAGAGTCATCAAGCGGAGATGAGAATTCATCCGCGGAATCCGAAAGCAGCGAGGACGACGTCGAAGGAGATGACGAGACTGGCGATATTAGTGACGGTGATCCACCAGGGTCCGACGACGACGATGATTCTGTGACCAAACAGCTTCGCGAAGAGGCTACGTCAAGAGGGTCGAAGAACAGCAAGAAACGTCCACGTGCGACACCACAGCCACGGCCTCCTCCAAAACCTGAACCCCCAAGGGAATTCAAGTCCTTCTTCAAGAAGAGATACGAGCGTGAGAGCGCTTTGCACCGGCACAGGCGTGCCGGCCGCAAGGTGGTGGCATGGGGACACCCGTTACCAGAGATACCCGAGATCGACTTTGATCTCCCTGAAGAGTTGCGTGACGAGGAGACGCTGAGGGTGCATGCGAGGAAAAGGCGCCGTGATCGCCGCGGCCGAACCTGATCAGAGGTGTTCGGCTGCAGGACTGGGCCATGGTTGTGTAATACCTGGTGTGCCGTGTCTGCTTCTTCTCTTGCATCGGGGTGGCGCGATGTCTAGTTGTAACAATATTATCTGTAGACTGCTGGGTTGGCATAGCTCAAGAATAAGCGTTCGAATTGTCCCATATCGTCGTTGCTGAGTGAATTATGACGCCTTCCGAATGATGTGTCTGAGGCTGAAGTAGGCAGTCGGCATTAAGCGGCACCGGTAGAGTGCTCTCGAAATCATTGCTTCCTTCCCAAAAGAGGGAATGGCGGCTCTGCTTTGAAGGACCTGGTCGGACTTGGGTGCTTGGGAAGGAGCTTCACGTTTGGTGGCTCAAGCAACAAAATGAGTGGAGTGCGTGCACCTTGGGAGTTGGTCTGCTTACATAATCGAGTCCTACCTTGGGTGGGTGTGAGTCGTGACCCGCCCAACGGCCAGGCGCAAGAGCCAAAGGTGGCTCCGGCAGCTCCATCTCAGTCGCGGCGAACCGTGGGACGCGCTGACCTTGGAAGGCCTGAACTGCACCAGCTGCTGCCGACCTCAGATTTTGTGTTTGGTCGCAGCAGAACCTCTCTCAACCTCCTACTTCTCAGCTGGTCGTACCGCCGTCCCGCTGGAGAACGGCATTATTAATATTCTCAGCTGTCGCCGGTCCTTTGCCTAGTCCATTTAATTTCCTCCGCCGCCCTCTCACGACCGATTTCCCCCCAACTTCGCGACGCCGACCGCAGCGACAGGATGATCGTGGCCCTCGTTGCATCCTGCACCTGAGAATCTCGCGCCGGCGCACCTTCTTTGGATCGTATCCGCCGGACCTCCAACCCATCAAAAACAAACGACTGGCCGTTCGACTCGAGCGACTCGAGCTTCTGCTTGATGCCAAACTGCGACATCATACTCTTGAGCGCAAACTGAGCCCACCATGAGCGCCATCGAGGCCGCTGCGGCCGCCCCCGCTGTTGACGAGGTTAACGGCAGCGATTCCGAAGACGATCTTCCCCCTATAAAAGACGAGCCGCCCTACCCGTACTTCGTCCTAAAACAAGATGTCGAGCTCGAGATCAACTTTCGGGCGAAGCGAATCCAAGGAAAATCCCACATCACGTTTGGCATGGTTGGAAATGCCCAGCTTGACGAGTTCGCCATCGATGCGCGGCAGTCCGAGATCGACGTTAAGAACATCACGATCACCGCTCTCAAGGACCAGAACCCCCTCGGCCCACCCAGAAAGGTGTCAGCTACGTACACGGATCCGTATAAGTTACTGGACTATCCGAAATACTATGACTGGAACGCCTCGCATCACGACCTTAGGAAGATCCGGATGCGCCCCCTCATGCACAATCGAAGGAGCGACGTGCCTGCCGAGAATAGAGAGCTGGTAGGCTGTACGCCCGCTGATGGTGCCTTGCGAGTCAGCCTGAGGGATCTTAAGAAGACCAAGGGAGTTGTCAAGGAGGAACTGGTACCCGGAGCGGGAATCACCAAACGGCCGACGCTCAAGATTCGCGTTTCGAGCGTGACGCCAAACTCTGCAGAGCTCCCCGAAAGCGAACTGACGGGCTCAAGGGAGTACCGTGTCACGATACCTTTCAAGACAAAGCTGGTGCGGGATGGCGTTCAGTTTGTTGGCGTTGATGCCGGCGATCTTCGATACCCACACGCATACACTCGACATTCTATCGAGCCGGGCACGGCTTCCTGTATATTCCCCTGCATCGATGACCCTGGCACGCTTCCGACGTGGACCATGGCTGTCAAATGTCCGAGGACGCTGGGCGACGCACTTTGGCAACCCCTGGCCACCCAGCACAGGAATGGAAATGCAAATGGCAACCGCGATCGCGGGGCAAACCAATCCAAGGCTGACAGAGACTTCGCTCTTACCGAGGAAGACAAGCTTCTGGAGATGACAGTCGTATGCTCCGGCATTCTGTCAGACGAGATCGTCGATCCTGAGGACGAGCAAAAGAAGATAATGACTTTTGAGATGGAGAAGCGGGTTGCCGTGCAGAAAATCGGCTTTGCGGTCGGTCCATTCGAGCACGTCGACTTATTCTCAGATTTTCGCACAGAAGAAAATGACGAGAAACTCGGCGCCAGTGCCCTCAAGATCCACGGCTACTGCCTCCCCGGGAGAGCTGCAGAGGTCCAGAACACGTGTGCAGCGCTCGCCGCCGCCGCCGACTTCTTCACCCTGACATTTGCTCGATATCCCTTTGACAACTACAAGATGTGCTTTCTCGATGACATGGTGGACGATACGGTGGCTCTCCAATCACTCTCCTTCGTCAGCACCCGCCTGTTGTTCCCCGAGGACATCATCGACCTAGAGGTAGACGTCACGAGGCAGTTGGTATACAGCCTGGCCTCGCAGTGGAGTGGGATCAACCTTTTCCCCAATACACGCAGAGATCTCTGGGTCGTCATCGGCATCGCCTACTACATGACCGACCTTTTCCTGAAAAAGCTATGCGGCAACAACGACTACAGGTTCAGGATGAAGACAATGTCAGACAAGCTGGTGACAGTTGACATCAAGCGGCCGTCACTGCACAAGCTTGGCCATCTCCTGCACATTGGAGATTTCGAGATGGAATTTATGGCCCTCAAGGCGCCCTTGGTGCTCTTCATTCTCGACAAGCGGTTGATGAAAGCACCTGCCCAGACCAACCTCACGCGCATCATTTCCCGAATTCTCTACAAGGCCAACATCGGAGACAGACAGAGCGAATGGATTATCAACACGGAGTCGTTCCAGAGGGTTTGCGAAAAGAACGCCAGGAACAAACTTGAGGCTTTCTGGAACCAATGGGTGTATGGCTCGGGCTGCCCCAGGTTCGACGTTTTCCAACGATTCAACAAGAAACGACTCTGCGTCGAGATGACAATTAGGCAAGTTCAGGACAAAGCCATGAGTGAAGCTGAGCTCCTGAAGAAGTCGGAATTTCTTCGCGCCATCAAGGAAAAGGCCCACGGCGTCAAGACAGACGAAAAGGCCGGCCTATTTACAGGCCCCATGACGATTAGAATTCACGAAGCCGACGGAACACCCTACGAGCACATAGTAGAAATTCGCGAGGATGCTGCAAAGGCCGCTAAGTTCGAGATCCCTTACAACACCAAGTACAAGCGATTGAAGAGAAAGAGGAGAGCAACGGAAAAGCTCAGCGCGCAGTCTGCTGCTGACCCTGACAATAACGAAGATGCACTCTTGTATTGCCTGGGTGACGTTCTGACCAACCCCGAAGACATGAGGAAGTGGGACTTTTCCGAATGGGAGCCCGAGATCGAAAAGGCCATGGACCAAGAGTCGTACGAGTGGATTCGCATGGACGCCGACTTTGAATGGGCCTGCGAGATGAAGACAAATCTCCAGAGCTACATGTACGTGTCCCAGCTCCAGCAAGATAGGGATGTCGTGGCGCAGCAGGATTCGATGCTGTATCTCAAGAAGAGTCCGCCCCATCCACTGGTGTCGACGTTCCTTACCAGAACCCTTGTCGACCGGCGATACTTCCACGGCATCAGAACAATGGCTGCAGAGATGCTATATCACCACGCCGCGGATAAGGTCTCGATGGCTGGTATGACCCATCTGCTAAAAGCCTTCACCGAGATGTTCTGCTACCCCGATACCTCCATGCCTCGGCCAAACGACTTTTCCGACAAGAAGCAGTACACCGTGCAGAGCGCGCTGCCCATGGCCATTGCAAAGATTCGCGACGCCAGCGGTAGATGTCCCGAAGCCGCACGACGCTTCCTCCTGAACCAAGTTCAATTCAACAACAATGCTAATAACCCGTACTCGGACCACTTCTACGTTGCCAAGCTTCTAGAGGCTCTCGCCCATAGCTTGATTCCAGAGAAGCGACGGGAATCCGATGATGCCATGGATGTGGACATGTCTGCCGAAGAGAAAGGTTTCCTCAAGGAGGCTATCGTTGAGATTGATCGCTTCCGCAGGATGGACGAATGGGCCAATTCTTACCAGAACATCTGGACAACCACCGCGCTCGAGTGCAGACGCAAGCTCATGAAAGCCGGGGTCATTCCTAAAAGTGCCGTGGCCTTTGTTCAGTACTTACAGGACGACACGTGCGACTTGGTTCGACTCAAGGCTTTCGAGGCTCTAGTGGATCTGGGTTATTTGATGGATCTGCCTGTCTTCCGCCTGATTCTTTCCGTTATGAGCACTGACCGGTCTCCATTCGTGCGGGATAAGCTCGTGAAGATCTTCTGTACAGGTCTGGCTAGTCTCGCCTTTGGAGAGCAGTCAAAGGCCAAGGTCGCGCCTGCTGTCCCTAACGGCGGACTCATGATCGTGGACAACACCGAGGCAGAGACGCAGAAGAGGCGGAAAGAATTTGCACGAAAGCAGGATATCAACGTCGCACTCGAGGCTCTGAGGACAGAAATGGAAGAGCAGTTTACAGAGCAAGAAGCGGCACTGGAGCGAGCGTTCTGGAAGGCTATCAATTCTAACCTGATCGGGCGTTCCGAAAAGATCACGCTGCTGGAGCTTTGCGGCACCATAGTCGATGCTGCTGACCGATGGACGATTACCCTGAAGTACCCTAAGCGATGGAGGGTCAATCGTCCCGTCCAGCGTCAACCTGGCAGAGTCAGTCTCTCACTCGGAGTGCCTATTTCTTCGTTCACTTTTGCTAACATACGCGCAGAACATCATCAACTTCAAGGCTTTCTTCAAGACGGGCATACCGCAAAAGATCGAAGAGCCCGAACCGCCAGCACCGGTTTCGGCACCGGTGCCTGCGCCCACGCCTGCTCCTGTGGTTGCACCGTCTCGGCCGCCCGAACCGAAACGACTAATCGTCAACATGAAGAGCGGCGTCGCCAGACCCAGCAAGCCTACGGTCTCCCTCCCACGCCCTGCGTCCACGGCTCCTCGCCCATCGCCGGTCTCTGCCACACAGTCCCCCGTACCGAGTGCGGCACCATCGCCCGTTCCGCGGGAAGCAGACTCTATCGTCGCGCACTCGAACGCCAAGGCGCCTACCCCGAAGCCGTCTTTCTCAAAGCTTCCCGGGTCCAGGCCGCCGAGTGTGAAGCCCGGTATCGTCAAGGCAGGTATCGCCCAATCCGTGGTGTCTTCGGCGTCATCGTCGTCGTCTATGCAGCAAAATGGCCGCTCTACTCCTCAACCCACGCCTGAGCCCGGCAGCAGCAAATCGCAGAAGCGACCTCGGCCCGACAAGGTCCCGGGAGTTGATGAGGCATCACCAGCGCTCAAGAAGGCCAAGCTGACTGTCCGGCCTGACGGCACTGTGGTTAAGAAGCGCAGGATGTTCAAGTTCCGGCACCCCAACCTCAAGAGGATCCTGAAGAAAGCCGGCGTCAAAAGTCAGATGCCCTACAGAGATCCGTCAAAGATACGGAGAACAGGAACACCAATGAGTGTTCGTGCCTCTCCCGCTGGATCACCGGCTCCTCCCCCATCTGAGAGCATCAACGCGAAGCCGGCTCGCAAACCTCTTCCCGGCGCACCGTCCGCAGGTAGTCCTCCACCAGTCCCAGCATCACTACCGCCAAAGCCTCCGCCGCAAGCATCGCCACCCCCTCTTGAGGGTCAGTCCGCTCCGAAGAAGGTGAAGCTTGTCATCAAGAAACCTTCCAGTTCGCTACCCAAATAAACAACCTCGAACCGCTTATTCATGAGATGAGGCGGGAGATATGGGTGGCCAGCAGAAAATTCATGCCCATGCGTCTCCAGGCCCTCGCAAATTGCTTTCTTTCTTCCATCTTCACGGTCATCGTATCATGCTTCCGAAACAGGGTTGCGTGAATTCACATTATTTTTCAGGCGTTCTTTTAGGGCTTGAGACAGCGGAGGCTAGGCGGGATTATACATCATCATTACAATCAGGTCCTAGGGGAAGCGAAACGTTGCAAACCACAGCGAGGGGTTAAAAAAGAATAGGGGCACGAAAGAGGATCGCGGCGAGCGTTCCCAGCGTGCCGTACTTTTTGTTGTATTAGTAAAAAAAAAGAAACACGTTCGGGCAGGAGGAGAGAGAGATGAGGAGAAGATAGTCTCCCCCCAAATCGTAATGATACCTCCTTCAGTCCAGTATGCCTTGCACCACTTATTTTTGCCCATCGGTCCTTTTGACGTTTTTAAGCTTTGGACTGCATGTGTGACTGCAAACACTTTCCTCAGGTGAACGCCGCCGCGGGGCCTTGGGTCCTGTTCACACTCGTCAATTTATGTATTCACACCCCCCCTCCCCCATATAGCTGAAGACGAAGCATGCGATGTAGACTTTTCGTGATGTCTCCCATGATTGAGAAACGGGTTTGCTGGTGGCGGTTGTGCAGCAGGCGGGGCTAGACAGCCACTTGAAGTGTAAGGTAGATATCCCATCGCCAGGGCAGGGTCACAAAGCCACAAAAGCTCGGAATCCCATCCTCATACTGTAATAACCTGAAGGGGAAACCGAGATTGGCGAGGCGGAAGCCCGGCGGAGGGTTCCTCGCAGGAGGTAGTATCGTGGTATTACGGTGCGGGGAGGACGTCAGGCCACCGCACCGGCAAACCGTGTGTACATCAACCAGTTAACATAGCGAATCCATGAGAGTTTAGTCCCCGTGCTTTGGAAGAGAGGATACAAGTCAGGAGATTTTACTGTGAAATTTGTATTTCTTGTTTGCAATGACTGTAAGTGGTTGTACACGCCCCACATCCTGACCGGATCGCGCCGTCTTTGATGATATTAGAGCTTACGGGATATTCTACAAAAGGAAGACGCAGCCGCTCCAAAATGACACAGAAAAGGAAATGAAGGATGGCAAGGGGCTACCGGGCTTTGCAAGTCGTGGCCAAGTTACCACTGCTACACCCGGATCTGGAGTCGCTGTCCCCTTCCTTCTTGGGTTCACGTGCTTGATAAACTTTCACCCTGTCCTCTGTCTTAACCCAGGCCCATAAACGCCAGTCTTTTTGGTAGTTCCAAGTAGCAGGATAAGAAAACAAAAAGCCTCGCCCTTGCGATGAAGAAAAAGGAAAACCCCCATGGATCCTATTCAAGATTTGCCGCGCTCTGTTGAGAAAAGGTGGTATTAGAGAGAGCTATGCCGCGGACCGAATTAATGAGAGTGTCCATGGTCGTCGTGGCTATGACCGTTGCCGTGGTCGTGATCGTGGCCGTGGCCATCATGGCTGTGGGTGGACTGGCTGCGGAGACTTCCGGCAGCTTTTGACTCGGTACAGCAGCCCCCTGCTTCGCAGTTGTCTACGCACTGCAACAAGCAGGTCTGCTTTGGCGAGCCAGCGATGGCAGTGCCATCGTATTGAGCAATGTGCTCGGGCTCGGTAGCATGGTGCTCGTCGTCTCCGCAGAACTCGGGTTGAATGGTGGCCGCGTGGATGCCAAATCCGTGGAGACATCTGCGGGCCGACTTTGCAAGCTTCATGTACTTCTCGCCGTTCTCGGCAGAGATTGGGAAGTTCACGTGGACGTGGAGAGAGGCAACAATCTTGGTATCGGAAAGTTGCCAGACGTGAACGTGGTGGCAGCTGATGACACCTTCCAACTTCTCGATATCCTCGCGGATCTCCTGGAGGTCGATGTTGTCGGGGGTAGCCTGGAGAAGGACCTTGGAGGTTGCCTTGGTGAGAGGAATGGCGGATTTGAGGATAATGAGAGTGATGAAGAGAGAAACCGCGGGATCGGCGTAGAAACGGCCAGGCCAGTCGGTCAGCCAGATGATGAGAGCGGTGACAATCACACCAACGTTGCCCAGAGCATCGCCAATGACGTGAAGAACCATGGCGTTCATTCCCATATCACCGTGGTCGTGGCCGTGGCCACCAGAGGCCTTCTTGCGCTCCTTGTTGTGGTTGTGGTCGACGTGAAGGCTGGACTCGCGTCTCGAGTGCTTGTGGGAGGATCGGCCGCGGGAGTTCTCAATCGTGTAGGAGTGGTCGTTGCCCTTAGACTTGAGCAGGGGCGACTGCTCATCAGGCTCGCCATCCTCGATAACAGTCTCCTCAACCTCGCTCTCGCTCGTGGTCGACCCCTGTCCGTCACGCTGAGAACGGCTGGCGTCGATGATTTCCTGGCGGAAGCTCGAAGGATAGATGCTAATGTCCTCAATGCTAGTGAGACGCGAGTGGTTTCGCGAGCTGTTTCTTCGGTTCTGGCTCTTGGAAGTGGCGGATGTGCGGCTCTGGGCTCGGCCCGACGGGTCGGATTCCCCATCGAACCGAATGCGACGAGGTGTCTCAGGGTTGGCACCGGCGGAGGCTCTAGCGACGATGGCTTCGGGGAGAACATCACCAACGTTACCACCATCGTTGTCGGTAGCGTGCGAGACGTGGGCGCGGCCCTCCTCGGCGGCGTGTTCTGCAGAGTGGGGATGGTCGTATCCGTGGTCGTGCTCGCCGTCGCCGTGATCGTGGTCGTGCTCGCCGCCGTGGGAATGACCGTGGCCGCCGAGAACAAAGAAGCCGACGAGGTTGGAGGTAAGGCCGAGAGCACCAACAATGAGAATGAGAACGGGGTTTTCGATTTCGGGAGGATCAAAGAATCGGGTAATGGCCTCGAGGATGATGGAGACGCAGAGGGCGATGAGGAAGACGGCGTTGAAGAAGGCGCCGAGAATCTCGGCTCGCAACCACTGCACACTCAAGTCAGCTCTACAATATCGTCGATCGAGTGGAAAGGGAAAGACCTACACCGTAAGAGTACTTGTCGGTAGTAGCCTTCCTTGCGACGGCAACGGCCCAGAGTCCGACACAGAGGGAAATGATGTCGTTGAGCTACTTGAGTTAGCGATACGTCGCAAGCGGCGCGGCAGGGTGGTATCGGGGCAAACGCACCATGTGGAAGGCATCGGCAGTCAGGGCCAGCGACTTGACGACCAAACCAACAATCAACTCGACGAGGAAGAAGACGACATCGATGGCCAGCATGATGCTGATCCGCGTCGACTTTGACCACGCCATGATGGGCAAACGTCGATTGACCGCGGACGATCGGAAGAAGAGGAAGAAAAGAGCTCTATAAGCCCTGGACTGTATTGGGTTGGCCCAGTAAGCAGGTTGTGGTGGAAGGTTACGTCGTTGTCGCTGTTGCCCGTTGGTGGTTGAAGATGCGCGGATCGGGGGACAAGGGGGGGGGAGGGGGAAAAGAAGTAAAAAGAGGGAAGGTGGAGGGGCGTTGCCGGAATGATATTTGAGGAAGTGGGAGGGTAAAACAAGATTGAGTTTTGGGGGAGGGTGCGGTAGTGGAGAGTGGCAGAATGAGGACGCGAGTTGAGTTTGGCGCTACGCTGTATCTTGACCTGACGGGGTGGGAATAATATCGCTCTCGCTCTACATTAATTGATTACTTGTTTCCTTTGCAGCTTTGCTAAGTCATGCTCTGCTTTGCTCGTCGGTGCTCAGTGCCCACTGCTCTTGCTGCAGCCACTCTCTGTCACGTTCTCGTCTTTCTCAGATGATGTACGGGATGCCGATAATTAATTGGGATGGGTCAGAGTCTGGGGGTTTAAAGAACTGGAGAAAAAAAGCCGGAACGCGGTCGGACGCGGCGATGGCACAATGCGCAAGCCAACAGCGAACGGTTTGCAGATGTATTGATGTATTCCTCAGTTGAGTGGGTAATATGACGGAATGGGGATTTCTTTCTTTTTTGCACCCCCTCGCCGTAGGTTGTCTCTCCTCTTCCTTCGCCTTATTAGGTGGTGTACGAAGTATTCGTACGAATTTGGATAGAATCCATTTCCCACCTCAGCAGGCGAATAACACGTGCTCGCTGTTGGCTGCTCGCAGCACGCAAAAATCAAACAGATGAGATGGATGCAAAGGGACCAGGGGGCGACTCCAACTGAACGGGAAGGGGAAAGAGCACGGGGCAAGGGGGGCAAATGGCATCTCAGGGCACCGTCACCTCAGACAGAAACATCAGCTCTGCCTTAGTCAGGTAGAAAGGGGACTTTCCAGGGAGATCTAGAGATCTAGTCCGGAGAGGCGTGATGGAAGCAAAGAGAAAGAAGCTCTATATTTCTGTGACGACTAGACTGCAGCTCCAGCTTCCACCAAAAGTGCCAAACGCAAGGTACCCGAGCTGAGGAACAAGTGTTGAAAGACCAGCCTGAGAAGCACCGAGTGCATCGGAAATGCATCGGTCCTCCGCTTCAGCACCGGCCCCATCCCAGCTACCGCCACCGCAACTCAGTGACAGAAAGACCGAGCTTCGGACATGTACAGATATATGCCCGGTGGCCCGTAAGCCTTACAGCCCGAGATCAGACGAGAGAAAGAGCGGTACTCCAAATCTGTCAGAGCTTACAGAGTGAAAGCCACGCTGCAGATTAGACCGTGAAATGCCTAGTCGCCTGCAATGCTCTTCCCTCAGGGCGATGCATAGAGGCTATCTCGCTCTGGAGTTTGAGCGTCTCATCTGCGTTCGCGTCAACTCACGTTCTGGCATTGCAGTATACTTTTTGGGGCAGAAGCTTACGATATTCCCTCAGCCTTGCTCTCAATTCTCGCACCGTCGCCATCATCTCGAGGGCTCTCGGCTCACCTTCATTGCACTGAATTACCAGCATTTCCCATTTTCTCGCAGATTCCTGCAGTGATGTGTCGGTGCTCCGATCAACTAGTCGATCAAGCTTCTCCAACTTCTCCTCCAGGGCTAACACCTCACACTGCAAGTACCAGATGTTGCGGGCGCTTAATCTGTTAAACTTTCGAAAGATGAAGCTTTCGGAATCAACATCGCTAGCCAGCAGCCGAGAAGCTTCCGCGAAGCCTAGGCCGTGGTCTATGATCTCTGTGGGCTTTTCGATGTCGTTCATGATGTCTTGCGTTCAGTCGAGAAGTTGCTGGACCATCTCCATGTCCATACTTGTCTCAATATTGTGCCAGGCAATGGCGAACGGCCTAGTATGAAAGGTTGAGCAGCACCGCTCCAGCCACCAGGAACCACGCGTCCAAAGCCACCCTACTCTGAAGCCTAGCGAGGTGAACGGCGCCCGGATGTGCCGGTCATAGCTAATGGTTTCTAACGAGGCATACTCGCTGTGAGACAGGCAGACTGTTGCGGGGTCGCACCTTTCAGTCTTGACGACGGATCTGTTCCATCCCGTGTCCATGTCTCTGACTTTCTGCTCTCCCTCACATTCAACCCCGGTTGACAGACAGCTTTCCTAATTTTCAAGGCCTTCAGGTTGTTCACGATTCCACCGATTGCTAGGTATACTTAAGAAGCGAATATGAAATCTCCAACATCTGATCTCACCCAGAGATTCATTCAATACCAACGCGCGCGGGAGTCGCAACGAAGGAGCTGTCCGTACTGTGGTGCGCGCGGCCACAGGACCTCCGACTGTAATGAGATCTCGACAAGAGTGTCGAAACCTACTAGCTGGCGTTCAGACAATATTAAGCCGAGAGTTGGGACAGAATACACAGAGGCCTTTCCCGATACAGGAGCACAGATCAACATCATCTCGACCGTCTTAGCTGAAAGGCTGCATCTTCGACCAAAACCCAAAACGGAGTGACTGATTCGACTGCCGACTGGGGGCAGCGTTGCGTCTCTAGGTCTAACGGTGGTACCCTTCAGATTCAAGGGGGAAGAGACAGTAATAGATCTCGACTGCTTCATTCTCCCGCTTAGTGGGCGTGACCTGATTCTATCAGGACCATTTCTTCATGCCACGGAAACGTTGACGAAGTACAAGAACAGGATTGTTACTGCATTTCGTCAAGGCAGCAGACGACTCGGTCTGTATCTCCTTGGTAGCGAGAAGCGACGCCTTCAAGGGCTCATCGACGGTGAGCCTATTGAGGCCCTGCCAGACACCGGTTCAGACGTCATGGTTCTCTCCGAAGAGTATGCTCTCTCTCGCAGGTTCTCGGTCGACAGAGCCCTCGAGCATCAAGTTGACCTTGAGCTAGCTGATGGCTCTGAAGTCTCTACGTGCGGCCTAGTTCGTGGGGTAGACTGAATGTTCGCTGCGTCGCGACGAAGGGTCAAGTGCGACTTCTACGTCCTCAAAGACTTGTGTACGGATGTTGTTCTCAGCAACGACTTTTTATTCGGATATGACGTGTTTTCCACGCAATTCGACTCACTGTCGGAGCCATCGTACAGCGAAGAGGATCCGGAGCTGCTACTTATCAGCCTGAAAAGGAACGGCCGGTCCGAATTGATGCAGCCGGAGAATCCTTCCAACATTGATTGTAAGCTCCACCAACCCCGTTCTCGTTGCAATGCCTCCACTGATATCAATTCTGCGTTGTAGACACCTCTGCGAATGCCTTTAGTCGCCAGCGAGTACTAGCTGAGCTCGATCGCCGTGATAAAATCGACGAGCGAATCACCGCGCGAGGTCCCGACGAGCAAGAAGCTGAGCGGAGAGTCGAACTTGAGAGACGACGGCTATGGGAAGAGCTTCGGCAGAGGCATCGATAACTCCAGGCCACTGCTCGTCTGAATGATGATACTTTTCCCACGCCTACGCCGGCTCCAAACATACACACGGCGACGGAGGCAAAGGTTAAGGGGCGTTTGGGATTCGCATACTTTTTTGCAAGGCTGCGAGTCAAGGCTGTCAGGAGCTAGAAGATGAAGTGTTTTTACTCTTTGCAGGTCTTGGACCTAGGCTTTTTGAAGCATGGCGTCTCAGGATGTCCAGCATTCACGTGCTGGGCGAGGCTTGGTAGTACTGCTCCAGCTCAGTGAACAGAGGCATCGACCACGCAAGGATCATGATAAGAGCAGGCGGAACACTGCAAGAAGGGAGCAGGGGTCCATAGGGAGATATACTACAATCTGGTGGCTTCAATTCTAGGTGAATTTTACGGGTTAACGGCTTAGTGGCATACGTTTCGATTACTGACGTACAAAGTCACACTGGAGGGATAGAGTTCGCAAAAGACTCAGTCAATTTGACATAGTAGATCTTTCAATTGATGTCCAGCTGGACATGGAGTCGTTATGAGTACCTACAAGCTACTTTCCCCACTTGGTGTCTTCGCAAACAATGTAGACGTGGCGTCTCGTAATCCTCGGTGCTACTCGGGCCACCTCCTTAACATGCATACCGGGCGTGAACGTAGTCGGTCGATTTAACAGCAGTCCTAGGCAGTAAAGGACGAAGGTCTCGGTACGAGAGTGTGGCATATCGCCACCAAGGAGTCCCTGACGTGCCCCTTCCTGCCTAATGATGGTCTTCTAAACTGCCCCGTATAGAGCATGTTTAGGCAAGCCTCGCAAGCAGACATGGTGCCATGATTAACCATGGTTTGTGCTTAGCTGCCATCTCAAACTGTGAGAGCTCGGCCCGGAAGGCAAGGCGGACGTTGTTCCTTTGGGCCACTTCCCAGTGGCAGCAAAATCATTGTCAGATCCACATGATTATCAACACCACGATCATCTCTCAACGGCCCGACTCGACCTCGCATATACCAGCAATAACTTAACATCGCACGAGCAACTTCTCGTACCACTCTCAAACTCCCTCTCAAACTCATCTACTAGCCTCTTCCAAGACCCTATTCTCAGCTCGTCTCCTCTCCATAAAGGCAGCAAGCAACTGATCATACGGCGCAGACCTCCCAGCCACCGCGCGTTTCGAGCTCACCGAGTGCCTCTTGCACGTCAGAGACCCCCCACACCGACGACCCTCGGGCAGCGGGACGCTACACTGGCGTTCGACGTCGATGGAACCTAGTGTCAAGAACCCTTAACATCAGCCACCGTGCATGAGGAGATAACGATACTCTTGTAATGCGCCGTGGGGGGTTAAGGTTTTGGATAACATACTTTCTGTTGCCTGGCGCCTCTGGGAAGTCTGAGGCGTCAGTGTGGGACCCGCGTGTTCTTGGAGCGGAGAAGGAGGCGCTCGATCACCTGCATCCGAGACTTCGCCTGAATGGACTGGATCCATGGGGAGTCGAGATGGGTGGAATAGTGCGGCGTTACAGTCGACCCCAAATACGTTGAACAACGACGAGAGACTGAAGATCCCAATATTAGCCTGCACGATATGGTGCTTTTGGTTATTGAGCCTAAGAATGCATATAGTAGGTACCCGCTGTCGCAGAAATATGGGCAATCAAAGGGAGTGGCACCGAGAGGCCGAACCAAAGAATGGTCGGTCCTCTTTGGGCGTTCAAGAATAAAAAGTTCCGAATGTTACGCAGATTGGAGGTGACTGGCGGCTGAGGGGCCTCTGATATTTCCGGATGAAGGCTATTTACGGATAGGAAAGCACGAAAGGTTGGATAAAGTAAGAAACAACTTAAACCCGGCAAGAATTGAGGTGCGCTTGGTCGGCACGTGAGCTTCTGCCTGGAGCGCGGCAGCTCGGACAGGGTACCGACGGAGAGGTATCCACTCAGCTCCGACTCGGTCGCGGGAGGCGTCAGCGGCGACCCACCCAAGGGGCCGATACGTACTGGCTTCAGGCAACCCAACCGGGCTCCGGGCTGCGAAGTAGATCATGCTTTCTCAAACACGATTTCCACAAGTTGTGCATTTAGAAATTGTGGTCTTCTTCTCTAGACTAATGTCCAGGTGCATATTTCGTTCGACCCGGATTGCTCATGATCGGTCACATATTGCATGTTCCAAGTATATCCTACAGTCTATCAAAGATTGGATTCTTCTGGTATCAAATGACATCGATGACCTTTCGATTGTTGGATCATCTGGGGCGAACGGCACTTGATCTTCGCCAAGACACGGCACGGCGGCTTCAATCCCCACTTGTCTGTCCTCATCCCGCGCTTCCAGCCCACAAAGTCTTGAATCTCTACCTCTATCACACTGAAACAGAGAAGCCATGTATCTCCGAGTGGACAGAGAAGACTGGTCAGTCTAGTTCCTGTGTCCATGGAGATCAGCGCGTTGACAATGAGCCGGGAGAATCAAGAACGGGAATCTCTGTATACCTACCCAGCTTGAACGTACTGATAAATCAAGGATGTAGTATCCTCCGGCTATGCAAGAAACTTTCTTATTGACAACCCCACGACGTTCGATTAGCAACGGCGCCAATTTCGCCCAATCGTTTCCCATGACTGCAACCCCCTGACGCACGCAGGTAACATCAAGATGTCAGCTACCCCGACGACTCTTTGACGACATCTAGAGCTATGAGAAAGCCAAAGAAAATGACCGACAGCTATTATAGAGTCAGTAAAAGAGTGCTCTTGCGCTGTCGGGTTACTGAAACGGCGTGATGGTGTCAGGGTAACGTACAGCCAAGAATCCCAACGCGAGCGTTATTAGTTCAAAACCTCCGGCTAATGCCTTTCCGGCAAACATGGCACGCTGGAGTCTCCAGGCTCGGAACGCCCCAAGCGAAACGATGCAGATCGAGAAGCTGTAGCACAGAGTAGCCAGAGGTTTGCCCACCGCCGTATACCCAAAGCCTGTGTCTGACGCCTGTAAAGCAAAGAGTTGCGCTACCACGGTCCCAAGGACTGCCGTGGCCACTGAAGTACGAAGATATCCTAGAAAGGTTCGCTCAATTGCTTTGAAGAACCGGAGAACTCCTGTTAGCTTTCGGCCTATCATCAATCTTCGGCAGCGAAGACGAAAAGCAAGGCTGGTAAAATGGAGATGACGGGACAGCTTCCGACCATGGCAGCCTTCTGGTAAGTGGCACTATGAGGTTATAAGAGCTCGTGTAGCAAGGTTGCAGTCCTGCTGTAGATCGATCCGAAATGACCAGGAGCCCATCAAGCACAACACCATGTATGGAATGCGACCGCTAGTAACCCGGAAAGGATTACTTCTTGGTGAGGGGAGATGTAATATTGAACACTCGCAGAAATGATGATGCCTACATGCAATTGTTGACCACGCAAGAATTGCCATGCAAAGAACGGAGGAAGGTAGACGAACACAGCCGCGACACAAATATCAAGGTTCAGGGTTCGAGCCTTGGTGACAAGGAAAGGAACTTTCGGGACGACCGGGACCATTAAGAAGGACGATCTCGAAGAGGTTCTGAGTACGTAGTAGAGAGGCGTCTGAGGTCACTAAACCATGCAGATTGCTGCTAAACTGACCATCCTGTGCAGAGACATCTGGAACAGTGACATCCCACCCTCTTGCCGTACAATCGGGACAGGATAGCAGAGCATCAGAGAGGATGCGGAGGGGGGTTTCCGGAGTCAAGTTTGAACGACGCTCAACGTGAAACCGTGCGTAAAGAGCAAAAAGACGGTCCTTTGGTTGCGCACAAAACGTACCTAGGTGGTCGCGGCAAGTCTCAAACTCCACTACTACGCTGACTTGCTCGCTCCAAAACCGCTTAATGGCACATTCTTTGCTAGACGACGGCGGGTTCTGGGCCGACGGTTCCGCACTCGACGCCTCGCTGTTGTCCTTGTCTTTTTCAGAAACATCCCGAGCTGTCTCTGGCTGATATTGGGTCGACTGATCGTCATTTTGCTTTTCGTGATGCTGTGTCGGCTCTTGCGATGTGATATCTATGGTGTCCCCCAATGACTGAGGCTCCTGTAACGGCATGTTGTGTTTCCCGTTCGGCAGTTCGCGTAAGGTATCCCGCCTGCTAGACGCTGGAAACAGTCCAGGCCCTGCCAAGTGCCAAGATAAAGCAACAAGCAGACTATTGAGTAGATACAGGCACTCCGACTTGGCTGCGTGATCTCAATGTCGATAAAACTCCGGCTGTGTTGCAGACTTGTTGTGTAAGTAGTGACCAGTATCGCCGCGGGATGTGGTTGGGTCGGCAGCTTGCAGGTGATCGAACAAGTTTAGGTATGATTAGACGAAGCTTCCGTTGTTAGAAGAACAAGAACGATTGTCAAACATCATCAAGGAGCCGAGAGACGAAGTTGCCTATTCTGATGTTCAACTGACCGGCAGCATGAGCTCGGCGACGAAGCCGGGCAGACGGCAGTCGGGAGCGGCAAACCCGCTCGACATAGAGACTAAATGCGGCTGCCGGCGATAGGAACGATGACTGGCGCAGACGTTGAGTTGCCGACAAAGATAGGGCAAATGGTCGCCGATGAAAACGAATGATCCACTAGATAGACAGGGATGGCTAAGTGGTCGGTGACTTGGTGGACGATTTGATGTTGGGGCCAGGAATGCTTGAATCAGTTTGTAAAGGAAGCCCGAAACCAGGACCTCCTCTCGAGTGGAAACTCGCTGCCGTATTCGGACTATTCGATTCTCCAGAGAATACCCGTAGAGCATTGAAAGATATGCTCCATTGGAACTCGCCGTTGTCCTTGGATGTTCCGGAAAGGTCATCGTAGTGTAAAACTGAACAAGGGAATGAGATGGAGACGATGCAGCTCCCAGCACTCCACTGTTCTCCAACTTCTAGATCTGCAACCTAGTGTTAGGAGGAGCATCCACATAGAAATGGCTAACCAGAACAGTGGAGAGCGTAAAAGCAGGTGGTTCCGGTCCGGCGGGTTTGATGGCTGTTGTTTGGGTTGAGGGGCTGAGATGTCGTGATGGGACAGGGAATGTACTAACGAGATTGAGGCCGGGACGAGGCTCAGGTACAGCCGCAATAAGAAAACCTCCGACGGGTGCTCCTGCGCTTTCTATTCCCGCCGGCGGTACGTCCACTCCACGGGTCGCAGATGCTTCCGAACCGAACTCAGGGTCGCATCTTGCCCTGCAACTGCATCTGCTCCGCGACTTCCGTGCCAAAATCATCTATTCTCAGGTAAGGTACCCGAGCTGACCTGCCTCTCGCGGCTCCCTTGACATCACATCGTTGCGTATCACGCGGGGAAGGCATATTGGATCATGGATGGGATCGATGTGACTGCCCGTGCTTGGTTCAACACCGTCCTGTCCAGAACCATCGCTGCTTTCCCACCTTGGCCAAGACAAAACAAAACACCCAACGACATCGTAAACTCCTTACACGATATGCAACCGCAAAGGCCCCCGGGAAGACTTCCACAACAGTCGGGCACCTCACGCCAAGCCCTGACTGTCGTCGATTTACATGTGAAGTCCCAGTGAGAATGGAGTCTTGACAGGCCATGTCGCCATTCCGTCCAGAGTCGCACTACATGAGACGAACGACGACCACTTGAGATGGACAGCCGAAAAAGTGTTGGATTGAATGAGCACTGCGCAAACTTTATCGCCTGATTTTCGAACCGTTGTTGTTCTACTCTAGGCGACGACGTGCCTCTGCAAGGTGCGGATGCAACGCAGCTGTGCACCGCACGCAAGCAAGTATTGTCCGAAAAGCCCTCCATTGGAACCCTTCACTGAATCCAGTCTCAATCTAGCGCAGAGGCCAATACTACACACTCGGTACATGGCAACCTGTGGCTGTAGTACGGCTTGCCCACGAACGCAATGGTCATCGGCAGGGCACGGCTGGTCTGCATCCGACTATACTGCAGTTCTTACACCGACGCAACCTTCCCCGATTATCGACAAATTTAACGGGCGTCTTACGAACCGGGATCTTCAAACCGAATGACAAAACCATATGGCTCGATATCCGGTTCATGGAAAGATGATTTCCCGCATCCCCTGGGGAGTACGGGTACATTCCGCATCGACAGCAGAAGTAACGGGGGGCTACGACACAATTGTGGCTTCTGATAACAGTCTACACCTTGCGACGTATCATTGCAGCCGTTACCTTGGGATTGACTTCAATGGACCAGCTCCGTCTTGCATCAACGACGCAGATATCGCATCTTAGCGTGAGCCCGTCTGACTCTAAGCTTGTCGTGTTCGACTACCTACCTACGAATAGGGCGAATGACCCAGCACGGATAGGGGAGCTTCTCAGGAGTAGCCGCAAGCAACCGGTCGACCAGGGATCTGTCGGTGGGACAGCAGAGACCCAGACGCCGTCCTGTTGGGACTCGGAACCGATCCCCACCTCCCCCAGTCTCGCCGTGCAATTTTGTCTTTCCGGCCAGCCAATCCGGCTCCCTGATGGGCAGGACGGGCCGCCCAGCCGTCGTTCGGTTCCTTCATCATGGATTCTCACCTCGGGTCGCCCTGGATCTCGATAACTTGTCGTCAGCTATGCAGGCTCTCGTCCGCCTTATCCTACTGGATGCTGCTTCGCCGAACGTTATTGCCACTGGGCAATATTCGAAGCGGACACATGCAACCTTTTATATTCCTTACGACCAACACGCTCAGGTTGCCGATCCTTTGCGGTATCGACAAGTTCACTGGGTATCGAACTTGCCCATCATCTCACAACCGACGATGGCATGCCCCTTGCGCTCCTTCGGCGAAGCAGGGGCCGCCGTCAGGCTAGCCCCATGCTCGAATACAGTTGGGGTTCCGTTCAGCGGGTGCACAGGGTGGCCAATTGGGGACGCTGTCGGTTCCGATACTCCGTCTGCACCACGGCGGGTTTCTTTCAATTGCCATGGGACATCGGCTTGCAGGTTCCCCGGACAAGTGCAACGAAGGCCAGTCTGTCCGTCGTCCCTGGATTCCTTGACCACGCGGCGACGACTTCCGATCTGCCGGGAAACTCTTTCTAGCGCTCATGGGCAGCCTTGTGTGGGATGACTTCAGTACTGGCCGGGATACGTGAGCTGGGATCTTGGTTCCTAAACCCGACGCAGCTGGTTCCTCCTCGAATCTCGAGTTCCATGCCATGGGTTTGTGATTGAGAACCTTGACATGCGTATGCAACCAGGCGGAACGTAACTCTCGGCAGCGATGCACCGAATGCTAACGAGATCGATAGCACGATGCTACTACAAAACTCGGGTGCCTGTTGATTGAGCAATGTACTACTTGCCGGCCACCGCCTTGCCATGTTTGGCTCAACTTTCTTGCTGATGCTTCGCGATGTTGCAGGAATGGTAGCCTGGACAATGGTTCGGAAGAAACGGTCTTGACCAGGGAGGGGACCTAACCAGAACAATGCCCCTATCCTCACACCCCTTGGGGAAGCTGACGTGAAGCAAAATAGGTAGCGCAACCCCGATTCTTCCCCACTTGGCCGTTTGCTAGCAGTCATTTGTCCACTAACTTGATGCACTCCCTCAAGAACTCCAACTGCTTTCCCCATAGCCCACCGCTCGAACGGTCCGTTCTTACCGAAGAGCCCATATCGCCCAGAAAGTATCAACGAACAGCAAAGTACGAAGAGCGCCTTTCATAAGCTATGCTTTTGCATGGTTTGGCATGGCACAGCAGCTTGACAGGGAGCTGAAGACCATCTGCTGGTCATGAAGTCAAGTGACTCGACTTGGAGCGCTCGAATCCCACGTTGGCCTTGCTTGTTATCGGCGGCGTTGCGGTGTCCCTCACTTGCAGACATTTGAACACCAATCCGCCTCGCCTGTCCGGGGTGGTGAGAAATCTCCCCATCCCGGCAGCCAATGTTGCCATGCACCACCGGGCTTTCCGTTTCCTATCGATGCTGGACGGAGGATTGCCCACAAACAGCTGACAAGTTGTCATTGAAGCTTCCGTTTAAAACACGTACGTGGGAAAGTCACCCTCCGTTTAGACGTACTAGACCCCATACGTCTGCCCAACTCTTCGGGTTCCCGCTACGTTGTACTTTGTTTCTCACCCCTTCCGTGGCTCTCGTTATCAATCCCGTTTCTTTGCTTCCTTCTGCAACTAGACCCATATTGCCTCATTTTCAGTGATCGTCTGTCATTTAGACGGATAAATGTCGGGCTCATGTGAGCATTCACGCTTGTGGTTTGCCTGCACTTTGAGTCTCATATAAGTCTTACATGCGTCCATCACCAATCTTCTACTTGGCGTGCGCTCTATCCCATAGCCGCTCGTTCTGCCATACCCTCCAAAAGTCAGCCTCTTTGAGAGAGGAACTTCCAAGAGGTTATAACGCCAGCTTTTGAGCCCTTTTGGATTCCCAAATTCGGCCAATCTCCCTTCCGCCAGACACGGCTATCGTCCCAGAAGCCTCCCTGCACCCCGTCCGACGCACTCCATCGCCACTTTGCGTGCTTCACATTGCAGACGTCGCCAGGAATCCGGAACAATAACTCTCTCAAGATAATCTGCTATGCTGGGGACGTTTATCAAGATGAGCACTTTGATAGACAGCCAAGCGGGGCGCGATATTGAGGCACCTGTCTCTCCACCCGAAACCGAGACGAGCAATTCGACGCCGAACACGGTGTTTTCTCCGCCATATAGTCCCCAACAAAAGGTCCAGCAACTTTTGAGAGATACAAGAGTTGCAGCAAGGAAGAAGTTGGATCAGCTAACGCTGGAGGAGAAGGTACGGCCAAAATAGTCACCGCCTCGGACCAGAGGGCTTCCACTAATAGTACGTAGGTCTCGCTGCTTACCGCCGCAGATTTCTGGAGAACAAAGGCTATTCCATCCAAGAACATACCGTCAGTAAAGACATCAGATGGACCCAACGGTGCCCGTGGTGGTATCTTTGTCGGCGGAACCAAGGTTGGTCGCACTAGACGACGATGTCCTCAATTAAGTAGCTAACCTTTGCAGGCTGCTCTTTTCCCCTGCGGAGTCTCCCTGGCGGCAACCTGGAACAAGGACCTGCTCTACGAGGTTGGCCAACACCTGGCCGATGAGGCTAAAGCAAGATCTGCGAACATTCTACTAGCGCCGACGGTCTGCATGCATCGGCATCCATTGGGCGGGCGTAACTTCGAGTCCTTCTCTGAGGACCCTCTTCTAACTGGCAAGCTGGCCGCCCAATATGTCCGTGGCTTGCAGGAGAAGGGCGTGGCCGCAACCATCAAGCGTTTGTGCATTCTGATCTCGAGAAAACTGTCTCTTTCTAACATTGAGTAGACTTCGTTGGCAATGAGCAAGAGACTCACAGGCTGACGATAGACTCTCTGATCCAAGAACGTCCCTTGCGCGAGATTTACCTGCGACCATTTGAGATTGCTGTCCGCGAGGCGAATCCATGGGCTCTTATGTCCTCATACAATCTCGTCAATGGCGTACATGCAGATATGCATAACTTGGTGCTGAGGGACATCCTTCGAGGCGAGTGGGGTTACGATGGGTGAGAAGAACTCGGCCAATACCTACTTTAGGGTTCCTGCATACTAACTTGCGTTTAGAACCGTCGTGTCTGACTGGGGTGGCACAAACTCGACAGCCGAGTCCATCCTCGCAGGGTGCGATGTCGAGTTCCCGTACTCTCCAAATTGGCGTTTCGACAAGGTGATTGAGGCCATGAATGAGGGCAAGGTGGCTCTAGAAGATATCAACCGCGCCGCTGAGAATGTCCTGACCCTTGTCGAGCGACTCAAAGGCGACGACATGTCAGCAGAACTGCCAGAGAGAGAAGACAATCGCGAGTCGACACGCAGTCTCATCCGCACTGCTGGAGCTGAGGGACTGACGCTTCTCAAAAACGATGGTGCAGTCCTTCCCCTGGACCGGAAAACAACCAAGGTTGCCGTCATTGGACCAAACGCAAACCGAGCTATTGCCGGTGGTGGAGGAAGTGCGAGCTTGAACCCCTACTACAGAACACTTCCACTAGACAGTATTCGCGCGACTTCTGAGCAAGAAGTTACTTTCGCCCAAGGCTGCCACATCTACAAATGGCTCCCAGTCGCGTCGCCGTACTGTACCGAGAAGTCAGGCAAGCCCGGCGTCAACATCGATTGGTACTCTGGCGATAAGTTTGAAGGCGAAGTGGTTGTGGTCCAGCGACGAGTGAATACGGATCTGTTTCTCTGGGATTCTGCACCCCTAGCCGAGATCGGCCCCGAATGGTCAGCGGTCGCAACGACTTACCTTACGCCAAAGAGTACAGGAAAGCATACGGTCAGCTTCATGAGCGTTGGTCCTGGCAAGTTGTACGTCGATGGCAAGCTTGCTCTGGATCTTTGGGATTGGACCGAGGAAGGAGAAGCCATGTTTGATGGGTCTGTGGACTACCTCGTCAAGGTCGACATGGAGGCCGGTAAGCCTGTGGAGCTGAAAGTCGAGATGACCAACGAGCTTCGCCCTGTGGCAAAGCAGAAACAGTTCGGCATAACGCACAAGTACGGAGGCTGCCGGATTGGGTTCAAGGAAGAAGACCAGGTCGATTTCCTTCAGGAGGCTGTCGGTGCGGCTAAGGCGGCTGACGTTGCAGTTGTCATTGTTGGTCTGGATGCGGAATGGGAATCGGAAGGATACGACAGACAGACTATGGATCTACCTTCCGACGGTAGTCAGGATCGACTCATCGAAGCAGTGGTCAAAGCGAACCCTCGTACCGTCGTCGTCAACCAGTCCGGCACACCCGTGACTATGCCTTGGGTCGACCAGGTTCCCGCCATTATTCAGGGTTGGTACCAGGGGCAAGAGGCCGGAAATGCCTTAGCCGATGTCTTGTTCGGCATCAAGTCCCCTAGTGGAAAGCTCCCGGTAGGTCATTTGCTCCTTGTATCTGCATGTATGCTGACAGTTGTGGAAGTCAACTTTCCCCAAGCGCATTCAGGACACTCCCGCTTACAACAACTGGCCTGGTGAGAACCTGAAGGTCAACTATGGCGAAGGTCTGTACATTGGGTACCGCCACTACGAGCGTGCCAAAATCGAGCCGCTGTTCCCCTTTGGTCACGGTCTTTCCTACACCACTTTCGAATACGGCCGTCCGTCAAGCAGCACAAAGACACTCACGTCTCGGGGCACAATCGAGGTGGTCTTTGCGATTAGCAACATTGGCTCGGTACATGGCTCCGAGGCTGTGCAGATCTATGTGCGCGATGAAAAGTCCAGGCTACCCCGCCCGGAGAAGGAGCTTGTCGCCTTTGAGAAGGTGTTCTTGGAAGCCGGGGAAACGAAGCACCTCACCATTCGCCTCGACAAGTATGCCGTGGGCTATTATGACACCTCGGTTCCGGGCTGGATCGCGGAGGAGGGTACCTTCAAGATCCTTATCGGCGCATCATCCGCTGATATCAAGTAAGTTGTCCAAATTTAAGCATGATGAAAAGAGACTAACACACCCCTCAAGACACTCCGTCCAGTTCGAAGTCAAAGAGTCATTTAACTGGGTCTTCTAATATGACCTTGATGCTGCTTGATACTCACTATACCATCTCATACCTTCTTTGTCTGTGTATCTGCTCGGAGTACATACTTTGCGTGATCGAGTAGAGAGACGCGTCTGAATGGGAAGGACGCTGATCTATCAAAGTCACGAATAAACTCTGTTTTGAACATAGCTACTTGTCTTGACATTAACTCATATACCTGAGCTTGCGGACAGAGAATGTCCTGTTGACATCGATAAGGACTTTGGGAAAGCTAGCGCGAGACTCAGCTGCAAGATTTCGTCAGCCATGACAGATGTGACTACTGAACCTAGGGTGCAGTGTTAATTCGTACTTCTGTCCATCGATGACCTCGGCTGTCTCTTCAAGACACGCCGGGAGGCTGTCGTTGGAACCAGTCGGCTGGATGATGTGTTGTCGACGGACGGTACGCACCTCCGCTGGCACCGTTTAAGATGGGCTACTGTTAGACGGTGGGGTCCAGAATCTCGGGAGGCTTCTTCCATATTTCCCAGAACGGCTTCGTGGGTGCGGGCTCTCCGAGCCTCTGCCTTACCTTATCTTGCATCGTGAGGCGGGGGAAGGGGGAACCTTGGTTTCACCCGCCTCGCGTGCTTAATCAATATCTCTCTTCCCCCCACGGATACGTGATGCCATACCATAGCTCTCGCAAAAGTCGTCATCAGGTACACCCTCTTCCTTGTCATGCTCACGCGTGACCTTACCCCTGGCCAGCTATCGAGGCCGTCCGAGATACACACGTGGACGCCCACGCCAACCTACAATGAACTGCAAAGTCTTCGAGCTGGAACATTGATGGAAACGTTCAAAACTATCGACCGAAAAGCCATCAGGACCTTGGGTCTTGGGGATAGAACTCAGTGCCATGGAGCTACCACACCCCCTTCGTTCCCCTTTATTACGAATAGGCGGTGTGTATCGGTGATTGCGTGTGGTCGCGTGTGAAGCGTCGTAACCATGGATCTCTTTTCGACGGGAGGGTCGTGTTCAGGAACCTTTGGCTTGGAGGGCTGGATGACTGGGAACGAATCGACGAGTCGTCATGTCACCAATGGCAGCGTCGTAGCAGTATGCAACGTTTCGGTAACCGGATGAATAAGCTGTGATGATCTGGATGGTCACGGGGGAAGGTATTATAGGTGCAACCCCCCTCGCTTGTCTCCGGGGCGTGGAGGTGAAGATGGATAGTTCGGAGACTTGCAAGGGAGAGGCGGGGGAGGTCTCGGGACGGCTAAGATGTTGTCGGAACACGGTATGGCACTTTTGGGTGTATTTGACTTGATGATGTGCCATCGAAAGCCGTAGTGGCATGTACAAGAGAGTGAGAGATTCAAACGTGTGACTGAGTGATGGGTAGGGATGGTGCTGATGGCTTCATCTACACGTCTCGCTGTACTACGTAGCCGGTGCCCGGAACCTCATAAAGGGCAGCATCGTCTGATGTGTCTAGATTTGATTGAGATTACATGATGAGACGAAATTATGACTGATGAGAAGCCTTGAGAAGTCCTAGAATTGGTGCAGTTGAGAACCTATTTGACGATCTCACTCGAGATGTTGCAACGCCACAGCGTCCTGGTTGTAGTGCCGACAACAGACGCCTTGAGAATTGATGCCCCCCGTCGTCGAAGTTCGATATGGGGCATGCTGCAAGATATGCTTCGAGAAGCTTTCCTGCTTGACTGAAGTTCAATTCCCCTGGCAGGGAAACCCTCCAAAGCCGCCCGAATCTCGAGTCTGTTTCTTCGGCTGACTAAGACGGGGAAGCACAAAGGCGCTGGCAGGCACGGCAGGGCAGCACGCGGTTGTCAGAAAAAGTGGCACATATACAAGCAGTTTTAGCTTATACACCGCAGAATATATATTACAATAGATATATAAAATCTAGAAAAACCGCTTAATATACCTTAGATATTTGAAATCTGTTGATATCTATATAAAAATATCTAAACAAAAATTGAATTTGTGAAGGATTTATGAACTTGGTGGTTAAAGTAGATAGCTACCTGAGTGTGCCATTTATTCTGACAACCGCGTGGGCAGGCAGGAAAGGGGGTGGGGCTTCCTCGAGCTGTCAAGGTGGGGCCGCTGTTCAGCGACGTTTCCAGTGCGTGCAAGTCTTCTGGGGCCTCTACAAATAGCAGTCTAGTGGGGGTGCTTTTCTTCTTTCCTGGGGGAAATTGCCGGGGCCATCCTGTTTGAATCCCGTCGTGATTCGTGAATTGATGCAATTGTCGCCACGCGTCGACTTCTCCTTTTCCTAATTGCGACGAGGCATCGCTTTTTCGTTTTGCGGCTTTTCGACAAAGGCGCCTGGTACTTTGTGTGTATTGCTCGTCCGTCAGCCTTCTTTCGAGTTATCTTAATTGGATATCGTTTCTGGAGAGTCTGAACTACAATCTCGTTTTCCCCGTTCATTCTTTCGTTGTACGGATAGTCAAGGCTCTATTATAACCTATTAATCCATCCCCAAACGAAGCTACCAACGACGATCGCGCGCGAGCTCCCGAAGAACCACTCACACGCCCACATACCAGACACTCGCATACGCAAGCCCGCCCACCTTGCACGTTTAGTCGGGATTGCGGCACTGATCCATTCCGGAGGGGGGCCCAGGGGAAGTGGGAAATCAGGTAAGGGATACAGACACGGGGCTGCAGGGGAATGGCAGCAGCCCGGGCTAGCCAAGCACCAGCAGCATGGCTCCGCCTTACAGCAACGGCAATGGCTACGCCTACAAGGGGTCCAAGAAGCCTGCATCCGCGTCTGCATCTCTTCCGTTCCAACATTACTACAATGACGACAGCTTCCGCGCCCGCCTGAGACCGTTGCTCGCGGCCCTACAACGACTACTGAGAACACTCTGGGCCTTTTGGCAAACCCGCGGCCGACGATTGGCGACCGGCATCATGTGGCAGGCTGGCAGGCGGTTGAGGCTGAACCTCACTTCGCGCCGCCTCCTGAGCTTTCCGCACCTGCTGGTGTGTTTCTGGGGCGTCGTGCTTCTCTGGGGTGAGGGCTGGGTTTTCAAGAGTCGAGTCGCAGAATGCAAATGGAGCAACTGGGAAAACTGGGTAGGTCAATTGCCGCGCTGTTGCTGTCAATCGACAATGCTGATTCTTTGGTAGCCGGCCGGATCGAGCCCACACCACCTCGTCTTCGTCGCTGATCCCCAAATAACCGATCCCAAATCCTACCCAGGTCGTCCCTGGCCCTTGGAAGACCTGACGGTCCTCATCACCGACAACTACATCCGCAGAGGCTACAAGCAGCTCCAATCGCAGCTGCGGCCCGACTCCCTCTTCTTCTTGGGCGACCTCTTCGACGGTGGGCGCGAGTGGAAGACTGCGCACAGCGACTTCAAGGACCCACAATGGGCTGTCAACCGACGACCGAAGAACGAGAAAGACCACGTCAAGGGATGGAATGATAACTATGGTCAGAAATACTGGTTGAAGGAATACGAGCGCTTTGGCGACATCTTCTTTGGAAGCTGGGGGCTAGGCGGCACCAAGGCCGGCGACTGGCAGAGGGGTCGCAAGTTGGTGGCGAGCTTGCCAGGGAACCACGACCTTGGCTTCGGAGACCAAGTCAAGGGGTCTGTGAGAGATCGCTTCAACACGTACTTTGGCGACGTGAACCGTGTCGATGTTATCGGCAATCACTCCATCGTCTCTGTCGATGCCTTGTCACTGAGCGCGGTCTCGTCGAAGCAAGCCGAGGTCGATTTGAAGGCGATCCATACGCCTACGGACGTCTTCCTGAAGGACGTTCAATTTACCAAGAGGAAAGTCGTCGAGCGAGAGTTGCGCTTCTGGAGGGGCGAAGTGGAAGTGGTGGCCCAGGACCACAAAGTGGAGGAGCTGGAAACAGCAGATGTCAAGGTGCCGACTATTGCGCCCGGTGAAGAAGGCCCCGACTTCCCTACGATTCTTCTCACCCACGTTCCCTTATATCGAGACCCAGGCACGCCTTGCGGACCCCAGCGAGAGCATTGGCCTCCTACGAAACCACCAAAGGGGGAGAAAGCGCCTATGATGGATCATCGAAATGCCATCTCTGTCTCGGGCGGCTATCAGTATCAGAATGTGCTGAACGAGGACGAGTCTGTCAGGCTCGTGAAGAGCGTTGGCAACATCGTTGGAGTGTTTTCCGGTGATGACCACGACTACTGTGAAGTCATTCACTCCGCGGAGAAGGACAACGTTCGCGAAATCACCGTCAAGAGCATGAGTATGGCCATGGGAGTACCTACACCTGGCTTCCTCATGGTCAGTCTGTACAACCCAATCGACGCCAACGGCAAGCCTCTTCCTGGTGCTCCAGAAAAGACGTTGCAGACTCACCTGTGCCTGCTTCCGAACCAGCTTGCGACTTACGCGAAATATGCCGGGCTTGCGTTTGTCACCCTCGTTGCGATTAGCATAAGATCATCCCTGGTGCCAGTACTGAACCTGACGCCCTTTGCTCTGCATGACGAACAGCCGCAGGGCGCTATACTGCCGACCATCAAGGACAAGGTCGAGGATGACGGCACTTACAGCATGCACTCGACATCGGTGAACTCCGGATCTCGATTCCTCACGGGTCAGTCATCCCGTACCAGGAGCGGATCCATCCGTTCCAACGGCGCTGCCCCCATGCCGCCGCCGAGAACCAAGTTGAAGAAGCAATGGGGAGCGCCACACCGTGCGCCGCGCATCGAAATTTTCGCAGACGAGTACGGAGCTGGGATGCCGCGGTTGACATGGAAGGCAGCATCTCAGCGGTCGAGGACGACAATCGGGCGTGTCGCCCGCGAGATTGGTGCCTCCATGTGGAGGGTTGTGTGGATGGTTGTCTTGTTTTGGGCCTATCTTGCATATAAGGGGTAGCAGGGCTGCGGTCTACTCCCCCTCAAGCGTGTACAATTATGGGAACATGGGGCGGCATTCGGAAAAAGGAGGGACCCCATCAGCATTCAGCGGTTTTGCATTGGTTTGGCTGTCTGACTGGAGGATGCTGGAGAGTTCTTTGGGTTATATAAAAGAAGGTCCGTCGTCTTTGTTCATTTGTGTATCATAGCCCGAGACGTCCGACCAGAGAGTATTGTATCGGTAGTCCAATTTTGATGGATGCTTCTGGAATAAAAAGGCTTTGAGAAATCAGTTGCCCAAGTTCCTGTACCGGTCGTCCCAGTTCCTGCCTCTTCGAATCTGTGACTCTGAGGTTCTAACAGCTGCGAGTTTACGGGTGTAGATACATCCCTTGAGTAGGCTGACTTTCCTTTCGTCTTGGTCTTTCCAACAAACTGAATCGGCTGTGATGAGAGGCCACATATGAAGAGCTTCACTTCATCAAGCCTCCCTGCTCCCCAGCAAGAACGCACTCGTCCACAATTACGATGCGTGGGGCAACGCGAGACCACCTAGGACAGACGAACGCCTGGCAGATATGACAGGACTGTAGTAAGATCGATTGGATTCCAACTCTCACTTAAAACACTACGGCTGGATCTGGTACGTGTCTGGTCGTTATTGGACCATATGATGGGTCGTTTGGTCTTTGCAATGTACTCGAGAATGAGTAACAGCCTTGTGTAGGGGCATGCGTTCAGGTCTCAGCCTTACTTAAGAGTAATCCCAAAGGCAGCACCGTCCCAGCGCCTGTGTCGGATTCAACATCATTGCAGATGCCTGAGGTGCTTCTCTGTCGGCCAGGGGCGGAAGGTACAATGCTGGCATGAGGAAGGAAGTAGCACTTTCCTTTTTCAGATCGTGATTCCTCCTGCCTTCTTGCCCATTCTATAATTCACCAAACCAACCCAGTCAACCCATTCTTTGAACTTTTCTCCCCTCTTCAATTGATGTGTTTGGAAGCTGCACCGAATATTCGCGTCTCACATCAAGACATCCCAACTTCAATCTTCTCGTCCTCCGCATCAGCGCCTGGCATTTTCCCACGTACGTCACCCAACCTCTCATTCTCCAGTCTTTACTAACCGAAGGGAACAAGAAATAGGGTCCATCGCGCCAGATCGGTGCCTGATAGCTGGCAAGCCATGCATCCAGTCGTCAACCTCCCGACCCCGGCTGCCGGCGATGTCTTCACCCACAACGGGAACCTGAACGTCACCAACGCCGCAGCGAACATCTTCGTTGTGTACGACTGCGATGCGAGGGACGCCGAACAACCTTCCTCGAGTCTCACCGTAGACTTTGTCATGGGAAACGTCTATCTCATCGACGCCTCGCTATTCGGCCACTGGGGAAGCAACCGTGTCTTTGGGAATCTCGTCAAAGGCCTCGGACTCCAACTCGAAGGGCGTCTTGAAGGCGATCGCTCTGTCGACACGGTCTACGATGACGTCGTATGCGTTGTTAATGGACAACTCCCTACGTCCTGCGCGATCGGCACCATTGCTGGCAATTTGGTCACCGTTTCTGACCTTACCAGTTCTAGTGGGAACGAGGCAAGCCAGGTTCACAGCGTCACAACCAACTACATTTACGGATGCCACCTCCTCGAATCCCATCTGTCATACGGCGGTGGCCTTCAAAGGGCTTACTCTGCCTGGGCTTCGATGACATTCCTTCCTGTCCGGCCATTCAGCTTGCCTGCGAATGGCATTCCATTCCCCGCCCAGAACAGTACTTCCTACACCAGCCATACTCTCAAGGCTAGCTTAGTGGATCACCATGATACTCTTGGACTTCGAAGTGCCGAACAGGAGGTCAAGCAATTGAGACGAGTCGTGGACGACTTGTTCTTGCGGATTACCTCAGGCCAAGCGACCGCCACGGCAGACCAAGGAAGTCTACAAGCAGGAAGCTCGTACACACAGCAGATATCCAGAGGCCGGACAACTCAGCGCGATGTCGTCTCTGGCTCAGGCTACCAACGCACCATAATGTGTGCAAATTGTTGCAGAGGAGGCCATGAGGTCAAGGACTGCATTGGTCCGGTGGATGTCGACGGCTTCATTTCCGCCTGCCCCATATGCAACGTACGCGATCATCCATTTTCCAGTTGCCACAAACTGAAGGAGACCAAGAAGAAGACCAAGAAAACCCTGGAATTCTTGTATCTCGTCCAGCGTCGACAGAACAAGCCTCCCATTCGATCGACTACTTGCTGGATATCCGTCTGGGCCGCAAGCGACTGCCCTCGAATGCAGCTGCCTCATACGAAGGATTTCGCCCAGAAGATCGGCCAAGGACTGATCCTACAGTACCCTGACTGGCGAACTTATGACTACTCCGCACCCTTGCCACAGCGCGACGCAACCAATGCCGCCTTACTTCGGGACCCAAGTACCGAGTATGAATCCGGAAGACCATGTAGTCTATTCCCAGGAACCCAAGGCATGTCCATAGGCGAAGGATACAACGTGGTCAGAGCCAAGATGCACAGGCTGGGTATCAATCTTTTACCGAATGCCCCGAACCCGGCAACGTTGCAGACCAAGAAGATGAAGAAGCAGGCCAAGCGGAATCAGACCGAAACGGCCTTGAGTCAAGGAGACGGCAGTCGCTTTGCAACAGGGGCAAACTGCACCATTGTTCAGAGGCCTCTTCCAGTCTTGCCACCAAAACCGGTCTTCACCCGCGCCCTGACCATCAATATCAAGCAAGAAGAGGTCGATTGATGTTCAGATCGTTGAGTCTTGTGGTCGATCACCTTGATTCAGGATCCCCTCATTGTGTCACAATCAAGCTCATGGAGAGATGTCACTCCGTGTGGTAACGGGGAGGTGGTCCATCGCACCTGTATTGGAGTTGGGGTATACTGCCTTAACCACGAGTAGCCTGATACGCGCGTGGCTACATCTGAGCATGGCTTAGATAGAGAATATCAAATATGTGCGCTATTCGATCATTCGCATGCTCTTGTACTGTCTCCCGGCCATCTCTTGATTGTCGTAGGGCGTGATCGGGAACCTTTATGCGAGTTTCCAAAAGACGCCGTGAGTTACAATCGTGGTCTTGATATTAGCGCGACCATTAAATGAGAGTGCTCAAAATAGGCTTGGCGACGTTCCTAGCGACGCGTAGCTTACGATGACGTCTAAGTCCAATCGCCTCACTCAGCTACCCACCTCAGAAAAGCTGCATTGGTCTCGTTGAAATGGCACTCTAGGTACATTACGGGCTCAGGTGAAAAAGCGGAAGGTAAAGAGCATTCACAAATCTTCTAGATCCAAACGCTCATTGAAAAAGATGTGTAGAGAAGGGTAATGAGAGCAGCTAGGACCATTGGCAGAAGAGGACTGCTTTCGATGGTAGGTCGGGGACAAAAAAGACGGCGGAAGATGGGTGAACCGAACCCAAGGCCTTTTCAGAGGTTAAGAATTTACCCTGACTTGGAGCAGGATCTATAGCTTCTCTTGGATTGAGCGGGTCCAATTGCATGCCCGAAGGCAATGAAGACTGCAGTCTTGGGACATTACCAAGTGTACGGCAGGCGGAGGGGGACCACAGAGCCTTCCGGGTTACGTAACCTGCCTCATCGTACCTGACTGTGGCACATCCAGGTGTATTCAAGGGCCTCTTGCCGCACTTCAGTCACGATAAAAAGGTACGTCGATACATCTTCATCTCCATGACTGCATTTCGGCTGACCTTATCTCAACAATACAGCCAGCAGGACCTTAGCCTACCAGCATAGCTATCAAAGTCAACCCCAAGACAACTCACTTTCGATCTACGACGCTGTGGCTCAAGCAGTCAAGGTAGATAGATGGTCCTGATGGATATCAAAGTAACGGCAGGCATCCGTTCCAAGATCAGCGAAGCTAATGAGCAATTGGCTAGATACACCAGAAGGCTTGAGTCGCAGGAGAGCACTTCTAGGTTAACATCTGAACAGCCACCATGAAAGGCACGATCCCTTGCGTGTTCGCATTCGTTCGGCACGACAACCGATTCGTGGGCCCTCGTATTGCGGACTGGAGAGACACGCCGATAGCAACGTCAACCCGGGACGACCGTCTGAAAGATAACGGCAGGAATAGACAGCTCTCCCCGGTCCCAGTGGTGTGGTCGCCTGCCGGACCCCTCACGACGTTGACTGCGGGAAGGTTCGTGCCCCTTTTTCGTCTGATTTTTTCAACGGAACCACGATATTATTCAGAGCTATGGCCAAGGTATTCTCGGCCATTGAAACGTTACACGATGGCTTCGACTCAGGGGTTCGTACTCGGCATGACGAACGTATTCAGGATCAGCTGGTTGGATACGCGAACGCGTGGCGCGGCTGGAGGGACAGTCTGCGTGGAGTGATGCTTGCCGAGAAGCTTTAATATCTGAGGCTACCTCGCAAGTATTTCGACATCTTGCTCTTGTTCTCAGTCTCTATCCTCCGCCCTGAACCGACTTGATTCGAAGTTCCGCTTTGGTGACATGGCTATCTTCAACCTCGTTATCCAGGCCTCGTGCCTTGGCTTCGTCTTTGTAAGTTATGTCTCAATTTACACTTGTGATTTGATCGACAGCAAAAGCGCTTGTCAAGTTCATTTCCCTAACGCTTGACAGACCACACTTTACATCGTCTCATACATCATCTACAACCTCTTCTTCCACCCCCTCCGCCGCTTTCCCGGCCCAATCCTTATGCGCACAACACGAGCGACATTCTGCTACCGACTCTGGCGCGGCACCCTCTCCTTCGACATGCTTGATCTCCACAGAAAGTACGGCGACGTGGTGCGCATCGCCCCGGACGAGCTGGCGTACGCGGACCCCGCGGCGTGGAAGGAGATCATGGGCCACCGCGCCGGGAGTGTTGCGAATGGTGGCCAGGCGCCGCTCGAGTTTGAGAAGTCGGAGACGTTTTACAGGCCGATTGCAGATCTGCCGAGGATATCATCACTGCGCCGGGGCCAGAGCACGCTAGGCTGAGGAGGACTTTGAGTCATGGGTTCAGCGATCGGAGTTTGAGGGAGCAGCAGCCTGTGATTATGAAGTATGTTGATATCTTTATCGCCAAACTGCGGGAGCTAGCAGAGGTTCCGGCCCAAAATGCGTACCGAGACGAAGAAGGTGGCGGTGGCTCGGCGGCGGATCTCAGAGAGAAGGGGACAACGGAGGTCGGGGAGCCAGTGAACCTGACGCTGTGGTACAATTACTGCACCTTTGACATCATTGGGGACCTGGCCTTTGGGGAACCGTTTGGGTGCTTGGAGGGAGGGGACCTGCACCCCTGGGTGCGGACGATGTTCGACATGATCCGACTGGGCGTCGCGCTGCAGACGGCGAACCTCTTTTCGGCGCTGAGGCGGTTGATCACGGCGGTGATGTCGACCAGGGCTATGAGAGAGAGGAGATTTGAGCACCAGGCCATGACGATGAATAAGTTGAAGAGGAGGATTGCGTTGGCGGAGAGGGAGGGGCCGAGGGCTGATTTGCTTGAGGGGCTATTGAAGAAGAAGCAGGAGTGGGTGAGTTTGGCCCCCTGAATATCGGCTTCTCTATGTCATCACATACTTGGGGAGAGTGTTTGGAAATAGCAGATGCTGACATGGGAGCAGAACCTTTCGCTGCAACAGCTCGAGGGCAACGCGAGCATCATCATTATCGCTGGATCGGAGACGACAGCGACGCTGCTTTCGGGGATGACGTACCTCCTCTTGAAGAACCCAGAAAAGATGAAGAAGTTGGTGAACGAAGTCAGAACGACGTTTGATAAGGAATCAGACGTCGATCTCACATCTGTGAATAAACTGACGTACATGCTCGCGTGCCTGGATGAGGCGCTGCGGGTGTATCCGCCCGTGCCGACGGGTCTTCCCAGGACGGTGCCAGAGGGTGGGGCTACGATCCGCGGAGAGTTCCTTCCAGAGAATGTGAGTTATTCCACTCAAATCATATCTAGCTTCAGCCTCAAGTTCTGTTCCACGGGCGATGTCTCCCATCTTTACGTCGGAGTATCCCCGCTAATGCGAGAACTCTTACTCACATAGACAACTGTTGCTGTCCACCAGTGGGCCATGTACCATAACGAGACCAATTTCAAGAACCCCTTCCTCTTCCACCCGGAGCGTTTCTTGGGAGACCCGGAGTATGCTTTAGATCGCAGAGAGGCATTCCAGCCCTTCCACATTGGACCTCGGAATTGCTTGGGACGGAAGTAAGTTCCTCCTGACTTCCCTCAGCCCAAACACCTGCTAACCTGGCGTCACAGCCTCGCGTACGTGGAGATGCGGATCATGCTAGCGAGGCTTCTTTGGAACTTTGACCTCGTTCTGGCGGAGGATAGCAAGGCTTGGGTGGAGACCCAGAAGATTTATACCCTGTGGGAAAAGGGGCCGCTGAATGTTTACTTGAAGCCTGTCATACGTGACTGAGGGTCTGAGGGAAGAGTTTCTCAGTTCAGTGCGTGAAGGCCATCGATGGCATGCCAGCTTCTTCTAGCATTGAACCTCTGTTACTGCATGCGCACTTGACTGGTGGTTCTCGTGATTCACATCCATGTCAAAAGTTAACACATCGGAAACTCTTCGTATTTCCTCTGGGAGCTTCCTTCAACCCTCCATATCCAGTCATAAATACATGTCATATCTGAAAATTTACATCACCAATGATCCCAGCTAAGTATCTTGAAAGTAACTACTCCTAGCCGGCTTCTTGGCCTCCACATAACTTTCAGAGGACATATCAGTCCACGGACGGCCTGATGATCCGCTAGAGGCACTAACGACATCGCCATGCAACGGTTGCAAGCCGATCTTCCTGTACGCTTCCCAAAGGCTCTTGGACACAGCTAGAGACTCGTCGTTGTATTCGTCGTCGTTCGCCTTCACCCAGCCCTTGAAGTGGTCGCTCAGCAGACCGGGGAGGGACTCAATGGCCCCTCCCGTCATCATCTCACCCACCCAGAGGAGCATGGCCGTATAGTAGCGCTTTGTCAAATTCATTATCCGAGTGTTTGTCAGCTCTTCGGGGGGAAAGGCAAGAATAGCTGAGCGGTGGGTAGATCCGACGGAGATGCCGAAGCGGATCTCGTGGCTCTGGGGATGTACGAGCCCGGCGCTATCCGCGATCTGGGACCCCTCTGGCCACGAGATGTGCGATAGCATCTCAGCTGCGTAGCCGAATGGTAATGGTACACTCCAGCTTTCGATATCGTGGGCCTCTTGGAACGTTTTGAGATACGGGTTGTACAACGTCCATGGCGCGTGTTGGCGTCCGTACGCTTCAACAACGAGGTGATCGAGGAAGCGGGTAATGGTGTTGTTCGCGTAGGTGAAGAGAAGTTGGGTTTCAGTTTCGAGACGTACCCAGTCTACAAATGGTGGTTGGTTCCAAGCATCCCGAGGATCAATTTGGCCAAGAAAAAGGTATGTTGAAGGAGTAACCTTGGATGTTGTGTCGAAACCTGCAGTATGTCAGCTGGAATACTTATCGTAATGATCACGAACTCCACCTACCAAGCTGTCTGCGGAGCGCATTCATAAGTCTGAACAGAGTCATATCCCAATTGAGAACAGGACCCTCGTCCGACATGGATGGCCTCGTCTGTTGAAAGAACTCGACAATCAACCTATCGATTATGTGGCCCTCCTTGGGGCGAGTGCGGAGTTTCTTGGCATCCCAGTAGAAGAACAGAAAAGCCTCCTTCCAATCAATCCGGCCAGTGTCCATAGCCATAACGCTTCTCCGGGCGGCAGATGTGGCGGCGCTCACATTCGGCTTTTGGGTCATGATTGCGAGTGGAGTTTGAGACCGAGAGGTACGCGATTGTGCAGGTAAGAAGTTGGAGAACATTTTGTTGTGTTTTCGAAGGCGCGCCTGCCTAGGCGGGAGTGGCATAAGTACTCCCCTCTTCCCACTCCACCCCCGGATGATTATCGATGGATTTAAATAGTTCTAGAAGCGGTACAGGCGGGCGAAGTGTCCGAAGGAATGCTGCTTGTTGGGAACCAACACGAAAACGTCCAATTCGGGTAGCCCAAAATCCCTACTCTCACGCAAGTCCCAAACCGGCCAATGAACAAAGAGTCGGCTGTCTATCGTTCGGCAAACAAACAATTAAGCAAACACTTGGAATGTCACCCAAACCGTTGTCCCCATTCAAGATAACAAGTCCGTTTGCTCCACACCGATCCAAGGGTTTGGGTAAAATTGCGTAAACGCTGAGCAGCCTGCCGCATCGCGATTCGACCAATGATTTATATCCCCCCGCAGACGGCCCAGAACCTTGGAATTGGATGAGACTGGACCCTCTACGCGCCTCGTCAGATTGCCATTATTCCTTCTTTTTAATCATGAGCAGGGCCCCTGAAACGCCAGTCGTGATGAGTTCTTTCCCTGGCTGCATCCCCGATTCGTGGAGCAAACTTGCGATCTTCCCAACGGCCATCTTGACCACATCGCGCTCCGTTCCGACGTCGTCAGGGTGCGCCTCACGCCACCTCGTCACCGGGCTGACCGTCTCCAGGAACCTTTCGACGTGGTCCAGGCCCAGCTGCTGCTGACCCAAGAAGAACTCCCCGTCCGGTCCGACTGTGCCGTCCTTGTTCCAGTCTTTGCGCAGGAAAGTGCTCTCGACGAATTCCGTCACCGGCGTTTCGAGGTCCCACGGTAACGGTAGTGTCTCGTACATCTTCTCTGCGATGATGTTACCCGGCGTCATATACGGCTGGATATAATCGTCGCGGAAATCGTGTAGGATCTGCTGCATGCCCGCGGCGTTGGGCATGGACGGGTGAATGTACTTTGAGCTGCTCGTCCAGATAGCAACTGAACCGCCCGGCTTGAGCACGCGGGCGGCGGCGGCCCAGAAGCCGGGCATATCGAACCAGTGCGCCGCCGTCGCGGCTGTGATGAGGTCAACGCTGGCGTCGGCGACGTGCGGGGAGAGGTTGGACCCGAGCTCCTCCGCGGTGGAGACATCGAAACGGATCGGCTCCGAGGCCCCGCCTAGAGCCCGGGCGGCGTCGATCATGCCCACGCTCGGGTCCAGGGCGATCGTCCGTGTAAAGCGTGGGCCGAGCTCGCGGGCAACGGTGCCGGGGCCGCAGCCGACGTCGAGGAGGGAGTCTGTTTGGCCGCCTGTTGAGACGTGGTGGTCGTAAATGTAGTCGTAGATTCTTTGGTGGTAACCTAGCCTGCCTTTGGCGTAAATCGTGCCTTGTTCTTTGGTGTAGGCCCGGAAGGTTTTCTCCACCGAGGCGGGAGTTGGGACGGTTGCGACGTCGGCCATTGTAAATCTAGTGGCGATTTTTTCGAAGCTAGTATCAATAAAATAATGGAAGTGTCTACCTGTTTTCCCACACAAGACGTCAATTTTGATACAAAATAAACAGCGGAAATTTGATGTGGCCAGCCTGATCTTTATAACTCACATGTGCTCGAGCCGAACTCAACATCTGAGGAGGGCGTTTGACGAACGAGCACCAAAGTCTATCGTGATTGGTGAAGGGCCACCGAGAACGGCCCACCAACTTCTTTCCAAAGAGGGATAACCAAGTCCAAGAGAGCCAATCAAAGACCCGAATTATCTCACACTAAACCCGATCCAGGCGACGACTGCGAAGCTGATGCGGTCCCCCGCCGACCCGCTGCCGGTCGGTCCATGACCTTTTGGTGGCTGTAAGCCTTCTCAAATCCTTCAGAATCCCGTGTCCGTGTCCGATCCCCCTTGAAAACCGGCCTACAGACAACGGCCAACGGGATTTCTGACATTTAGTTCGCTTAACCCCCCTCGGCTGGAACGCTCTTTTCGTTGACCGTCGACGAAGCTGACAGAAGGGTGTTTGCCTGCCTAGAAGCCTCTCATCTTACCTTACCTTAGGGCCGGGACCCGGACCCCGGAGAAGTCGTGTTGAGCCGAACTCCTTCATCGCAGCATGGTTTACTATGGTGCGCTGAGTAAGGGTTGTCAGCGCTGTCGTCAACGGAAAGTAAAGGCACGTGCTTTTGAAACCCGATGACCTTCTACTTGCAACTAACATGCATTGAGAAAGTGTGATCAACGCAGACCGGGATGTCTAAAGTGCGAGAAGGGGCAGAAGCCTTGCCCCGGCTATCGGAACTTAACAGACCTTGTCTTTCGGGACGAGCGCCAACGCATCAGAAGGAAGCTTGGTGTCGAAGGGACTTTGTCAAAGCCAAGAAAACTGCCAATCAACTACGCGTTGTGTCTAGACATTGAAGACAGGGCCGTCCCCTTTTTCTTCACCCACTACACCACTACTGGACCGCCGTTCTGCGACTCATACCAATCATGGCTTGCGGAGACGTATCGCGAAGAGTCTCCTCATAACCTAGTCCGACATAGCATCCAAGCAGTAGGCATGGCTGCCATCTCTAATGTTTCCAACGCCCCTGAAGTCGTGTTGCGAGCCAAAGAGCGATATGGGCAGGCCTTGAAAGCTACTAATATGGCTCTGCATGACCCTTCTCAAGCCACGGCAGATACGACTCTCATGGCAATCCTCTTGCTTGGTCTATTTGTTGTATGATTGAATCCCGCCTCTTTTCAAAACCACAGCTAACTTGTTCAGACAATCATGTTTGAAAGCTGGAATGATAGCCATGCGTGGACGGCACATATCGAGGGCGCAACAGCCCTGCTACACCTTCGCGGCAAAGACCAATTCACTAGAGAGCTTGGAATACAGCTTTACATACAATTCAGACAACAAATCGTAAGTCTGAGTGCAAAGTCTCTGAGTGGACCTCACTAAGTTAGTTCCCCGCAGCTCCAAGCCTGCATGCATCGAGGTGTACCCGTACCCCCAGCTTTGGTCGAGATAACCATGCAATTCGAGGCCAGCCGACAAGGAACAGAGTACAACAGTCTACCTCCCGGATCATTGGCAGTACTTGGCTTCAGACTCGTCAATCTCTCTGCAGCCATGAACGCTCAACAAATAACAGACGCCGACGCAATCTGCCGGATAGCCGTTGACATTGATAGTGATCTCAACGCCTGGGCTTCAAGGTCATCGCAGTCTGATCGGAAGTTTCACGAGGCTGAAGCAGATGCACCTGAGAGAGAAAATAGTTTCAACGGGAGACGCCATGTGTATAACAGCGTTTGGGGAGCTCAAGTCTGGAACAACTGGCGGTCGCTGAGCATAGTGACAAACCGCATTGTCCTTGACCATGTCGATAAGCAGAACTTTGACGATGGTGCACTGAAAGAGAGAATGCGCTTCGAAAGTATCTCGATCATCCAGCGTCTTTCGATGGATATATGCATATCCACATCTAGTCTATCGGGGACACCGCGTCAGTCCCACGCATAGTCCTGCAGATAGACCACAGAGCTAACAGTAATTCTAGGAGCACCTTCAATGATCTGGCCGCTGCACATCATCTCTCAAGAAGAAGTCAACTTACCGAATGTGCGATCGTGGGCAGTGGAGCAGCTAGTAGGTATCAGGAAGTCTATGGGCATCAAACAAGCGGCTGTTCTGGCAAACACCATGGGCTGAAACTTGAAAGTGTTGGTTTTAAGGGTATCTATCTTTGGATATTGATAGACAAGGCCCAGTTAGTATTTACAATTGAGCCAACCAAAGCTGCTTTTGAACTAGCAATGTCTTTGCAATAATCTGTCTAATTTATCATAGTTGCAACTCACAACAGCGAGTCACCAGATTAAGCAACTGTGAGAAATTACCACATGATGCATCATCCTGAATTGTCACTGAGTTACTCAAACGATGTTTCCCTGCTTCAACTATGATAACCAAAATAGTGCGGGTTAAAAGGACAAGGTTTGAGAGTGCATAAACTTCAGCTACGAAACAGTCTACAACAGTTTGTTCATGTTGTCAATGCAGAAATCTGTTGTTTGGCTAACGCACTAATTAACGCCGACAGATATTGATCACAACTAAGCTTATTCATAGTGCTTTCGCTTCCATGCACCTGCTATCCACTAGAATAGAGAATTCGGTTCTATCAGCATTGCATTCAGAATATCGGAGAGGACGTACGGTCAATGCTGTTAGTCTCTAACCATACCCCTCACAGCGACAGCTTCGGAGCTTGGGCACAAAGTCTAAACTGCACCACATGGGACCCCTGACTCGTCACCTTCATCCAACGAACCAATCCCCAAATCTTTGAATATTCGGCATAATCCCAAATAGGCGTGTGAGCAACTTACTCTTTTGGGACAGCCCGTGAAGCTCGGTGTGCTTGGTAAAGGGCGTGGCATATTTATAATGCGCGCCCTGGCTCTTCATGAAGCATAGCGTACTGTATTACTGATCATTGTCAGATGAACTTATCTAGCCAGTGAGGTCTTTCTATCAGGCAGTTTGTTACTTACCACTTCAACCAAGATGGGATATACGACGATGTGGACGCCGGCGGCACTCCTGCCACTGCTACTGAAGCTTGCCGTCGTCCTATTAGCGACTGGACTTATGAGAGTCGGCTGGAAGGCCTACACCATCAGGAGAAAGTTTAAAGAAGTAAAGGCATTAGGGATTGTACGTGCACCGCAGTAAAAGATCCTTCACATCAAGCTGACAGCTCACAGCCAATGCTCACCCACTCTTGGATCATGGGTCATCTTCCCGTCATGTTTGAGTTCCGCAAAGAGTACTCAGGAGACATCAACATTGGCAACTTCCACCCATGGATCATCAACAACTATCAAAGACACTTTCCAGAAATGGACCACTGCCCTCCAGTCATTTATCTGGATCTATGGCCTGTCCTAAAGGCACCCATTGTGGCCGCGTACAAGAACACCGTTGGAGCGCAGTTCACACAGATGAAGAATCTCGACAAGCATCAAATCTCACTCGATTTCATGAACCCGTTGACAAAGGGCTTGGACATCGCGACCCTTCAGGGTGACGAGTGGAAGAAATGGCGAGGCTGGTTCAACCCTGGCTTCAGCTCGAGGAATGTTTCGTCCATGGTTCCTGATCTCATTGAAGAGATCAAGGCCTTTGCGGATAACTTGCAACGAGAAACCGGTCCTAATGGATCGTGGGGTCGCATGTTCCAGCTCCACAACATGACGACGGCTCTTACTTTTGACATGATTGTCCGTGCAGTCTTGTAAGCAAGCCTCGTCTCCTCCGGGATTTACAAGGACTAAAGGCTTTCAGTTTCGGCTACTTGTTCCCTTGGCAGAACAAGGCCGTGGATCGTAACAATAGCATTGTCCAACACCAACTTCAACCCAACATTGTCCGATCCCTAGAAGCCGGCCTCAAGCCATCAAAGAAGAAGACGGTGCTCAATCTTGGTCTGATGCATTTGGCGGAAGAGGCGGGTGGACGCCCAATTGACCCGACTACCGACCCGCTCATGATGGACACCATCTTGGGCAACCTAAAGACCTTCCTCGTCGCAGGCCACGAGACAACCGCAAGTGCGCTTTGTTTCATGTTCAAAGTTCTGCAAGACAACCCAGACTGCATGGCCAAGGTCCGCGCCGAACACGACGAGGTACTGGGTCTGGATCCCGACCAAGCTGCTGATATCCTGAGCAAGTCGCCTCAGCTCCTCGGTTCCCTTCGCTATACACACGCCGTGATCAAGGAGACTCTCCGTCTGTATCAACTTGCCTCCACCATGCGAGGAGGGGAGCCGGGATTCTACCTCAGTGATGCCACTACCGGTCTGCAGTACCCGACCGAAGGGTTCCTCGTGTGGGACGGCGGTCCGGGCATGCAGCATGACCCGTCCCTGTGGCCGCACGTCGACAAGTTCATCCCGGACCGCTGGCTTGTTCCTGCCGAAGACCCGCTCCATCCTGTCAAGGACGTTTGGCGGGCATTTGCAAGAGGTCCTCGGGATTGTATCGGTCAAGAGATTGCCCTGGTTGAGATCAAGCTGGTTGCGGCCCTGATTATGAGGAAGTACGATGTCGAGGAGGCCTGGGATGAGTGGGATGCTATTCAGTAAGTTTGGCGATATGCTAGCCACTCCGTTGCCGCATTGTGCTGATCACCATGTTTTACAGAGGGCCCAAAGCTAAGAAGGACATGGTCAGGGGACAAAGACTGTATGTGGCTGGAGATGGAATTGGGCATCCCAAAGAAGGGATGCCTGTTCGCGTGCGCCTTCGACAGAAGTGAAGGATTGGGTAGAAGTCTGGTTTAAACAAAGGAATGGGCATGTTGTGGGTGTGTACAGAGCAACACCATGTTGTGGGTATGTACTTGATGCTTCCAGGAGCCTTGCTCTGCTACCGACTACCGCCTATTTAAGGACCTTCAGTAGTCAGTACATGGTCTCCAAGCCAGCGACGTCCAACTGCGGCTGGCACTTGACGATCTGGAAGATGAGCTCCTCTTCCATGGACCCGAAATTGAGGTCGCCGTCCGCTGGTCTCTGAATACTTTGCCCAGCGATGGGAGCATCCTTCTTCCCGGTTCTCCAACCTCTTCCTTCTATCCACAATCTCTCCTCGTCTTGGTGATATCTTCACTGAATACGCTGCTGCCAGGGGAGGGATAGGGAAGAGGTTGGAGAACCTTGGCCGTAGGGGTTGTTCATTATCAATCAGTTTGCTTTCCCACATTTCTGTTCTACACACTTTCATTCACAACCAGCCTTGCCCAACATCGTCTGTTCTGTCGAAGCCTTAACCATATGTTTCTCCACAACATGTGGGTGTACATCCTCGTCGTAGCTCTTCAGTATGTGTTAGAATATTGGCAGAAAAGGTGGATTTGGAAGGTGGTGTGGGCCGTGCAAACGGCCCCTTCCTACCTACACCCAACGGATAAATCGTGGGCACCAACTTCCTCCTTACACATACATACGCAAAAGATATTATAAGTAGGTATTATAAGTAAAGAAATACGGCATTGAGGTTATTATTTCTCTGAACTTCAGACAGTTTATGAAACGCATTAACTACTAGAAACATAATTTATTAAGACAGTAATTAGAACAGCATGACCTCAACGCCTCATGTTTACTAGCCTCCCTATCATTAGTTAAATCATTGCCCTCGAATTACTTCCAAAACTTCTGAGAGAAGTTTGCTTTGATCTGTTCAGCCTGCTTCTCCATCTCCTCTGTTGTCAAGAGCCTTTGCGAGGCGCCATCCCGATCGGCATTCCCCCAGAACTGATCCCTGTAGAATAGGAGCGGTAGTATGCTACCCTTCCATACGGCCAATTCGCCTCGATAGATAACTGTTAGACTTATCATCCATGAAAGGGCTGAGACTTCAAGGATGAGTAGTACTACAGGAAAGATGAGCCAGCATGGTTTGAAGGCGATGAAGGTAGCGAGTTGGAGAGCTTCACCGTTCACTTTCGACGTAGTTCCTTCTTTCATTCCCATACCAAATCTCATTTGATTGGTCAACGCAGTTGCGAAGTCCGTGAAGAGCTCCGTCAGACTGCTCGATGTTGAATTTCCGTGTGCCCAGAGCCTCGAAAGCCAGATGGCACTCCCACAATTGATCGACTCCCGCTGAGTGGAGTCCCAACTGCAAGTACCATTCAAAAACTCTTCCAAGAAATACTGTGACATCAGGAACTTGAAGGTGTTACCAATGCGGTAGACACACTCTTCAGGAGCCTGAAAAGCAGGGTCAAACTCTGAAGTTCTCCCCGCTTTTGCGTATTGTACCGTCGAAAGGTCGGGTCCTTGCGAGAGGTTTCGATCGGTGTAAATGTTTCCTTTGATGAGGCAAGGAAGCTGTACTGCAGAAAGATTCCGATCTTGTTTGGGTCCTGGTGATTCTTTATCACCCACGTCGTAACGCATCGGGGTCTCCATAACGAGAGTCTCGGCTAACACTCCTCGACTAATGATGGCGGTGTATGTCCGAATACAAGGGTACAGCGAGCAAGTGACGGCTATGGCGTGTTTGGGGTTGTCTGTGTTGATCTTTCCGTCCAGGACCGTACTTGTCAAGACAGTAACATTCGCGAATGAGATAAATGCCAGGTCGAGCGCCTTCGACGGTATAGTACCACCAGCCCACGAGAGATCACCTGATGCAACCCTCATCCCTCCTTCTCTGTCCGAATTGATTATTGACATCCCGTTTCTCAAGCTGTGGTTAGTAGTGTGAAAATTGTCATTCAAGCTCCAATAATCGATCGTTCCTCCAACATCAGTGCAGAAGTTGCAGATGCCAGCGGAAGCATGAGTGACATTGAATCCGGCATTGACGGAGACATTTGAGCCCATACCAATGAAAGTGCAATTTCCCGTTGAACAGATTGGCACAATAGCTGAATTAATGCCGTTGCGGTCCAAGGCGAGAGTCTGAATTGCACCCTTGGTATCTGACTTCAAAGTCATGCCGCCGTTATGACCAATAGGCATTATTATATTCAGGCCGTCGACATGTCGTGTCACCGGTAGTGTTCCAGTGCCGAGTCCAAGAGTTTCGTTTCTGTCGACATGCCCGATAGCTTGCTGGACAAAGGGGCCAATCGCGAACGACGAAACGAGGACAACCACAGCAACGAGGATTGATGGGCTGCGCCAAGTGACAATTCTCATCAGCTTCAACGCCCCCCAAACGCCACGAGTACCGTCATCGAAATGCTGTAGGTCACCCATCCGTCGGTGGGCAGACTTGTCGCACCAGAACCACGTCCATTTGGCTTGCGCAATGAGTTCGGTTGCAATAGATACTAGGATTCCTCGAAATATGGTGGAAAGCAAATTGATGAGAGAGTTCAGAGTAATGATCCGGTCCAGAGGCCAGTCTCGGAAGGGGTGGCCGTTTTGGCTGAAGATAACCGTGATGATCACCGCCAAGAGACATGCGGCAAGAAAAAGGGATAGAATCTCCCAAATCCATAGAAGAAAGACGGATCTGCGGGTTTGGCTGTGTTGTTGAGCCTCGTAAATATCTTCATCCCGAAATCGTTCTCGAGGTGTGCTAGGCCTTCTAAGGCTAGCTGGAACGCAAGGTGATGGGATTCCGGGAATCCCGTACTTGGCTGTGGTCCATTGCTCGAGCTCAGTGGACGCGGAGACTTGGTTGTTCAAGTCGCGGTGTTCTACGAGTGACTGGCTTGTAGAAGTTGCCATTGGCATGTTTTCACTGGCCCCTGTTGCAGAGAGCTCGTATATTTTGACAGTTATTTAGGTTGAAGATAGAAAAATAATTCAACTGATTGGGAAGAGGTATTCAGTTCACGCCATGGTTAATATAGCCATATGCCGCTGGCCATTTCGTGTTGCACCTATTGTGAATCAGGCCGATGAAGCCAGGCTTCCAGTACGACAAGGAACGTGAGGCTCAAAATCTACGTTCCTGCTGACCTGAGAGATGAACATGCGTTAGGTGTCATTTACTCATCCATATTGGACTCAATTCAAATACCCGAGTGGCCCATGCTTGAGCCATTTGTTGAGTTTGTAAGTTGCCTCGTGAGGCTGTGCCGTGTACATATGTCGCACCTGGGCAACAAAACACGGTCATATGAGACATAAGCCCACAATGGTACCACATAAGCTATCAAGACTTAAATCAAAAAGAAAAATAGCCGCATGATCGTCGTTAAATACCGTATGTTAGACTCATTCTTCCGAATGCTCACCGAACTCTGCACTGGGGTAAGTGAGAAGCCGCCTATCAGTAGTAGCTGGGCAAAGCAGTCTTCCACAACGTATCTGCAAGGCAGCTGCGAAGTGATAGCTCACATATTCTATATGCGAACCCGTAGATATCCGTTTGATCGGTGTTGCCGAGATATGGCTGCCTGACATATTCCTCAAATCCATTCTTTGTTTCCATGATGAGATACGAATGATCCACCAAAACCAGCCTCTATGCTGGCTTTGTAGATGACTGACAGCATTTCTTTCACCGAAGACTCTGCAGTCGACGGGCCGGTGAAATGCGGTGCGTAGTTTGCCATCTTGCCAAGCATTGCCATTCCCTTCTTCTTTTCTTCCTCGGTAGCTGCCAGAATGTTAGGTGTGGCGAGAATGAGGTCAGGCACAGTACTTACCGTTGTCATAGAGCCCTGTGTCAATCACCCCGGGGGATATGCTGAAGAAAAGAATGCCTTGACGGGAGTGTTCCGCACTGAATTTGGCCACAGCGGTGTTCAGAGCTGCTTTGCTGATCGAATAAGGGGCTCCGACCTCGATGCCTGACTTGGAGATGAAGTCCAAGTCCGCCATCCCGGATGAGACCGTGACCACTTTCTTCGCATTGCCTCTTAGGATGAGCGGCAGTGCGAGATTGAAGAGATGAACATTACCGACGACGTTCGTACGGAACGAATCGAGCAAGTCCTGTTCTAGCCGCTTCGGTTTCTCTCCCCTATTGATGTACGCTGTTAGCCCCTTGAACCGTACGTGTCGATCATGCTCGTACTGAGACTCCGTGGGTTTGTATTAGCTTACAGAATGCTGATGCCATCATAGGACGACCAGGTTGAAATGAAAGCCGCGTTTGCAATGACATAGTCGATGCTTCCACCAGTGATTTCGGATGCAGCATTTACAGCTTTCTGAAATCAGATATTAGTGCAGATCTTCAGGAGCATGCCCGGCGCTTACCTCTATCGTATCAAAATCATCAAGGTCAGCTTGCAGGACGTGGATATTCTTCCGCTGCAGCTCGGTGTCGACCTTCTGCTCGGTTACCTCGGCGTTTCGGACGATCCCTATGACGATGTTGTCTGGATCGGCGGATAGCTGCCGAAGAAATTCGAACTAGACCGAATCAACATTTTGTATGGCAATTCCTCATGCGATGGACCTACTCCAAGCCCCCGTGAAGCTCCGGTTACCAGGTATGAAGCCATGAGAAACTTAGTGAAGTATGTTCGGGATCACAGCTCTCTTTGCGTAGGAGGATTCAGCGTCAATTCACGAAACAGATTTTGAACGTGGGAGTAGCGATAATGCTGTCTGTATTAATATATCTTGGAGCATCGTTATATATAGGATCTTGATACAGCTATGGAGCGGAATTGAGTTCTGCCGCAAGACGGTAAAAGTAAATACGATTACTAAACTTCGTCCGCAACATTCGGCCGGATCGTCGCACGTTTTTGAACACTGACTTGATTATCAAGCATGAGAAATAGGGAATTTCGTCTGAACCACATCCCTTGGAACTCATTTCAGTAATTAAACGGAGGCGAGGGATCGGAACCTTGCCTTCAACTAATAAGACGCACTTTAGAAGGAAAGAGACTAAGGGCAACCCATTATCGAGTGGCTTCGAATAGAATTAAATAGTATATACCTACAATACCTACTTATAATACCCACTTATAATATCTATATATAATATTTAGCTCTAGGGTACTTGCTCTAAAGTGCTGTTACGACCCAACATGCATAACAAGGCCAGGGCGCCCGCCCTGCAGGCCTGCGGCGGCTATCTACCAGATATATGCAGAGAACCTGGGAACTCAGGTGACTCCTCACGGAACGGAAGAACTATGGAACAAGTTACGTGACGATAAGGAAAGTAAGCATATGATAAGGTGATCATAGTGATCACCTAAAGTGAGCGCTCACTAGTATCTACTTAGTGATCACTAACGAACATGGTGATTAGGCAAACAAAGGATATGTTCGGGATCAGGACTTGTATATAGGATGGACCCGAGCCGGGCTCTAGGACAGACTTCCCATAGCTTCTTTAGCAATTAACTTCGTATTAGATCTCACGATCACTTTTAGCTATCTTCCTTGAGAACCTCTTTGACAAAGACTACAATTGATTACCGAAGCCTTATCTATAGATATAAAGAACCTGAGACTACTTAACCGTATATAATAATCATTTAATTATTATATCTGATTAACTAACGTTAACTATTATATTCGATTATTACTGTTATGTTACGACCCAACATGCATGACCAAGAACAGGGCCTGCCCCGCAGGCTCGCGGCGGTTATAATACACCACATATGCAGGAGATAAGTGATGATGATGATGATGATGATGTATTTAACGTCTGGTAACAAAAGGACGTGCCGGGCGCTATGCCGACATGGTCTATGACTAATCTAAACTATATTACAGGCTACCGTCTTCACCTAACGTTCCTGTTCAATGACTCGGGCAAATTTCGGAAAAGAAATTGGTCTCCTCTATCCATTCGCATAGAAGAGAGGCTCCCTTAGCAGAACCTAACAAGAAATCAATACTTGCTTTGGCCATACGTTGGCGGAGGTAGCGCGGTGTAGCCTTGCGTCCACGCTTGCAGAAGTAGAAATGGACTGGTGTCTTGGGTTTCCCACAGCTGCAGTTGAGCAACGCATCTTGATGAGCGAATCTCTCGTGGTATGCTGCAAAGTCTCCATGATGGGATCTTGCTGCGTATAGCCTTCCTAGTAAGTGCCGAGGGAGGCGGAGTTCGGGCGGCTTGGGGTGAAGAATTATCTCGAGGTCGGCATATTGCCGAGGGCATTGGGACAGCCATTTTCTGGCAAAGGCTTGGAAGGCAGCTGCTTTAGCTTGCCTTTCTAGGTGCGCTAATGAGGGCTGTGGTTGTGATTTTGGGATTAGTTTGCAGGCTTCCTTGGCTAGAGCATCCGCTTCTTCATTTCCTGGTACTCCCGTGTGCCCAGGGCACCACCAAACATAAACCCTGCCGGGGGTTGTCCAGCTCTCTCTTTGTCTCCGAGTCCAGGAGGAAGAGAGCCTATTGAAGGCCCTAAATCTAGCCTGGCTGCTTCCTGTGCTCTGGGAGTATAGTCTAGCCGCGACTGCGAGGTTGTCGAGGCAGATGTGGACGTTATCTGCCATACGAGCCGTAGGAGCCCGGGTGGCTTCCATCAGGCCGTGATACGCAGCATGTGCCTCCGCGTCATACACCTCAGTTTGGGAGCCGAGTGGTTCGGATCCGCGGAAGATCTGCCGTGTAGCTTGGTACCCTACCCAGCCTGCTCCGGCGGAGGTGCTGCTGCCGTCCGACATCTGGGACCCGTCAGTATAGACTATGAGCGCTCATGGCCCCACCATGATCGCTAATGTCTTATCTTATCATCACGTGACTTGTACCATAGTTCTTCCGTTCCGTGAGAGGGTGCCTAGTGTCCCTTATCTCCTGCATATATGGTGTGTTATAACCGCCGCGAGCCTGCGGGGCAGGCCCTGTTCTTGGTCATGCATGTTGGGTCGTAACATCAGCTCTCCCTCTCAAAGGTCTAGTCCCGTAGACCTATAAGTGAGTGGTCGTGACCCAGGTTGGGGTTCGTCAAGTTTGTTGTTTCTTATGCTAACAACATAGGTGGAGAAGTTTCTGCCGACACACTGTCGGTTTCTCATCTGCGTCGCTTACGTCGTTCCTTAAAGATCGCTGACCAAGGTACCGAGGTCATGCCTTGTTCTCGTTGTCATTCTCGCGGTCTTCGTTGTAAGATTTTAGCAGATTCCGCTATCTGTGGGGAGTGCGTTTATTCGGGTAAAACGTCAAAGGAATGTGATGCGTCGAAAGATGCGATTTGTACTCGTAGGTTTTTCTTTTCCCTTTTTGGGTCCTCTGTTGATTTCGGATAGTTGAAAAAATGTTGAATGAATCTCGCCGTCTGGACGATGAAGAGGAGAAGTCTGAGGAGCTTTTTCATAAGCGTATGAAGGCTTTACAAAGGGCTCAGGCGGATGTGAATGAAGTTCTTGCTCGTTTGGAGCGTGTTCGGAAAGAGAAGAGGATGGTGTTTAAGAAAGGTCGTGTTGCCTCGGAGGTAGCCGACGAGGGTTCGCCAGTCGTTATCCCTGATGAATCGTCCTCTGTTCGGGAGGCAGAGTCTATTGGCGCGTTTGGTGTGGCTGACTGGGACGCTGTGATGGTTGGGAGGTCCGATTTTGACTTTGATTTCGGTACTCCTGGAGTAGTTCCCGAGAGTTCTGGAGGTTCGTAATGGGTTCCCATGTATTTTCCTCATGTCCGTAGTTTTTCCATTTGATCAGGAATTCTCGCGTCTCGTTCCTGACTCTGTGGTCGATGATTCGTTCGACTTCATATTCTGGTTGATTTGGTTCCACAACGATGTAATTATTCGTGTGCGAGCCTCGTGGTGCTGGCTCGAGGAGTGAAATGTGGAATACCGGGTGACACTTCATGGTGTCTGGGAGTCTCAGTTCGTAGTTGACTGGTGAGACTTTCTTGACGATTTCGAAGGGTCCAAGCTTTTTGTAGTCTAATTTGTCGCTTGGTCTTTTCGTCTTGATGTTGCGTCGAAGGAGATAGGCGCTATCCCCCTCTTCCAAGTTTGGTCCTCCAATCCTTGATCTGTCGGCGTTTTTCTTCATACGCTGCCGTACGAACTCGAGGTCCTGGGAAGCCTTCTTCTGGAGTTCTCTGAGTTTTGTCACGTCGGCCACGGCTTTTACGGCCTGTGGTCCCTGTCGTGCTTCTCCGTATGCTGTTGGCTAGAATCCGTAGTTAAGATAGAACGGGGATTCTCTCGTGCTTTCGCCAACTGCGCTATTATATACGAATTGGGCCATTGGTAGTAGCGATACCCAATTATTCTGGTCGTAGTTCACATAATAACGAAGGTATGTTTCGAGGATTTGATTAATCCTTTCTATCTATCCGTCGGTCTACGGGTGGAAAGAGGTTGACAGCTAATGGTCTGCACCGAGTTGCGAGATCAGGGATCTCCAAAACTTAGCGGTGAACAGCTTATCTCTGTCAGAGACAATTTCCTTGGGTAGACCGTGGTTGGCAACAATAGTCTTGAGGAAGGTATATGCCAGTTCCTCTGTATTGCTTACTTCTTTGTATGGTACGAAGTAGGCGAACTTGGTAAGTCGATCGACGATGACCAAGATACTGTCGTACAGTACGTTCGTGAGTGGCTCTCTGGACTTTGGTAGTTTGACGATAAAGTCCCATGAGATTGAGTGCCATGCTTCGGGTGGTATCGGAAGCGGTTATAGCTCTCCATAAGGCTTATGGGGGCTGTTCTTGCTTTTCTTACAGATGTCGCAATCCTTGATTGCCTCAGTGACTTCTGCTCGCGTAGCGGATTTATCGTAGTGCTGTCGAATCCGTTTCCATGTTTTTGTGACGCCTTGGTGACCGTGTGCCTTAGCGCTATGAATTTCCATGATGAGTCTTGCGATGAGCTGACGTTTCGTTCTGGCGGGTGGGGCCAGAACGTCACGCTCCGTAAGCTTCTCGATTGGAGCACCGATGTTGGTGTTGAAAGCGGATTCCCAGTCGCCATCTTGGCATCCTCCGCACTTGCTCACTGCACCCGAAGGCTTCTTCACGACCGCAATACCGATGAGACTCCCCCGTGGAACTCAAAGTCGGAGTTTGCATCAATCACGTCACTCCTTCTCCTCGTCGAGTCACGCCTACAAGTCGATCAGCATCCCATCAAGAGTGTTGTCGATACTTATAGGCTTGACGACGGTATCATAGACCACCCCGCGATGGGTCACGTCATCTTTGCACGTACAGGATTCCACGTTTGCTACTGCCTTCTGTACCACCCGTTTCTTGTGCGCGAGCAAGTACGGAAGGTCAAGTGTCAAATTCCATCAAGCTTCATGCGCCTCGCCTCACAGAAGAGCTACGAACATGCTCGAGATCTGGTCAAATTACTGCACGACGCCGAAGAAGTAGGGTGCCACCTGGGTGCGTCGTTCTACGCATATTCGGCGTGCCTAGCTGGCAGCATTCTCTCACTTCACATGCACGCCGAGAAGGATACCGACAGCCAGCGTCACTCGGAACTGTTGAGTGCTACCCAAGACAGCATATCCATACTTGAAGGAATGGCAAAATTTTGGGATCACGCATCCGAAATTGTAAGTTCCCAATTGCGAACGGAGTTGACGCACATGAGCTAACAGTGACATAGCACCGAGCTGCACCGTCGGCTGCTATCTTTCAATGCAAACGCGTATCTTTTCGATTCACTCCTTGACTCGCAGCTGAAATCAGGCATGGATCCAGAGTGGGAAAGGGCCCTCTGGTCGATGATTGACTACGGGGAGATGTGCCGCGAATCCAATCTTTCTATCCCGAGTCCGAAGATACCGGCGTCTTCAGACTCCCCGACGTTTCCGGGACTCGAACTAGGAAGTGAGCAGATGTTGGATTTGGGACTTGACTCACAACAAATACTCGGGGTCGACGACGACATGATGAATTTTGATACTCCGAACATCAAGTGTCTTCTTGAACTGGCTTCTGGTGGAGGCTAGCGTAGCCTTGACTCAATGCAACGGCTCGCCCTGCCTTGCGGACGAGTACCTCCCTAGTTCGGGTCGATGCAGCGTTTGCCATCCCACACATGCACCCCAGATAGCTATCACTGAACCATTTTAAGGAGGTGTTTCAAGCGATGATTGAGGTGATGTGTTCCAAGTCCAGTGATAACACAGCAAAGTGACTGGCTTAGTGATTCGGAAGGCATCAACAAGTAAATTGGCGCTGCAGGGAGAAACTATAATGAACTTCCAGAATGAAGCGCGCCTACCTGAGGTGCCTAGTACCAGGCAGTGGCTTCCTCGATCCACCTTCTTTTGTTTCATCCACCCTTGACTTTCTTCATTTATGCATGCCAACTGCTCCATACCTTCCTTCTCATGGGTGGGCAGGGTTCGAAAGACAGGCAGCATCTTTTTCCGCGAACAGTTAGTTACCTCAGTCAATTTAGCCCCCTTACCCGGCAGTGACTTTTCTTCCCTCCATCACGGCACACCCCATCCACGTCAGATCGCCCATCATGGACCCCAGCACAATCAACTGGAAGGATGCCTTCTGGTTCTTCTACTGGGATCTGCATGAAAAAAATCCGCCTTCTTTCCTCACAGGCGAACATGGCGAGAGCAAGTACGATGAGTTCATCATTGAATTCTTGAAAGGACAGCGTCTGCCTCGCGATACCCTTTGTCGTCCTCGTTCATGGAATCACCTGTTGTGGCATCTCATGAGATCCACCCTGTATCACACAGGTAAGTACACCATTTTACCTTGGAACGCAAGGTCTACCATTTTTTTCCAGTATTTCACTTTTTGACCGGTTGAATATTCAGGTCTACACCTCGACGAGTGTGATATGAGAAATTTCAGTTGGCTGCTCGAGCCTCCTCCCAAAAATGACAAGCCCTTGGTGAACTGGATGGAGCTCCTCGACATTCACAACCAAGAGGTGGACGACAACGTACGACTTAGATACAGCGATGAGCTCGGCGGCCTCTCTGACGACTATGACGGTATCTTCTGGTTTCTCCATTACTTGGAAGAACGCGCATTCGCAAATATTCCCTGTAAACCAACCATGACAGAGGCGTGGGTCAGCAACCCCTATCTCCTGCAATTCGAAGACTTTCAGGGTCATCAGCTTAATTGGGCGGTGTCGCTTCCCTTTAAGAAAGTTCCAACCATCAAACTAGGTTTGCCTTATCTTCTCGAACATGACTTTGTCATCGTACACGAGGTCGATTTCGATTTCGACGTCATTCGTCTTCTTTCTTATAAACACCAGCTGGGAAATCGAGACTTGCTCAGCGAAGCATACTTTCACTACACTACTATGCTTCGATGGGCTTACTGTATGATAAGCGAAGACAGAGTCTCGAGTATCGATGAATTCCTCCAAAGAACTTCTAGCTATCGCCATTTGTCGAAGCAGGCCAACGCCAGTGATAGATTGCGCATCACGAAGGAGCTGTGGGAGGCCATCAGAATGATAAGCCAAGAAAGCCACCAGAGAGCTTCAAAAGCTTAGCGGACTGCTTGGGGGGGAGAATAAGGCAGAGGTTGTTGAATGAGATGAGCCCCGAGATGGCGACTGCTCATAAGGTTTTGGGGAATCTTGGGCGAGACGATTGCTACATTTTTTTAGGGTTGGGATGCTATTCATTTCTGACGAGCACGGTAGCACTACAACGCAGTAGAATAGGAGAACCTTTCCTCATAGGAAGCCAAGCAGGACTTCATGACTATTTTGCCAGAGTGAAGTGTTGTCTCGGGAGTGTTGGCATTTCCTTTGTGGCACAGCTGTTTCCAAAGCGAAGTGAGAGTCCGGCTGGAAATGCATACCTTCCACATCCACGAGCAGCCCAGTGGAAGGCCCCCCAGGTTGTCGAGCACGTGGTCGCTAATTAAGGCAGGTGTGGTCAACGAGCGAGGCGCACTACCTACCCGGCCGTACCTTGCTGAGCGAGGTCTTTTGGATTCCATCTCTTTCCCTCCCGTGACCCGTCCCCAAAGGGCAGGTAACCTGAGGCGTACCTTCCGCACATGCCACAAGAAGCCCTCATATACCCCCACAAGTCCAATTCTGTCACCAGCACAGCAGGCGCCCTCTAGGTCGGGGGTCAGGTCAAACTGTGGCGTGGGTGGTGGAGTGGTTAATGGTCAACAATCACGCCAACCAGCCTACTCGACGACAGGCTTAGCGAGTACCCGAGTTCGAGTCCCAGCATGAGCACCAGAGATGTAGCCCCCAAATCGGCACCGGGGGGGTGAACTCTTTTGTTTTTTTGGTTTTTCATCTTTTGATATGCCTATATAATCGAGACATATAGTATATAGCTAGAGTCTGCGACCCTCCACGCCACATACCCTCCGGGAGGTCTGCCGCAAGGGCGGCTGCGCCCTTGCCGCCATGGCGTTAAATAGAACAACAACAACAAAATATAATCGAGACCTGTGCTATCTATGTATGGTACTCTACCGACGATGTATATCAGTCCCCTCGCACTTCCGTCGAAGATGAAGGAAGGGCCGTCGCTGGCTCGCAGAACAGGCCACCACGGAAACAAAACAACACAATGGAGCCGCGCTTTATATTCTCAACCAGAAGCGCGTCTTGTATGACAAAATGCAACCCCTTTCTCCCTTTCTTAGACGTGAAAGACTAAAGTGGTAGCGGGAAGTTTCAGCTGTGAAAGACAGAGCCGTCTCTGAGCCGACCTCGACGGTCGAAAGCAAATGAATCTTGGCATTAGAGTAGAAGTTCACGGAAACTCGACAATTTGACGGTTTCCCGCAGACCTACAGCTGCATCATGTACATAATCCCCTGTACGGGAAGCATCAAGACCAAGTTACTCCTGACATCAACCTTCGTACCACCCGAATCACTGCCATGCATCTGATGGCACTGGTGCACGTGGTTCTTCTATTCTGCTTTGCTCTTCATCAGGTGTTAAAAAGCATAGCAATTTTTCTAATAACTAACGACCGGCCCAATCTTTGGAGAATCCTCCCACATATCGCAGACGACGCCCTGTCTGACATGTCCGACCGCGAGTTCTCACTCAACTGGGGCGACGAGTTTTCCTTCCTCATCTTCGACTACACTCTCCTCTCCAATGACGAGACTTTGATTCAGCTCTTTCTAGCATGTGTGATGATCAGGCAACAGTCAATCGGAACAGGGGACGAAGAACAGAATGTTGATCCTTCTAACTGGGTGTACTACCCCTGGCGTGTCATCGAGGCCATCAAGCCGCGTTTCGGTATGTCACGGTAATCTCTCAACTTGCCGAGCTTCAGATCAGGCATCACTAATATGTTTGGTGTAGAAGTTCAAGATGAGGGTGGGTTTTCAATCGACCTGAACTCTGAAAGCGCACCGGCTAACCCGGTGCCTATCCCCGGCGCCGGTCATCACTTTGAGCAAGGCAAGTGGCTCACACACCCACCGCACGATGCCGACCTGCCCTCACCACAAGACGATGTGATGCTCGCCTACCTCCGTGAGGAGTTCGACAAGGGGAGCGCAATCACCGGAGAACCATTCAACGTCCGATACGAGCTGGGTCTGTTCCACCGGGACCTCTACCAGCAGCTCACTCTGTATCACTACCGCCGCCTGCACAGTATCGGCCCCATTACAAGACAAGTCGTCGCTGCGCGAGCCAACATCATGTGGGCGAAAAACCCATCCCTACGCCGCTTCGAGCAGCGGCACGAGACCGTGCCATGGGGTGTCCCCGTACCCTTTCTTACCTTTCAGTTCCTCAACTTCCTCCCGGCGCCCATCAGCCCAGACCCGGAACTCGAGCGGTCGTGGGTCAGTCAATTCCAGATCGTCTGTAGTCCCGTCGCCCGCATAGCCTACGTCCGGATCAGGCCGGGCCGTGATACCGTGAACGGGATGACGGTTCAGGAGGCGGAGTGGATGATTGGCGGGATGAGGTTGCTTCACGTGGAGATGCTGCGTGTATGGGGGCTGTGTCGACGTCAACCGATGTTCTGGTCGGGTGAGGATCTGGCCGCGTTTGCGCGGGACGTCTTTGATGGTGCTGCGGCGAGGGAGAGGATTCATTTGGATCCGATTTTGAGTGCCAAGGAGCATTGGAGGTTCATACGGGAGACGGGGGGTGTTTGACCGGCCGTTGTGGGCTTCTTGGGCGGACTGCGGGAGAGGGTCATGGGAGGCGTATTGTCATTTGTTGGTTTCTAAGATTTAGGTGCATTTCTTTTGGTTTGCTAGGTGGGACAGGCTATTTTGTCACCTACTCGGGTACCTTGGGTAGTGGTAGATGACAAACAGATGAATCGAACTGGAGGTTGAAATTCCAACATGGAATCGTTTTCAACCCCTGTCGCCAATGCCGGACGGATCGCTTTGGCATCGGTGATCGTCCGTCGGCCAAGGAGGTCAAGCTCCGGAACATCGAGAGTCGTCCGCTTGGCGAAACGGGGCCGACCGTCGTGGGGATCCCCTTTGCGACCAATCCGTTCAAAGTGAGCCGACCCGGACCGTAAGTCCGAAGGGCTGACAGGCCAAATGAAGCGGGCAAAGATTTAAGATGATTCTTTGCTCGAATTCCTGTCTGAAAGATTGAAAGACTCACCGCAACTACACACTTGCGATTGCTTTTGGGGGTCGTGCGAGATTGTTGTTCCTCTCCTTCGCGACGGATTACCTATTCAGGTTCTTTGCATTCGGCAGCTGGAGAACCAGTGGGTATGCCCGTACGATTGGCCGTTGCGACGAATTAGGACAGGAGAATCGTATTTTACATTCACGTGGACTCGTGGAGGTGGATAAAATGGAGGAAAAGGTGGAGGATGGGAAGACTGAAAAAAGTGTTACATAATCCCTCATCCAAATTCTCGGGCTCAATCGGAGGATTCAGGGCCCTCTCTACGGGACTGGATGCTTCATTGGCTCATCTTGCAGGATTATCTGGATCTGAAATACTGAACGACCATAATACTGGGGAGATTGAGGAGGGGAAAGGTAACGTTGACTACAGGCGTACGCGAGTCGTGAGGCGATGTCGTACGAGGCATCCACATGCAATGAACCTGAATGGCGGCTGCAATAACCTTGGTGAAAAGAGAGAAAATGAAGGGGTTGATTGAATGGTTGGTTGATAATGGGCTCGGAATGCTTCGGTTGACTGCGTTTCATCGACATTCGGGCTGTCAGGGGGGATCCGGATCTTGACAGCGTCCAGGCGCCGGTTGAGGCTGCGGGAGTGGCTGATCATCTGGTATTTTTTTGCTTCCCCTTAACTTGGCTGGCTGAGTAAGAGTCTCGTTGTGCATATGATGTCGTTAAAATACGAACAAAGCAAGGGTTAAGCTGGCATCGCTCATCCCAAAAACTGTTTTGTGTTTATCTTTCCTCATGCCATTGTCGCTGCATCGCTACCTTAGTATGGTAGTCGCGCATCAAACAGATGGTGTAGCGGGGAGTGACTGAATAACTGGAGATGGGATGGGCATGTGCGAGCGTCCCGTGGAGAGAGAAACAAAGGCTGGAGAGAAGCTGGAGAGAAGCTGGAGAGAAAAGACTGGAGATTCGATACACAGAACGGCTGGAGACGGCCTGCGAGGGCGAGTTCGGGCCCACCGGTCCAACGACGTCATACTGTGTGTCCGTTGGTGCTATGCATCCCGCTTTGCCCAGTTTGGTAGCCCGAAAAGGTGACTGCTTGCTGGTGTCATTGGGGAGACAAGAACAGAGAAATGGAGACTTCCCAGAGCAGCTAGGGTGACTGTTTTTAGTGGAAGACGGCAAAGGTGGGAAATAAGAACTCGGGGAGAAGGTAAAAGTTTACGACCATGGATCGTCATAACTAGAATCCTTGCGGGTCTTTCTTTCTTTTGATGTGCCAATCATGGTGTTCCTTGACTTTGCCAGGTACAGCTGAGGGTCGCCTGCCACTCGTGAACTGCGACGCCACCAGAGCCGCGAAGGAACAGGGTACATACAGTAGATAGGTACGCAAAGGTGGAAGGTATTTTCCACGGGAAACAAGCTTTGGAAGCCGCCCTTCGCCAAGTCGCCTGCCGCTCTGCCGCAACTTGGCACCAGCCTCAACTACGTACCTCTCACCTCTGACGCCTCTCTGGCAGGAGCCGAAGCGCGAACTTTCACACATCACCAAATCCTGTGTCCGGATGGGCAACGTGACTGGAATTTGACAGCACAGAATCGGTGTCGACGGATTCAACCATCAAAAATCTCACTAGAAGAAAACGTTTCCAAGGGCAGCGTCAAACTCAATTACTCCACAGATTGGCTCTAGACTGGCACAGCTACGGTACCCTTCTGCCCTTCTTTCACCTCGCCCGCGCCCGTATCCCACACACACGCCCCTCCAACGCTGCTGCGTCTTGTTTAAGTGGGAGGTGCTGCGCTAGGGGTTGCCTGTTTCGCGCCACCAATAATGGACGGTGATGTCACGGGTGGGCGACTGCACGTCTGGGGAGCGGACTGTGGACGGCTCGACGTCTACAGCAACAGGCGCGTTGGGTCATGGCGGTAGGGTCTGCGTCCCTCGGCTTCCGCCCGAAGTTGACCGCCCCATTGATATATCTCGAATCGCTCCCAGGCACTCAAGGTTCGCCGATCCCTTGGTTCTCCCGAATCATCCGGAGTTTTGGTCTCTAGAGGTTGTCCATACGCCTAATCCTATCTCTTCTCCTCCTCCATCATCGGCTGGTTTCCTTCATAACAGGAGGTAGCCGCACTGCAAACCTCTCTCGACCATCCTCCACCTTATACCTGCATGACAACAGCTCAACATGGCTGGCACACGATTTGCTGAGGAACCGCCTCAGGTCATTAATCAAGCCGACCTCGAAGTCGCCAACGAGAAGCTCGAGTCCCGCGACGAGCGCAACGCTAATGGCGACACTAGCGCCAGCGACACAGCAGCTTCAAAAGAGCACGACCCGACCATTGATCACTCGGAGCACCTGAACGGCAATGGCGCCCTGAATGGCAACGGTAAAGGGGCCAAGCTTGAGAAGCTGGGCACCCACGACAAGTACGAAATCACCGAGGATGACTGCTACGAAGAGCTGGGCTTCTGCTTCCCCAAGTGGAAGAAGTGGTACATCCTCACCGTCATCTTCTGGGTTCAGGTCTCGATGAACTTCAACACGTCCCTCTACTCCAATGCCATTGGCGGCATCTCGGAGGAGTTCAACGTGAGCGCCCAGGCCGGCCGCTGCGGCGCCATGATCTTCCTCGTCCTCTACGCCTTTGGCTGCGAGCTTTGGGCTCCGTGGTCTGAGGAATTTGGTCGCTGGCCGGTTCTCCAGCTTTCACTTCTCCTCGTCAACATTTGGCAGATCCCCGTAGCACTGGCACCCAACTTTGCCACCATCATGGTCGGTCGCGCCTTGGGTGGATTGTCGTCTGCTGGTGGCTCCGTCACGCTCGGTATGATTGCCGATTTATTCGAGTCCGACAAGCAGCAGTATGCCGTCGCATATGTTGTCTTTTCCTCGGTCGGCGGGTCCGTTCTGGGACCTATCGTGGGCGGCTTCACTGAGGAATACCTACACTGGAGGTATGTAACAAGAGACTAACACCCCCCTCATTAACACCACCTAAGAAATTTTACTAGATGGTCCATTTGGGTCCAGCTCATTTTCGGAGTTGCTGTTCAGGCCCTCCATGCCTTCACCGTCCCCGAGACACGCACCACTATCATGATGAACCGCATCGCCAAGAGACGCAGAAAGGAGGGCAACCCTAACATCTGGGGTCCTGACGAGCTCGTCCCCTTCAAGGACCGCTTCTCGGCCAAGGAAGTCATTTCTACCTGGATCCGTCCCTTCAAGATGTTCCTCACCGAGCCGATCGTGCTGGTGCTGTCACTTCTCTCCGGTTTCTCCGACGCCCTCATCTTCATGTTCATCCAGTCCTTCGTCCTCGTCTACGGTCAGTGGGGATTCAGCACCGTTCAGGTTGGATTGGCTTTCATTCCTATCGGTATTGGTTACGTTCTCGCCTGGCTTCTCTTCATCCCCGCCATCAAGCGCAACATCAAGGAGCGTGCGGCCAAGCCCAACGATGATAGAGCGCAGTACGAGTCTCGTCTTTGGTTCCTATTGTACACCGCACCTTGCTTGCCCATTGGCTTGATTGGCTTCGCATGGACCATCCAAGGACCTCCCATTCACTGGATCGGCTCCATGGTTTTCGCGGCCATTGTCGGTATCGCCAACTACGCCATTTACATGGCCACCATCGACTACATGATTTGCGCCTACGGACCCTACTCCGCCTCGGCAACTGGCGGCAACGGCTGGGCTCGTGACTTCCTCGCGGGTGTCCTTACCGTCCCTGCCACACCTTTCTTCACCAACATTGGCGCGAGTACCGGAAAGAACCTCGAGTACGCTTGCACGATTCTCTTCTGCATCTCCTTTATCCTCGTCATCGCCGTCTATGTTATCTACTGGAAGGGCCCGACCCTTCGCGCCCGCTCGCCGTTTGCTCAGAAGCTGGCCGGAGCCAGAGACGACGCGGGCGATCGTCGCATCAGTCATGTCGGAGGAGGTGCAGACAGGCGCGCGAGTGTTGCCTCTGGCGCTTCTGACGCCGAGCGTCCGGATCGTCCCGCGTACGGGCGTTCGTACAGCCAGAATTCGCGCTTCTTTGGCGAGAACCGTGTCACCCCCCGCGGCACTCCCAGAGGTACTCCCTCTGCCAGCAGGCGCAACAGTTATGTTGGTACTAGACGCCAGGTCGCAAAGTAATGTCTGTTGCATGCGGCGCTCCCGGGCTTTATCTAAGCTCCAAAAGTTGACTTCACGATCTTTAATAACCCTACACCTAGTCTTATCTAGTTAGACATAGTCATAATAAAGTCAATCATGAATAATGCAGTATATTTTTCAGGACTCCGTCATCGGATCCAGATCCTTAATTACGCAGTCGACATTGCTAATCATGTCGAAGCTTTCGCATGATAGCATGATACCGCACACCAACCTGGCCAGGGCACCCACGGATCGAAACCTTTCATAAGCCTTGAGCAGTTACGCCTAACCTGTGAGTATTCTCTTGTGTGTTTCGCGAAGCCACTAATACCGACAGCATGGTGCCAGCTCTTTATTATCACAAGTATCTACGGGAAAGGATCATACTCACCCAACCCTGTACACACCCCATCCATCTCAACGCCATCAATCCGCTCCACCACTTTCCCACCTGCTCCAAACCGAAGGACATAACCCCCATTCGCCTCACTCACAACCCGCGGCTCCCATCCGAACTTCTTCTGCGGGCCATGATACGGATCCTCAGCAAATGCCATGATGCGATCCTGCATCGCCCGGCTCACCTCGACTTGGAACTCCGTCGTCGGTGCAATATGATCCAATAGCTCATACGTCCCAAACACCAACGGCGTCTCGCTGTTGTGGTACGCACCAAGCCAGTCATACACATTCAGATTGGGGAACTCGGCTGCATACTGGAATCGGAACACGGGGGCTTCAGACGTGCTTAGCTGGTTACGCGCAACGGTAGCATTGTACGCCGCGCACACCCACACGACGTCCGCTTCTGTGACCAGCGGCTGCCAGGGTCCTTCTGTCAGGTTATCTTTTGGCCAGGGGACCAGAGAGGAGAATTCGTTGGCTGTAAGAGAGATGAGGACCGGACGGCGGGCGAGTTTGCCTTCTGCTGCGCGGGCCTCGTAGTCTTGGAAGATGATGCGTTCATCCTGGACCAAGGAGAAGAATATGGCGGGTGTCTCGCCCCGGTCGGTGTATTGTCCGACAAAGTTGCTGATTTGCGTAGGAGATACCCGGCGCATGCAGTCCAGCTCCGCCGTGCCGTCTTCGTCCTCACAGTCGGCGCCACAGGGGGATCCGCAGCCTACGTTCTGCGCGACAAAGGTGAAGTTGGAGTACGTCAGGTCCGCTTCGATGCCGGACTGCACAACGCCGGACTCCATGTAATACGACTGTGCGATCGGGTCGTCGTAGTACGCGTAGGCGTGGATATCTGCACCAATAGACCCCGCCGACCGGCCCCAATGCATGATGCGGCCCGGGTCGCCGCCAAAGGCAGCAATGTTTTCCTGTACCCATTCCAGAGCGGCACGCTGGTCTAGGATGCCGAGATTCTGTGAGATTCCGTCAGTGGCCAACCCGCGCGCATTAGGGAAGCCAAAGATGTTGACGCGGTAGTTAATCGTCACAATGATGGCCGACTGCGAGCGCTCAACCCACGATGTCGGGATTTGCCAGGGCAGATCTATCCCGCCCATAACAAACCCACCGCCCGTCATGAAGAAGAGCACGGGGAAGCCCTCCTTTGTGGGCGGCGGGGTCGTGGGTGCCCAGATTGCGAGGTAGAGGCAGTCTTCGGAGGTTGCTTCGCCCACCAGGCCCGAGGTATCGTTTTGGGCGCCGTTGTAGATGAGGTTTCCCTTTGTGAGGGGCAGGTTCCACATTGATTCTACGGCGGATACGAATTGAGGGCATGAGGGCGGGAATTTGATGGCGTATTGGGGTTTGGTGATGTTGTGGGGTTGGAGTTTTGCGGGGGGCAGCCAGCGGCGGGAGGCGATGGGGGGTTCGGCGAAGGGGATGGAGCGCCATTGGAGGGTGTTTGGGGCGTCTGGGTCGATGAGGCCTGTGTATGTACCGGTTGAGGTTTTCACTGTGAGGGGGTTGGAGGGGTGTGAGGTGTTGGTGTTGCTGGCTGCTGAGCGGACGCTCGCGACCGAAGCGAGGAGGGAGACGATGGCGAGCTTCATTTTGAGATTTGGCATGTTGCTAGTAGAGCTGCAAGCACCCTGAAGTTGAGCACTTTGAGCGTAGATATATCATCTTGATACCCTTATCTGCACTTTGATTTCGGTTGCCCCGCCTCGCCCGGCTTGGGTGATCTTGATCTCTTTCTAGAAGGTAGCAGCGAGGTGCATGTGGTCAGCAATCCTTCGAGAGTGAGAAGACGCAATCTCAGAGAGCTTTCTGACAGATTCCAAGCCTTGGCTATAAGCATTTGACCTTGGAGTGGAATCTCGAGTTGAATGAATTGTTACTTGCTCAACACTCTTTCGAAATTTCCTTCTCTTATTTTCAACAGCTGGTCGTCTTGATAAGCCCAAAGGTTGTAGGAGGTCAGGCTAAGCCGAAGCTTCTTAGCATTCCGAATTGGGCTCAGCATCAGAAACATTTCCTTATTGATCCTTTTCTTTTCTTTTCGTAAACGAGAAATACCAAGTCCCATTTCCAGATAAGTAACCATAATCAGCATGTTGATTCAATGATTCTTGCCATGTCTCAGTCCACCTTTCATTGCGATTAGCACCTGTACCAGCACAAGAAGCTATGCCCAGTCCTCCCGCTCGGAGGCGTGTAACACTTCCCGCCGCCAACTATAGCGTTCCCAGTCTCGCCAATCTGGTTCTGGCAGTTGTTGTCATAGTACAGGTGACAGTTGGTCCCGTAGGTCCCGTCGCCGACGGCTCTGAGGCTGGCGATGGCGTCGGAGGAGTACTAGCATTGTCCGCTGCATCTCTGTTGCAAGAAGTATTCAAGGTCAGCCTTTCTTTAAGTAGTCTTTGTCTTGAGAAATGCCCAGAGAGGAGGCGCGGGGTCAAAGAGGTCAAGACGTACGCCGGGTCCGATCGCTTCGATCTGGTCGCTGCAGCCGGTGCCGCGGTAGTACCGGCCGCACTGGCCGTTGACGACCCCGGCCGCGGCACAAGCGGTGCGGCGCTGGAGGTCCGTGGCGTCGAGGTTGATCACATCTGATGAGGTGCCCACGGCGACAGCAGCGCCTGTGGCAAGGTTTGCGGCCAGGAGAACTACGATATTGCTGAAGAGCATCTTGAGAGATTTTGACTCGGACAAGGGATTCGGAGTGGTCGATGGGATTGCTTAAAGACCATTAGAACAGAGGTCTTGGTCTTCTTTATATACTAGATCCAGTATGTTGAATCCAGCCATGCTACTCATTAGTCTTTTGCGAAGACAGCCTCTTTTCGCGAGGTACCAAAACCTGTCTTCTGACCTCGCATAAAAGTTCCACTGTCCAAAGTCTCACGGCCTTGCCCATCGGTTTCATTCCCGCGACTCTACGCCTACGCTGCAACATTCCAGCCAACTTCGAAGCGGTGTAGGCCAGGTCTCACAACGTCTCCCCCGCTTCCCGTTCCTGGTTGTATCAATCGAACAGACAAAGGTAACTGTGGGAACAAACGGCAATCGCTAGGTATACACGGAGCCGAGCTATGTCACGTGTCTTCGGCACGTGACACACCTCAGCTCCCTCCTTCCATATCACGAGCCTTCGCGTTTAGATACTCTCCTTAAGAACAACAACAGAACACCAGATTAACCCAACGATATTGCTACCGATCGCGATACCAGGAATACCTGTGTGACTAACCTGTGGTACACGCAAACCAACACTGATCAGTGGTTTTTTCAATCACAGATTAGCCAGGTATTTGCATTACCTACAGAAGAGACGTTTACGACCCCTAGGTCCTTTACGTGCTAATCAAGGCATCGTCGGCCCCTTGGCCCACGAGACCTTCACTTTTCCTTCCGACCCAGCGGTCCGTCGGAAAAGGCGTCCTCAACGCTGCCATCGTTGGCCTCGCGAAAAAGCTCTTTCTTACGCGCCAGTGCGCCTTTGGAAGAGGCCTCGCCCAACGTGGTATTCCTTTCACCTACTACCTCGAGACGCGAAGTACGCGTCTATTTGTTTTTATCTTCGAATCCAACAAGCCTCATATTACATTACTATCGCTAAAGTATAAGCAACCAAGATGGCGCAACGACCACCATTATCGTCATCACCAGATGTTCTTCCAGTCCCCGATGGATTCTACCGCTTCATCGATGACGCCAACTGGGGCATCTACGACCAAGAAAACTCCCTCCTCCTTGACGAGCGCGACAGCAAAACAATATGCTCCTACATGGCCTACAAGATCGCCACTTGGCTCCACGATGGCCTCTTGGGCCATGAGCTCTGGGAGGCGTTCCAGAAGGACTTCGCGGACTGGGACGAAGCCCTCTTCAACGCCGTTGATACCAGACCTCTGGGAATCCTCCGCGATCACCTTCTCCATCACGGCGTCTACATCAGCAAGGGACACAGGGACCAGAAGATTGCTCCCAACCTCGTGGGGATCCTGGAAGAAGAACACTTCCATCCCTGGACCGACGATGAAGTCGAGAGCCTGAGAGCCAAGTCCTCATACTTCGACAAGCTAGTTGACAGCAATGACGAGTTCCTCAAAGATATCCAGCGAGGATATATCACTCCTGAACAACGCCGCCAGATGCGCGAAGAGCAGCAAAGACAACATATCAAGAAGGAGCCGGAATTCGACCCTGAACTGGATTTACAACTCCAACAGATGGTCCAGAAGCAACTTGCCAGGAACGACCGTATCAGAGAGCTTACAGAAAAGAGCAAGAGCCGCTGTTCGTCGCCTCATCTTTCTCCCCGTCAATCACTGCTTCACCAAACGATACCTCGTCCATCTTCGTCACAACAGCCTCGCTTCCAGCAAGGCCGAACCGGCTTTCAGAACGACCTTCCGCCCATTACCGGCTTCCTACCGACTCACGAGCTTCCCAAAGAACCGAAACACACACAGCGCACCCCTTTCCAACCGCAATCCCATAGCGACGACTTCCATCGGGAGCGGCAATGGTTACATGAGAAACCCCCGTCCCGCCCTGCCCAGAATCAGCTTCCACAGCTGCTTGCTAACCTCACAAAGATAACCACTGACGACATGAAATTCAGCGGCGAAATGTACGATGTATTTGACCTGAAGTTGAATATCTTCCGCGATAACTGCGATAAAGTGGGTATATCGACCCATCACGACCTTAGCCTTGCCTTCTCGACGATGCTTCGCGGAAAGGCCGCAACATTCTACTTCCATCGAATTTGCAACAACGGCCCCCGTGACTTTACTGTCATGGTCGACAAGGTCCGGCAGCACTTCGAGGGGCAGGAAAGCCACCAGAATTACCTCATGGAGTGGCAGTCGACCACTTTTCACCGCATGGAGCAAACTAACATAGGCAAGACCAAGCTTCAAGTGTTGGAAGCCCTCATCACCCGCCTGACGACAATTCAGTACGCCCTTCCCCGGGAGTACCATACTGACGAGGCTCTACGTCTTACCCTTCTCAACGCGTGCGCAGACGTCCCCGAATGCAAGCTGTGCTTGTATAACCCATCATTGACGCTCGAAGGAGTCGTCCATCAGCTTCGTGCTGCAATCAGCACTGAACTGAGGATCCAACAACGACCCGACCAACAATACGCTGCTAACCAGACCGATAACCAGCATTGGGTCGACCGTACCTACCAAGGCAACGGCAGGAGCAACAGATTCGGCCGTGGCAGCAGCGGCCCTCCACGAGGCAAATACACCTCTGACCGCAAGTGCTATATATGCAAGAAACCCGGTTGCTGGTCGACAAAGCACACAAAGGAGGAACGAAAAGTTGCATATGGCAAGTTCGAGAAGAGTCAATACGTAACTGACAACTCCTTGGCTGCGTACAGCAGCTTCCTTACGCAATATGAGGGCAACGAGCCCTTTGACGACGATGATGATCAACCTTATCACAGTGAAGACGAGGACCTTCGTCAATACCTCCAGACCACGACTATTGACGAAGACCACACAACCCACGATACCTTCCACATCAGTACCACATTCTTCGGCGAATCGGACTTCAATGGAAAGACCATTACTTATTTCCTTGCGAACCTGCTAGAGAGGCAGCCCATCAATTCACACTCGACCGATACTCCTCTGACATCTTTCAAGGTATCTTGCCGGATACTGGAGCAGCCGGCCACTCCACGGCTGGTCACCTCCAAGTCTTGGCCCTTCGTCGCATATACCCAAGCGTACGAATTGACCCATCACGGGCCGGTGAAGCAAACATTCGCTTCGGTAGTGGTGATCCCATCGCCTCGAGTGGTACTATCATGGTCCCTACACCATTCGGACCCATCGACTTCCACGTGGTGCCCGTCAACACCCCTTTTCTCCTCTGCTTGAGAGATATGGACCGGCTTTTCGTCCATTTCAATAACCTTACTAACCAACTCATCCAGGGTAACGTCGTCGTACCTGTTGTTCGCAAATGGGGGCACCCATTTATGCTACTTGGCCCTTCTGCCGCCGAGCAGACCATCGCCCATTGTCACCTGACCGGCATCGAGCTGCGGCGCCTTCACCGCCGTTTTGGTCACCCATCTGTTCTGCGACTCTACAAAGTTCTCCATGAAGCCGGCCATGACGTGGAAATGTCAGCTCTTGAGCACCTAGTCAAGTACTGCCACCAATGTCAAATGAACGGGAAGTCGCCCAACCGCTTCAGATTCTCCCTCTGCGACCATGACAACGGTGCCTTCAACTACGAAATCATCGCCGACATCGTGTACCTTGACAGCAAACCAGTGCTCCACATTATTGACTCTGCAACCGCCTTCAACGCCGGCCGATGGCTGAAGGACATCTCTGCCAAAACAACATGGGAAGCCTTGCGCCTTTGCTGGATCGATGTCTACCAAGGACCTCCCGACTGGATTGTGGCAGACGCTGGGCGCAACTTTACGTCCGCAGAGTTCCGCCGCGAGGCTCGCGCAATGTCAATTGAAATCAAAATCGTACCCGTGGAGTCACACCACAGCATTGGCAAAGTGGAAAGATACCATGCAGTACTCCGACGAGCGTACGAAGTCATCACAAAAGACTGTCCGTTGCTACCAAAGGACGTAGCTTTGCAGGCAGCATTCAAGGCAATCAATGACACAGCCGGTCCCCAGGGCATTGTCCCAACCTTACTTGTCTTCGGCGCTTACCCGCGTATGGCTGATGACTCACCCCCATCGCCAGACATCGTCCAACGCGCTGCGGCAGTGCGCAAGGCCAGCGAAGCTATTCGCAAATACCACGCGACCAGGCAGGTCAACGAGGCACTGGCGACACGCAACGGCCCCGATACGGCTGCGCAGAAGGCGCTTCCAATCGGCTCACAAGTCCGCGTCTGGCGCGAAAGGGATGGCTGGACTGGACCGTTCACACTGCTCACTGTCAACGGCGAAGACCTCACGGTTGATGTCAACGGACCTCGGACCTTCCGGTCTACAGTGGTTAAACCATACCATCACGAGGAGGTCACCGACGGGCCAGAACCTGACGCCGGCGCCGTCGCTGAGCTCACCACTGGTCCCCCCCACCCCTCTGGCGAATCCCCCGTCGATACGTCCCCTGGAGAAGAGCCCTCTGACGATGTCGCTAACGCTGAAGACCATACAGAAGATACCATCGTCGTAGCTATTGGTCCACGGAAGTCACTCCTAGCTACTACGTTACCGCTACCGCGTAAACGCGGCCGCCCCTATAAGCACTACGTATCTGCTGAACGTACCTTTCTACAAGAAACCGACGCCCATATCGATGAAGACCCTGATACTGCTTTTATCTCCGCTAAAGAGAAGTCTGACCTTGACCTTGCGATCAAACTACGCAGGGAAGGCGTGCTGACTACGCCCGGCGAGCCATTCGAAGCTTCGGCAAAAGCCGAGATCGAATCTCTGGTCAGCCGCGGCGTATTCGAATTCATACCTCGCAATTCCATCGCACATACCAGCCGAATATTCAAATCGCGCCTGGTCAACGAAGTCAAGGGCAAGGGCACCGATCAGCCCTATGAGAAGTCCCGACTTGTAGTCCAGGGCTACGCTGACGACGAAAAGTTGACGATACTTACACAGTCGCCCACTATTCAACGCGCTAGCCAGCGTCTCATTCTCGCATTGGCGCCGTCTTTGCTCCATAACGACCGCCACGTACTCTGGCTCCGCGATATCACTCAGGCCTACGTACAATCGACTTCACCTCTTAACCGCGCTATATACGCGCACTTGCCGCAGCAAATTCGCCACCAATACCCCAATGGCACCATCATGAGGGTTGTAAAGCCCCTGTATGGAATTGCAGAGGCAGGAACCCATTGGTGGTCCACCTACCATCATCACCACAGAGAAGCTCTCCAGATGGATACGTCCACATACGACCCTTGTCTTCTCCTTTCATCGCCAACTAATCCAGACTTTGCTCTCATTGGAATGCAAACTGACGACACAATTGGTCTCACAACTCAACCCTTTTCCATTAGAGAGGATACTGAGCTGCAGGAGGCAGAGTTCACTGCCAAACCAAAGCAGCACTTGACTCATGATAACCCCCTCATCTTTAATGGCGGCATCATCACAATGACAGGCACATCCCTCGTTCTTCGACAAAAGGGACAAGGCAGCAAGCTGCAACTTATAGACAGCAAGTCGCCGACGGCCCAGCAAGACTACGTCCAACAACGTGCTCGAGGAGCATACATTGCCTCCATCTGCCAACCAGAGGCCTGCTATGATATGTCAGCAGCCGCTCAACACAAAGACCCAACCGAGGGTGATATCGAGAATCTCAATCGGCGCCTACAATGGCAGATGAATTCGCTTGACCGTGGTCTCACCTTTATCCCATTGGATCTCTCAACGTCCAAGCTCTTCGTCTTTGTTGATGGATCATTTGCCAACAACCAAGACCTCACTTCGCAACTCGGCTTCCTTATTGTATTAGGCAACGAGACCTCTACCCCTGACCTGGACAACGACCACTTTACGTTGGACGCCAACATTATCCACTTCTCGTCAACCAAATCAAAGCGTGTGACTCGCAGCGTGCTTGCCTCCGAGGTTTACGGCATGGTCGCGGGCGTGGATATGGCATACGCGCTCTCGTCGACACTGGCGATGATCATGGACAAACTGGGCCACCCAAAGATACACACGGTGGCATGTACCGACTCATACTCACTATACGAGTGCCTTGTCAAGCTCGGAACCACCCAGGAGAAGCGGTTGATGGTCGATATCATGGCGCTTCGGCAATCGTACGAGCGACGAGAACTTACAGAGATACGATGGATACGTGGCAGTGATAATCCAGCAGACGGACTTACCAAGGCGTCGCCAAACAAAGCCCTGGAGAGACTTATTTCCACAAATACCATTACGATCAAAATGGAGGGATGGGTGACACGCACCTAGGCAAGGTGAGGGTATCTGGAAGATAGAGAGCATAGTGAACGCGCTAGAGATATGGGGGTTGGGAGGAACCGCATGTGCGCGATCAATACGTCTTATTGTCGCCTAGATATCTACAGACCCTTTTCTTCCACAAAAGAAAAGATTGCCAGTGTGGGAACAAACGGCAATCGCTAGGTATACACGGAGCCGAGCTATGTCACGTGTCTTCGGCACGTGACACACCTCAGCTCCCTCCTTCCATATCACGAGCCTTCGCGTTTAGATACTCTCCTTAAGAACAACAACAGAACACCAGATTAACCCAACGATATTGCTACCGATCGCGATACCAGGAATACCTGTGTGACTAACCTGTGGTACACGCAAACCAACAGTAACAGTAAGCCCTAGTCGATGGTGGCACTACTATCTTTCTATACCTTGAGGCAACACAGTAACGCTGTGCAACAGGACAATAGCTTATTGAATTCCACGTGAGAGGATATTACTTGGTCAAACTACCGGTCTCACACCTATTCAGTGAGCCTACCTTGGCCAGACTATACACTACTCCTGTGAGAGCTGAGACACATGGCTGTTCACATTGGGGTGTCAAGTAATGCAACATGATCCCGACCAAAGTTGTCATTCTGTTGGTACTGTTGGTAAGCCGCTATTTTCACTCTATGCAGGCCGTCTCTCAGCTATTGAGGTGCATGATTGGGTATCGAGGCGTCAGTCTAGACTCTGTCTCACATGACCGGTCCGTTGAAGTGACGAAGGGAGTCGATTTGATAGGCTACGTCTGATAGCCTAGGCAAGAACTTTGCTACCGGTGAGACAACACTATAACGTGACGGATGGGGATTTAGGAAATATGTTTCGACAATTCCTCTGCTTTGGTCAATAAACCAACTCACGCTATAGCGCTGGATATTGAAGTTAACCGAGAACCTCAGGCTCTAAGATGCTTTCCAGCTCTAATTATCATACATGTAACATGGGGCAGGCGGCATGTCAGCGAGAAGTTTTGCAGACCTACGGAGCATGTTTTTCAACATTACAAAACGCTATCCACTGATAAAGAGGATCTGCTTTTTACCTTGGTTATTGCTATATTTCCAAGCAGGAGTGGATCTTCTCCGAATTGAAGGATGTTCCTTCCACAGGTACGGAGAAGTTGTCTCAACATCAGCCCATGGGTGACCTGGACCCGGTACCATACATGAGAGGATGATAGAAAGACCAGCTCATGGTTTACCTCGTTGAGAGACTCTGCGTTCTTTTTATGTGTTCATATCCAAACGCGTATCAAAGAAAGCTGCGCCCTGCATACGTGTCTTGCGGCCACGACCAGCGGCAAGCTACCGGGCAAGACACGTCATACGACGTGTCTTGTGTGCAATCGTGTCTCGCCTGACTACTTTGTCTCTTTTCAGAAACGACTTGAGTCTCTTTCGGTCGATTTCCATACTTTTATGCCTTAGCTCTTGCTGAAGGCGCGGGATCTCGGCCGGACTTACACGACCTACCACCACAAAGCTTCTTGCTTCCTGTACATGATCCCGAGGAACCTATCGGGACCGTGATTGACAGAGAATCTAGAATCGAGCCATCAAAACAGCATAGAGTCTAATTTGTGGGATCCGCGGGGCAAAATCTGGATCATAATTCCGCTGCCTGGATGATGGGTCAGATGGATCATGGATGTCTAGAAGAGCTGTCAGCTTTTAGAGCCGGGCCTGCCAAGTCATCTCACATCCCGACCTGTCCTTTGGTATCGGAAACATGGTAAGGTCATCAAACTGCATTGGAATACGATCCATTCACCTTGTATGAGTTTCTCTAGCCCTTCAATACCGGCGGATTCCGCCGTCTTCGCCGAACCTGCCGAAAGCTTGATCGTCGGAATTACCTCCCGAACACCGGACCATTGATCCGGACCTTCCTCGCTGGATGATTGTCGATGGCACACAAGTTTAGATCATGCTGTATCCCAGAGCCGGATGACCCGGTTATCGTGAAATATCAGAGAGAGCAAACTCCCAATGATCATGCGCCCACAATCTCCAAGGCTTTCGTTGATGATCGTGGCAAAATCTCCAGCTTCGCCACGGGTCTGGATGCTGTTGAGTTCCTCATGATCTATCCGATGACTCCGGCCGGAAGATGGATAGGCCGCCGCGAAGCGCCTGTGTGACCCGCGTCCCGCCGGAACCGAGAAACTCTCTCGTTTGACGGGTTAAAAGATCCAGATCCCGCGGCGTTTGCCACAAAGTCGCCACGTAGAACGTTAAACCTCACAGAAATAGATCGAGACGCTCGTGGAGTAAGATGGGGGTTGAAGGCTCGGAGAAGTCCATGGAGTTGGAGAAGTTGCTCCTTGGCTCCTGCCTTCAGGCGACTGGGAAGTTGGAGCATGTGATGTGCCAAGAGTCATATGTTGCCCTATCAATGTTGCCCTATCGTCTGCACAACCTCGGAGTTTGCCGTAATCTCTTTGGTGAGACACCAGTTTAGACTCATCAGTGACGACAGAAGCTCAGACAGAACGATGCGGCTTCTAAGACTCGTTCAAGTTCAAGGATATTGTTCAACACCCTCAAGTCATATGTTAGAGAACCCGGAACATCACTGGTTGGATGCATGGCGCTTCCATCTGCTGGACATGAGCACTTGGATTGCTTGGGGAGTCTACACATGTTGGATGTTGCTATTAGGAGCTCAAGACCAAGCCCTGAAAAGGCTACTACAGTGCGTGGGGCAAGGGAGAATGGGGACTAGGACTGTATTTGGTAGTTTTTGGCGCTTCTACCCAAGCCCACAGGCGGAATACTCCAGCTTCTTACAAGTAGATCGATTTACGGTTATTGCCTTGACTTGCCTCAGAACGGACGCCAATCACGCCAAATGAGGCTGCCACGTGCCCTGAGACTTTCGACTCTCGGGTCATAAATATCAATCTAAAGATACGGGATACTGCAAGGGGGAGTGTTGCTCGAGGTGCATACGGAATATTTACCTCGTAAACGGCTACTCTGTACGCTCTGTACGGCTGCATGGCTTACTCCGTAGAATGGTCTCGTCGGCAGGCTCTTCCGGAGCGGTTTGTCCGCGTTTGTTCAGAGTCTGATAAGTGGAACAGAGTGTCACAGACAAGCATAAAGGCATAGGTAATAGAACGACTAGTCGAAACTCTCTTAGATCAAGTTGTAAAGCAATTGGCCCCAATTGGCCCGCCCCGCAGAATCGCGCTTCGTAGAGACTCTTCATAACGCTGGCTGAAACTCCCGTCGGAGTTTTCTGCTTGATGTTGGAGAGTAATATCAGTTATGCTGTCGTTTGGGATTTGATGCCCTTGGGCCTCGGCATGGCGTTCATGGAGGACATCTGTGCGCAAGTCTTTCATGTTTTGCAGGCCGACTACGGATACCAACAGTTGCATTCTTCTTATACCAGAAGTAATTCTTGCAGGTTATGCCTTCATCAATTTGAACTTGGATCGCCGATTCCTCTTGGTGATGGCGGGGGTTCCGCCTCAAGATTTCATTAGTTTGTTTTTCCGGAGCCGAAGTCTACCGGAGAGTAATGTGCCTAGAGCAGTGCTGCATGGATCACCGCTGTATAATTAACTGACATTGCACCTCGTTGCTCAGTACTATGAAGGCAGCAGGCCGTTGTCGCAGATAGGAAAACGGCGCGTCGGAGTAATTATGTAGTGAAGGTATCTCGATCAATAATGTGTTGGCGAGATGCGTAATCCTGATTTCTGTGGCCGAACCTACGCTCACAGAGACACACAGTGACAGTGCTTCACTCGGGGCAGTCGATGCCGATCAGTATCACGGCCATAGCCGGTGGTTGAGGCGATGTTGGCGGTGCTGGCGGCGTAATGCAGTGATGAGATTACGGTATTCGTCCGCAAAGTGACATCCCATTTGTGAGCTAGGCGGTTAGTGGAAATGCAACATGACTCGTGGAGGAGATTGATGGTGGAGATGGCTAGATTGATAAAGTCGCAGCCGTTTGAATTTTCCAAAGTGAAGGTTTTGCCCATTGTCATTTGGAAGAGTCTGGGATGATGAAAGATCAGACGCAGGACCGTGACTATGGATGCAGGGTTGGATAGGGTTATACATTGGTTGTTGCAGTTTTGGAAGAGGATGAGGTAGTGGTCCGTATTCTTCGTATTGTAATTACTGCTGCTCAAACCCCCGGTGAGAGCATCATTTCGTTGTAAATCGCGGTCCGACCTTCGGTGACGCACCCCAATACATCCCCCACCCGCCCGGAAGGACGACCCAAAAAAGAGAAGGGCCAGAGATTAGAGTTGGGCGATTAAGCTTCGCCCCTAAAACATCAGACAAGCATCAGGATGCGTCGCGGCCAGAGGCAGACAATCACTCATTATAACCACGGATGCACCCCTTGAACCCGCGCACTCCGACGGACTACGATTATTTCCGCGCCAGCCGCCCGGTACCAGAACACTCATTACACTCATACACACTTTCATCTCCGTACGCTCAATCATTGCAACGCCTGCTCCAAGACTTACAACGGCATCGAGGAAAAGGAAAGAGAGAGAGAAACCAACAGACAAAGGGAAGAGGATCGAGGCCAGAGGCACCCGTGGACCGAGGCGGGCTCCTTGCCCCGGTGCGAAGAAGAGGCGTGCGTTAGGGCGTAGGAAAAACTAGCCGCAGGAAAAGCAGGCACGCCGCACGCTGAGCCGACAAAGGGAAAGAGAACCTGACGCCAGGCAAGCACGCAAGGTGAGAGAAAAGAAGAGAGTTGGAAGGGACTCTTGGCCCTTGGGTCCTTGGGGGAAGGGACCTCTGCACTTTGCAGGTCTGCGGCACATCCATGACACATTTGCACATGCATCCCGTCTCACACACCCCACCACGGTCACCACCCACCACACTCACAGAACACACCCATTCCGGCCCCCAAACCTACCTAACCATTCCCTGCCCCCTCCCCTGAGAGGAGAGCCTCAAGCCCAAACACGCACCGGAGCACCACCCTTCTCGCTCGGCGATCCTCGCAGGAGAGAGAAAAGAAAACCGCTTTGTTGGCATTTTTTCCCATCCTCCTACGAGTCAATTGGTCCCAACAATCCGGTTCATTGTTGTCGGCTCCCATTTAATCCAAGAAAGACTGAAAGAAAGTTGTCCCTACATACGGGACACGGAGCTTTATTATTCTATTTTTTCCCCCCTACCTACCCTCTCGCACTTGTATCAGTCCGTCTTCTTTAGACGCCAAGCACCAAAGTTATGGAGCAGAGCCCCGAAGACCATCAGTCACCGCCAGACGGACAAGCGGCCAACCACGGGTCCGACGCACTTCCGAGACCGCGTCCGTTGGCTTGCACTCCATGCCGGCGCCGCAAGGTAAGGGTCCAATCTCTTGTCCCGGTGGGCTGGTTCGCCCTCGCTCTCAGGAAGGATGCTGGATACCGTTAATCTTCACGCCTATCAGCGCGAGGATACCAACCCCCAGCAGGCATTCGAGAGATAGAGAGCGAGACCGAGCAACTAAGCGCGTGGGGTTCATCTTGGGCTAACCGGCGGGACGGCTCGTCGTTGCAACTGCAGATTAGATGCGACCACAAGACGCCAATCTGTTCAAACTGTGTCAGGTATGGCTTGGAATGTGCCTGGCCCGAAGGACGACGGTCATCGGGACGTCGCCAGAGACCGTGAGTGAACCTCCTCATCTCCTACCGGCGAATCACTCGCTGCCTCATCCTCAACCTCAACTCACTAGTTGCTGTTGAGGAGAAGGGGGGGGGCCGATGTGACCCTTATCTCCGATATTCTTTGCTGGCTTATGGATGGCTGACACACTTACTTTGGTGTTGCGTTCAACAGACTATATGAAGATGTAGTTTCCAGACTGGCTCAGATGGAGAGGCTGGTGGAGGAGCTGCAAAAACCAGACCAGGGGCCGACACCTCCACAGCAATATGTCCCGACCGCCAGTGAGGCGGCAAAGGCAAGTGCTCCAAATACCTCGCCCATGGCGACGACGTCGTCAAACAACCCATCGCCCCTGTCAAGGCGGAAGGCTAGCAGCCCCAGCCCGTCTGCTGGAAACCCTGACACCTACCCATCGCCGCCGTCAGCTACCTCGTCGGCCTCGACCGGGGCAAGGCCGTATTACGCCGGTGCCCCTGACGAAAGTACGGTAATCGCAGCAGGTACGTAATGATAGATTCTTCTTGTCCATGCCATTGGTCCTCCAAGATCATGGTCGCTGACAGTGCTCACTTGCCAGGTGCTTGCTCCCTGCTCTCGCCGCAAGGCTTGAGTCAAATCGAGCTTCTCATTGGGGATTCGAGGTTCAGCAATGCCTTGAAAGCTATGCAACCAAAGGCCGTAGATGGCTATGTACAGCCGTATCTTGAACATGCCGACACCAACCATCCTCTGCCTCCAAATCATGTCATTATGGACTGTGTCAATGGTGAGTTTAGTCTGTCGATGCGAGCGATTTTGACAGTTCGCGGGGCCTCAAGTGGGACCCCAGCATCACAATGGGACAGTCACTGATTCGGTCCAATGTAGATTATTTCGTGACCATGAACGCTGCCATACGACTATTCCAAGAGCACGAGGTACGAGCAGCTCTACGGTCCTACTTCCAGGGCCAGCCGCCCGCGGATCCAGGTTGGCGCATGGCCGTCAACGTCATTATCGCCTATACCTTGCGCAAGAGGAATGGCATGCGGAATAGGGAAGAGTATCAAAAGTACATTCATAATGCGCTGGGAATGGTACCCAACATCATCTTGCGCACACCATCGGCTCTGGCGATTGGGGCATTACTCTCAACAGTGGGTTCCCCTACGCTGCTAACATCCTAATGAGGTACTATGAGGTCCCAAAAACTGACCCCTTGCGCAGGTCCTTTACTTCAGCTTCACGTCTGAGAACCACATCGCGCTCACCCTCATGGGCCTCACAGTTCAGCTCCTCTTGATGGCAGGTTACCATCGGTCAGAGCCGGACATGGCTTTTGCCCGCCCTCAGCAGCTCATCCCCACGGAGCACCTTCACCGCCGTCGCCTCTTCTGGCACGCGTACGTGATTGACCACGACCTCATGCTACGGATTGGAAAACCTGCCCTCATTAACGATGACTTCCTCCTGGACCTCCCCGAAGAGCATCCGTCCGATGGATACAGCATGTACTACTACCCCAACGACGTGACGCTCAACTTCTTCCTCGAGCAGGTCCGCCTCGCCCAGATTCAGGGCCGCATCTCCACGACGCTGTACTCCCGTAGCGGCGTTCCTGCGGCTGAGCTCGAGGCCGAGATCCGCCGGCTCGATAATGAGCTGACGGAATGGCGTCAAAGTATCCCGCCGATGATTCGCGCAGACAACGTCGATGCCCTACTTGACGGTGACTACTCTAGGCTGGTGTGCCTGACGACGTTGCACTTCACCTACTTCCAACTTGTTGTCGCCATCCATTCGGCTGCTTTTAGGCTGCCCACATTGGAAGACCAGGAGGGGGTAGAGTCTGGGGACATAGGCCCTAGTCTGGCGCTGTGTGTGAGCGCATCGCGTGCGGCCATCTCCCTGTTGAACTACCATCAGATCGAACACCCATACACGCCGTAAGTGTTCTCATCTTATCAATGTGACGAATGATGCAGCTCACAACTTCTCTAGGTACCTCCTCTATCAAATTGCGTGGAGCGTTGACATTTTGTTCGTCAACATTCTCCAGAACAAAAACAATCCCCGAGCTCGCCGCGATCTCGACCTAATCCGCACCGTCATCTCCTTCTTTGAAAAGTACGACCCGTACCACCAGACCGTCATCTCGTACCAAATCATCAAGGTGATCGCCGACGTTGCGGCTACGGTCCTCGCAAACACGCCAACCCTGCCTCCGCACATGCTCCCCGTCGGCCCGGCGGCCACTCAGCAAGTTCCACTCCCGGGCCCGAATATGCCAATGATGCCCAGCTCCGCGGGTGCGATGCAGGGAGCTTTCTCTCCCCAGATGTCCGGACCAGGAACGACCCGCAGCGGTAGCAAAAACGGAAGCACGCCCGATGTCCTGGGTTCCATGACGAGCCTTTCCATGGCAGACCAGCAACAACAGCCGTCGCCATTCATGGATTTGTCGGCAGGACTAGCGCCGCCCAACGACGGTCAGCTCTTCCCCGGATTTATGGATATGGCCGACTGGAGGCTACCGATGGATTACCAGCCAGAGCTGTGGCAATACGACAACCTTCTGGACAATCGGTTTCCCAACCAAGATTAAGCCGTAGTCGGACCGGATCTAAGCATCCGTAGAGGAACAAGTCTCGGCGTCATCGGATCCACTCCCATGGCGGCGACGGCGGATTACTTCCGGCCATCCGGCGGTATCCGGCGATAAGTCCGCAGCCCGTCACATCGTGGGCCCACCTTCTCCGGTTGCGTCGCCGAAAGAGAGACTACCCGATATCGCGCATTCTAGCGCCGCCATCAGAGGCGAATCGGGATCGGCCACGATCGCCAGGCACGCGAGCTTATACCCAAAAGCACCATTTGGAATCGCTCATCCACGGCTGCAGTGACAAATTTCGCCGAGGTCGCGTGCCTAGTCGTGAACGTCGCCAGAGAAGGAGGGCTAGGAAGGAGAGAGAAGCAGAGGAGGAAAACAACAAGAAGCCGACGATGCCATCCGGGCTCGCGTCGCGACGAAGGATTGAGCCCGAGCCGTCCGGACGATGACCGGACGGACGGTGCGCCTCACCGTAGGCCTAGGACCGTCGAGCGAGGGAGAAGCATGTGGGAGAGGCAGAGAGAAAGAGATGGATTGCAATACCCGAGCGCCGAGGCATCCAGCAATTTGTCTCAACCCTACAGAGTACAGCCAATTGTAATTGACTTTTTTGGATTTCACGCCGAGTCCCTTTTTTTTTTTTGGCGCATTCCTGTGTCCCGATCGAGTGAGAGACAATCGAATTGCGTGCGCATGCCCAACGTGCCAACACACGGATCAAAAAATACAATGTCTCGCTGAGTGAAACCGCACGTCGCCCTACGAACGGGAATCAAAGCAAACCACGTTGCGAATACGGTCATCTTCCAATGGAAAATGGAAAGCTCCCTGCCGCTCAAATTCTGGGATCTGGATTTCTGGAGTTCAACCCTGGTCAACAATTACCGCCCCCTGCCTGTCCACAAGTGATGTGCAAGAGCCTGGACTGAACAGTGGAATCCGGGGTTAATTGTCAATGGCAGTTTTTCCCATGACGTCAGGCGTCACTTCCGGACTCTTCGGTTTCACGTTTTCAATCTCTCAGCCCCCTTTGACCACCGAGCGAACAGAAACGTCAAGCGCGACGCGCAATCTGCTCTGCTCCCTTCCCGTCTAATTCTTATTTGTTTTCTCTCTTCCTGCAAAGAATGCATTGAGCCAAGGCTTCAATTCCACACCTATCTTTAACTCCCCGGGACTTCCCTCCCAACTGTGTGCCTTTGTCTCCACGCTTACCCGCACCGCCATGACATCCAAATTCCACACCAGCCCACGTCCTCTCGTTCGACTTCCCCGTCAACGGGCATAGGATATCCCCTGTACCACCTTCAATCCTCAACTTTTTGAGGTTGCTGCATCCTGTCAACAAATCTCGCAGGGGCAGAGCAGCTTCTCCCGACAATGACTTCGGAAGCCAAGAAAAAGGCTTCGACGGAGGACAGGAAACGGCGATCCGACACGAACCCGCCAAAGACGCTAAGAGAGCGTTTCCTGCACTCCCTCCCCTATTACACGGGGCCCTACGGCGTGGGATTCCTCGAGATTGAAGCACCGGTCCGTCAACCGCGCACCTTTTCGGAGCTCAGGCGCGACAACGTCCCGCTTCTGAGGCTTGACACCGTCCTCTTCGCCGTCTACTACCCGTGCACCGTGAAGACCCAGACAGACGATCACGCCGCTCCCGATCACCATCAGCATCACGGCAAGAAGAATGGGGAAAAGGCACGCCGCGGCGGCGCCAAGAAGCCGAAGCTCTCCCGGGTCGGATGGCTTCCGCGTCCGCGAGTCCTCACTTGTAAGGGCTACGCCAAGGAATTCAGCATCCCGCATCTCCCGGTCACGGCCTACATCGCCGCCACCTCCATGTTCACCAAACTTCCCGCGCTGAGGAACGCGAAGCTGGCGGAGCATTGGCCAGAAGAGATGCTGGGCGACGAAGGCCCGACGGGTCAGACGGCGAGGAACGAGGAGTCGAGCTCGCGCAAGAAGCCAAAATTTCCAGTCATCATCTTCAGCCACGGCCTAGGCGGCTCGAGAATGAGCTACAGCTCCATCTGCGGAGAATTGGCGAGCTACGGCTTCATTGTTGTGGCCGTCGAGCACAGGGATGGCAGCGGTGCGAGGACTTATGTTAACCTCCCGGAACATCGAGAGGCGTCCGACAGCGAATCTTCCCTGGAGACGGTCAACGCCAAGAAGATCAAGAACAAGAAGAATGGGAAAGAATCCGGACAGCACTACTGCGTCGACTATCTTTTCCCCAAGAACAACGAGCAGGACACGGCGCCGAACAACGAACAGGGCGTTGACATGCAACTACGCGCTGCGCAGATAGAAATGAGAATGACGGAAATCGAGGAGGCCTTCCGCATCATCGGATATATCGACAGTGGCCGCGGGCACGAAGTTGAAGCCATGAACCTAAGAAGGAAAGGCAACGTGGCGTCCAGCTCCAAGGGACTCACAGGCATCGTATGGGAGGACTGGCAAGACAGGATGTTCCTCGAAAACGTGACGATAATGGGACACTCGTTTGGCGGAGCAACGACGGTCGAAGCTTTGAGGACCGAATCGCTTAGCTGGGTTGGTCAAGGCATCATTCTCGACGCCTGGGGCCCGGCGACGCCTCGAGCGGGAGAGAACCCCAGTCACCGCGTCAAGAAGCCGCTTCTTTCGATCGGGTCGGAGGCCTTTATGCACTGGCAAGAAAACTTTAACAGACTTGTCGACGTCTGCAACGAGGCGAGGGACGAGAACGCACTAACCTGGATGATGACGATCCGGGGGTCAACTCATCTTTCCCAGACAGACTTTGCAGTACTGTACTCGACTTGGACAGACTTGTTCATGAAGACGTTGGTAAACCCTCTGAGAGCCATCTACCTGACGATATCACCGTCGCTCGAGTTTTTGAAGATCACACTGCCTCCGGAGCAGACCAAGTACAACACCTGGGTTGATGAGGAAATCTTGAAAACAACAGAGCCACCAACAGAACCACTCGCCGTGGTGACGCACGATCACCGACCGGACGACCAATGGATCGCAATCCGCCTCAAGGTGGAAAACGAAGCGACTCTGCGGTTGAAGAGGTGGTTTCGGCACAAGAATCGGGTCTTGCTGGGGAAAGGCGATGGATCGGGCATGCCCTCGGGGCTGATCAACTGGGAGAAGGGCAATGAGGTTTGGATGCACGTGAGCCCGGACCCTGAGTCCGTGGAGGAGCAAATGCAACGGAACGAGCGGACGACGAGCCGGAATGCAGCGTAGATGGCTCGATTATCGACGCGATGCGCTTTGTAGATCTGCATGTTCTTTGTGGACTGGTTTTATTGGGTAGCGACTTTGGTTGTTGGCGTTCAAGAGGCGTAACCACATCCATGGTATTGGGATGCTTTGACCACTTGTCGTGTCATTGTGTAAGTAGGGTAGCAGGCTAGCTAGAAAGGACAGCCTGCGGGCGTCTACCAAATTCGATACAAGCGATATCTTGCTACAAATGGCTTGTGTATTTGCGCGGAAAAATTGTATATTGGCCATTGATCCAGAAACGCGATTCCAAAGTCGGCCATAACTGGGCAACAGCTCTGCAGGCCATCGGGCGGTCGGACGGCCAAGCCATTGACGATCCAAAGACGGGCTGGTAGAGTGCCTTTCGGCTTCAGCAACAACGTCCTGAAGCTTGCTCCTAACCGAAGCCTGTGCGCAACACGCTTTGTCGTGAGAAGAGGGCAGCTTTGGTTTGAAGTATAAGGCGATGCTCGGACTCCCTTGCCGAAACGGACTAGCTCCAGGGACGTCGATGAACAGCAACTTTGATCGATTGAGCCAGGGGTTGCCCGGTACGGTGACATGTGGAGAGCGATGGTGCCGCAACGAGGAGGACCAGGATTATGAAATCCGCAGACTGAATTGTTGTTTGCCCATCATATCTGGCTGTGGATAGTGTCGACGGTAGATGTCGTTGAGGCTAGCATTGTGTTGTCATTTTGGCGTGGGCGTATGCCACAATCTCTCCAAAACTATTTTTTGTCTCTTTGGTTCGTTTCTCGGTTGCGTGTCGGCACCTTCTTTTCGGACAAATTCGTTGTGTGAGGGCTTTGAGGCGAGCCAAGAATGCAAGACAGGGAGCCCATCGATCAGGGAGGGCATGCAGGTCGGGGTCAGCGGTGGTGGTGTGGGAGTGGTTGTGAGTGGACAGTATGCAGGTGTCAGTTGATGGGACGATGCAAAATACGAATTGTGCTGTCAGGGACTATCGAATTGTGCGTGATGGTTTGTGCCGATGAAGTGGTCTTGGTTCTGTTGCAGTAAATCATAAACCTTGATGACGAGAGACAGGTCGGACGAAGGATTGGTAGGTATTCGGAAAAGGTCTGTGATGGAAGTTTAACGGGCAGAATAGTCGCCAAGATGTCGTCGGCTTGGTCGGGTTCACATGGTCGTCCACAGCTTCAAGTTCAGGTGAGGCGAAGGAATGGGATTAAGGTCGGCGGGGCGGGGTGGGCAAAAGCCAAAAAGGACGCTACGCCAACGGCCGGGGATGCCCTGACTGCCTTGTTTCTCAGGAATGGAAGGGTCAAACGATTGTGTGATGTGTGGGGGAAACAATGAACGCCCAGTGACCAGCGTTCCTGCTTGCTTCTTTTTGCTGCAAACAAAACGTCCAGTGGCCCCCGCTTGCTCCTTCTCAAAATAGCCAGTTGGTGTTAAGCTAGCCATGTCCCGGTGCCGATCGCCAGGATAAAATCGCTGGTGGTCGCTAACAGTGGATACCAAGGGGTGGCGTCACTGGCGTCTGCAGCGGTCCCCGGTCCAGCCGGAGCTCCTCAGGTTCCAAGTTCCAACAGGACCAACGCACCTCAAAGCTCGTATCGAGCGTCGCAACTCAAAAATTCCCATGTGTCTACACTCTATGGAAAGGGAACGATCCCGAATCCCACCTCGCAACAGGGCCTCGCATGGCAAGCGGCATGAGAATCAGCAATCGAGGACACCTTCTACGGGTCGCCATTGGACAAGTCGCTCACTCTCGCCGCCACATCCATTGCTCCACCGTGTAACACCACCCGCCAACGGATAGATGACATGCAACACGCCGATGGCTGAGGCTCTCCTTTGTATTAGGCAATATGACCATCATGACATGGCACGGCAAGGTACATTGTTCTAGCTGCCTGCTGCTAACGTGCCTGCTACGGGTTCCGTTCCCGTCCTCAAGCAACAATATGCGCTGAGCAGGTCCTGCCGAGCCCTAGTTGCCAAGTTCCTGGCGCATCCCGTCCTGTCTCTTTGGTAGCTTATGTTAGCCCTCTTCCTTTGCTGCTGGTTTTTTACCTACATCATGCAGCTCCTCTCCAGTCCGGCTGAACCTGTGCCGGGACCTCTGCCCTGCTGCACCTGTTCTCAACCCCGACCCTCAACTCAGACGTGCTCTGGGTAGGGAAAGGGCTGATCACCATCCCATCTCACGTTGCCTTGACCTCTATGGGGTAGGCCGTCTGGTTTGGCCTGCACGCTGTCGGGATGGGAGCTGCTTACCTTAGCTAATATGCGCGTTGGCTACCTCACACTCACTCCAATTGCCTGTTGAGAAGGCATCCCCATGGTACCCATCTCATCCCGCCAGTCCGTGTCCCGCTCAATGGCCATGGCCCTTCCCGGTTGTCGTGCAGACGAGACCTGATAGAATCTGACCATGATTTGACTTCACTTGTTGTGCCCGTTCTTGATGGTCCAAGGTGGTTGCCCAACGTCTGTGGTGTCGTTGCGATCTTGTTGGTCTTGCCCTCGCAGATACATTGCCTTGGGTCAAGGTGCTTGTGTTATAAACAAGCTCCAGCTCTGCAGTCTGCATAAGGTGCCTCCGATGACTGGGATCCAGCTTATCCCGATCTGCAGTTACTTCTATTTCTTTTTCTCTTACCAGCATCAGCAAGCATCCCGCATTCGAGAACCCCTCTTAGTCTCAGCGAACCCCGGCTCCTTCCCAAATATCAACCCCTACCCTGCTCTTTCCTCCCGAATTCCCTTTCGTGACTACCCCTCGCTGGACAATTCACAATTTTCCCTTTCCTTTGGTTTCACGACGACAACGTTACTTTGTCGCACTTTCTCTCGTTGGCCTTGGCCTCTCCGATACCTAATTCGACCGTGTGTTGATTCTTCCGTCTCAACTTCTCCGAATACGCGCCCGTCTTTCACCGTCTTTTTCTGGGCTACGCCTCCAACCGCGCGACGACCTCTTTCACAACACCAATTCACTGCCGCGCCCTGGGGGTTTTTCGGCCACAATTACACTTCGACAAACTGTTTATTGCATCACTTTCCTAGTCTATCACTCTCAGCAAACGCCATATCAGCACCACGAAGAAATGACAACGCAGAAACGCCTCCATTAGCAACGCCTCATCGTCTTTCCACCATCTGCCAACACTAGCTGGCTATCCTCTTCCACTTTTGACGCCACGGCTCCACTTACGAGAATCCACCTCCAAACACGCCTCGAGACAAGATATCCAAGAATGACTGCAACGGGCGCTCAACGCGAGTCGACCAAGCCGCAACGCGGCAGGTCTGACAGTCTTCAGAAGATGTTGGAGCTGGAACATATTCGGAAGGTAGGCCAATCCCACCCTAACCTGACGCCTCCTACTACGTCGCATCCACACCCAATTTGGCTATGTTAGCTCCCACCCACTAACACGCTTCATCTTGTAGCTCGAGCGTCTTCAGGGGCATCACTCCATGCCCGCGGCGACCCATCCCTCTCACCTGGCGTTTCAGCAGGTTCTTCAGCAACAGCTTAATCATGGCCGACCTGCCCAGTCACCTCCGAAACTGAAACCTTTTCCCACCGTTCATCCCGCTCCGCCTGTAAAGCCTATCGCTCCTCTCCAGTCTCGTCGGAGGGAGTCATCTGCCCAACTTCCCACACAGAAACCTGAGCTACCACCCTCTGCCATGAAAGCGGTCCGCCGAGCAACAGCGTTGCCTTCGCTTTCCATTTCCGTTCCACCACCCTCCAACGTCAAATCGGAAATCGATCGCGGGTCGGAGCGCAAAGAATCGGTGGAGCACAAGCACAAGACAGTGACGTTCCTCGACGTTGATACCGTTGACGAACCAACTGCCGACGACGCATCCTCTATCTGCTACTCACCAAGTTGGGAATCTTTTGGCCAGAACAAAAAGAAGGAAAAGAAAATCGAAGCCAAAATGCGCAAGAAGGAGAAGGAACAAGCCGAGAAGCAAGCAGAGAAGGAGGCCAAGTCTGTGAAGAAGAAGTTGGCAGCTAAGCTTAGCAAAGCTGGACCGAACACCAAAGCTTCCCCGCCGAGACCTCCAAATGCATCGAGGTCAATCTCCAGCCCAACCGTGTTCGTCAATGAGCACCTTCGGTCAGCCAGCGCCCAGGCCTTCTATGAGCCTCCGCCTCCAATTCGTCCCCAGCATGCCAGGCAACGATCAGACTCGGTAGCCATGCAGCTGAAAGCTGCTTTGACAGGCCACAAGACTCAGAATCAGTCTCATCACAGCGATGACCAAGGCTTCATTGGAGGCTTGAAGCTGGAGCAGAAAAGACAGGTCGACGCGGGCATCCCCTTCAGAAAGCCCAACCCACCAGCTTTCCTGACTGGTCAGAGGTCTCACTCATTTGGACCCGAAGTGAGGGTAACACCTCCAGCCATGACGCCTTCAGCATTACCACGTTCCTTCTCATTCGATCCGCAAGGAGAAAGGCCCGATGAATACGACGAAGGCTTGTACGAGCCCAAGACTCCGCGATCTGCTTCTATCAACACCCCTTCTTGGTCTCAGCCTTTGGTTTCGTCCACGGCGCCGCCTGTACCAGATGTGAGCAATTTCCAACAATGGATGAACGACACGAAGCAATCGCAAGTGCCTGCCGACGACGACGACTTGGAGATCCATAACGGACTCAGCGAGGTTGTGGTTGAGCAAGAACGAGGCCGCAGACGAGAAAGTTACGTTCACCAGTCTCGCCAACAAAGCAGAGAACGGTCTATCAACGGCTACAGAGAGGAAGTTCGTGTCACGTCTGCCAAATCTCACTACCCTCCAGCTTCCAATCGGCCACTTCAATCCCGAGTATACTCCTCTTCCTCGGACAGCAGCTCAATGGGTTCCAACTTCCCACCACGCAACGGATCGCTTTCTAGCCTCGGTGGTTACAAAGATCAGCCAACACCAGGTGAAGATTTCACGCTCACATTCCGGCTTCCTTATACGCCGCCAGCAGGCAGCCCGGGACAGCCATCGTTCGATCGGTCTACGTCTCAGGGACCACCCATGTCTAGAATGATGTCTAGAGAAATACCCCTGCCTCCCGAAAGATCGGCATCGCGTGAGAGGCATCCGCCTACCCCAGGAGCAGCCATCAGAAGTTTCAAGGATGCTGCCAAAGCAGCCTTCCAGAGAGTGTCACCCTCGGGATCATCCAAACCACCTGTATCCAACTATTTCACTAGAGCGGCGCGCGATACCACAATGACACCCGATTCGACGTCAAGCTCTAGGTACTCAACTGACGAACCGTCCCCTTTCACGGCCCCACCTCGTCCGTTTGCCGAGTCTACTGAGTCGACTTCAAGAGACTCGTCAGCACGCCCTACCCACAGGTCCTCAATGTCTTCCTGTGACGAGTCCTTGCCTTCTCCGTCACCCGCCACTACTCCTGATTCCTCAAGACCGCAATCCGAGAAAGGGTTGCCACCTTTGGACGGAGAACTCGGTCGGGTCGATAGCGAGACAGTGGTTGTTACAAACGACACACGATCGTATAGGCTTTCTCACAAGGCAGCGATGCAGACAGCCTCACCAATTGCCACGAATCAACGAATCAGCCTGCCCCCTCAAATCCCGGTCCAAAATCATGAGGCTCATCTCAGCGAGCTTGAAGCGTTGGTGACGGAGAAGTTTGGCAGAAAGGCTAGCGTTGCTGATGCCGAGGAGAGCGACTCGTCACTGAGCTATCCTACTCCAACACACACCGACAGTTCGAAGACATCCGCAATGGCAACTCCTCTCACATCAGCCTCCTTGACGAGTCCCTTCGATTATGGGAAGAATGGGCCCGTTCAGGAGGTTAGCAATAGCATTGAAACGGTACAAGAGGAAGTCCACAACGTCGTTCAGCGTCATCCGAGCTTGACTAAGAGCCGCTCGAGTCCTGACCTCGCACTTGACACGAGTTTCCTTCCGAAGCTGAAGCACCAACCTCTGGTGCCTCGGTCTCTTGTTCCGCCACCACCGCCGCGCTCATCAAAGCGTGGCTCTGTTACTAACTTACACGCCAAAGCAGCCTCGCAGTCTTCATTCCCTGTGGACGCAGCCTCCAGGAAGTCGATCGTGTCCACTAAAGCGCCTTCGAATCCCTCAAGTTACCTCGAAGAAGCCCGCAAATCAATGCCGCCACCGCGTTCCAGCCGCGTCTCGCGCGCGTCCATTGTACCTCCCAGCGGTGTCCCTGAGCCTGTTGCCAAGATGCTTGTGGAATGCTGCAGCTGCAAGTTCTTGCACGACATGCCGAGCAAGGTCTACGAATGCATGGCAAAACCCGACAGCATGGTGGAGGACCGGAAGCTGGGAGTCAGCGGGCTCATCTCTACGACAGTGAAGTGCCCATGGTGCGCTCACGGAATGACGACAAACTGTTGCGCAGGATATGCGGCAGTGATCTATTTGAAGGAGAAGTTGCACTAGATGGAAGGGCAAAAGGAACACGAAATAATGCAAAGTTTGAAAAGGATAATGTGATGATCTGGCTATACACTTGCTCGTTTGCGATTGAGCTCCTACTGAGCCAGAAGAAAATCAGGAACGAAAGGAGACGACAGGAAAAGGAGGGTAATCATACTTGCTTAGCAAGTTTGTGCAGAGAATTGTATCATTAGGAGACTACATATCATCAGCCAGCTCTATGGGTGGAGACTGACTCGAGAACCAATACATCCATCAGCTGTAATACTCTGGGAACCGCGTGAGTGACTCCGTTGAGACCCCTGTATGCCTGTGCAAATGATGCACATATGGCCAATATGGTCCAAAGTTTGCACATCGCTGTTCTCTTCCCTTCATCCCACTTTGG